TGATTCCTTTTCGAATACCTGGATATCTCTGATCTAGTAATAAATTTACCTTTAAGGCTGTCAGGGCAAAGACCATTTATCATGGCCCTGTCATATTTAATTAGATTTTAAACTGAAAGCCATTTACAAATCCATCCATCCTCAAATTTAGCACTTTTGAGCCCTGCCTTAAAGACGCTGAAGATGTTCAAGCTTTGTAGCGGACAGACTTCCCCATAATTCATCACCGTATCTTAGATGGCTCTCGAAAAATGCCCTGTAAACCTGGTCCAAATTCGACTGTGGGAGTATGTTTTTAAGTTTCCTCAACGAAGAAAGACCACTTTTAAGTTTACACTTAAGCCTCTTGTACTGCTTGTTCCAAGGTAGGTTTTTATCGATGGTGACTCCGAGATATTTTACTTCATGAGCTCGTTGGATTTTTCCTCCATTTATTTCCACGTTTATCTACCCCTGGATATGGTTAATTCGTCTTTTATGACCAATGACCATATATTCAGTTTTATTGGTGTTCAGACTAAGCTTATTTTGCCGCATCCACTCTGCAATGTTCTTACCCTCAGTTTCTAAGTCATTGCACAGTTCCTCAATGTCTTTTGCAGAGCATGTTATGCTAGTGTCGTCTGCATACATATTTGTTGAGCTTTTTTCTAAGCATCGCTCAAAATCATTTACGTATAGGATGAAAAGGAGGGACCCAAGGCACGAACCCTGTGGAATACCGCACTGAACCTTCTTTTGCTGTAAACTGGAGCCATTGATTTGGCAGTATTGTATCCTATCAGTTAGGTATGATGTAAACCACTGATGAGGGGCTCCTCCTATTCCATACTTTGATAACTTAGAGAGCAGAAATTTGTGATTCACAGTGTCAAATGCCTTCTTTAGATCAAGGCAGATGCTAATATTTATTTTTTTTGTTTTGAATAATGAGGTCAACGTGTTGTGCAGCTTTCGAGATGCATGCTGACATTTGGAGAGCATGCTTTTTTCCTTCAGAAAGGTGGAGACTTGATCATGTGCGATTTTCTCGATTAGCTTGGAGAATACCGAGAGTATGGATATTGGCCGGTAGTTGTTCAAATCAGTTTTCGATCCGGTCTTAAAGACTGATGTTACCCTGGCTATTTTCCATATGCTCGAAAAAACACCGCTTTCAAGAGAGGAATTGAAAATAGCTGCCAATGGCTTAGATAAAATATCAGCAGCGTCTTTCATTAGTTTTACTCGGATCTTATCATGCCCTGCAGCTTTAGAGCATTTTAACTTATTGATCTCATTTTCAATGAGTTCAGGATCAACCCTTTGAAATTCAAAACTAGTTTCAACCGGCAGTCCCTTCGTGGGTAGGTACTTCAGGGGGTCATCGCAATCTTTGGTTTCAATAATTTCGGCTAGTTTTGGGCCTATGGGGATAAAGTGCCTGCTAAAGGCCTCTGCAATTTCATCAGGCTTCTCAACACGTTGACCTTCATGAATAATTGACAAAGGAAGACTATGATTTGAATGTTTGTCTAATACCTTGTCTATTATTTTCCACATTTCTTTCGGATTATTTGAATTGTCATCTATCATGTTACTGTAGTATGATATAGCAGCTTTTTTGAGTTGAGAAGTTACTCTGTTTCGAACAGGGGCGGTCTGGCCCGGGTGGCAAAGTGGTGACAAATTAAGAACAATCCACCCTCGGATTTTTGCGAAAATTGAGAACAGTCAGCCTGAGCCTGAATTTACTGGTTTTCATAAAAAAATTAGCGAATCAACATGCACCTAGCAGCATACCCTTCCCTCTACAACGCGTATAAATGCTTGATGACACTTAGCTGCACCCAAGTTTCCTTTGAAAGATTATTCAGCGCTACTGATAATTTCAAAAGAAGAGAAAACTTTCCACTTGATTTCGAGCAAGTCATTGGCCAATTTGCTGATTCATTTGCACTTCTTCGAAAAGAGTTGAAACTCTGAGAATTTAAATAAGTTTTGATCTTGATTCTTAACTCTACATGGAATTTTAAAGCCTGTTTACACGAGAGGAAAGGTATGGATCCAATTGGGTCCGAATTTACGAATTAAAGTTGATATACTGCTGCTGTTTAGCGCATTGCTTTATTATCAATTTTTATTGAATCAATCGTATTCTAAGCCACATTTTTAGTGAGTGTGGCTCAATTTTTCCCGCCACGCCCTAAACCGGGCCCTTGAGTTTTCTAGCCACCCTGCGATTTTGACGCCAGACCGCCCCAGCCCCTCCCCCCACCCCCTCAATATGAAACTCGTTCCGACGGCACTTTTGTTGAGAAACAGACACACAAAAGTTTTCATCCGCAATCCGCAACCTTTTTGACTCCCTCTCCGCCAGAAGCCGATTTGAAAAGCAAACTTTGTCGCTGTGAAGCATGGCTCTGCGAAGGCGTTGTTCAAAAGTTCAAACCACGTGAAAGACCAATCAAATGAAGGCACCAAACTTTATTAACCAATCAAATTATTTCGCGCGATTCCAATGATACATTCAACCGCCCTCCTTTTATTTACCCGCAAACTGTTCGATTAACTAGTTCGATGCATGTTAAGGTAAGTTGACCAGGAATTTTAAACTCTAGAAAAGACTACTCATTTCTCATTTTATGGAATTATTTGGTTTCATCCAAGTTTGGTAACCGTTTTTAATCAAGTGATGATGTCCAGTGATCTTGTTGGAGAAATTGTTGTGATAAAAAGAAGTGGAAACGATGGCGCCAGGTTTCCGTTGAGATCTGCACACTGCACTTTCGGGAGGTAAGCGATGTCGAATCTTATTTCTTCCCCGTGAATATTCTAAAAAATTTCTTTTGAAGGTTTAAAAAATAGTAAGATATATTCCAATTTAGGAATTTGTTGTCTTGTATTGGTCATGGAGAGCTATAATATTTCTTTAAGTTCGTTGGCCTATCATCCTGATCAGCTTCTCTATCTTTCGTTTTTGCCGTTGTCTTTGAAGATTGATAACAATTCTTTCTTCCTAGGGATCCAGAATGTGATATTAGAATCCAGATACCCCAAGTTGCACTTGAACACGCAAAAATTTATTGTGATAATGGGAAGGTATGTGCAATTTTTATCAATCTTGCGGTAAATTTACTTTTGAAGCCACATTTCTTCAATATTCGTTCCTTTTCAAAAATAAAAGTGTTTGTGAAATGGTATAGTAATTTCCTCACTTTCTGATTCCCCACCTTTGGCTCTTGCAGACGGCCTTGCTAGAAGCAGTGAAAACTATTCTTTCTTCTTTCCAGGTTTGGTTACAAAATCTTGCCAAGGAAGTACCGACATTGGTAAACAGCAGAGCAGTAGATACGCATGAAATTTCACATAATGACGTTTTTACTATAAGTCAGCGATCTTTCCGCTTTGAATTTCCAGAGAGAAGAAAAAGCGTCTCAAGACGCCAGTCATCAGGCAAGAAGGTGAGTAAAAGAGTTTATTATCATTTTCCACAACTTGATAATCATTCAACTTGCAGCTTTTTTCGAATGTCCAGATCTGCATTATGCTTTATCTTGTGCTGTCAGCAATTGACTGTAAAAGACAGGTTTTTTCATAAACAGAAAGAAAATAATGTAAATTTTTTGTCGAAAAATCTCTTCCCTCCAAAAATATCATCAGGTAGAATATAAGTCAATGTAAATACTTTACGATTCTTTTCAGGGTTACAAGCTCCATTCCTTTTCAAATAAATAATTAAGACCTGGATATAATTATGAAGAATTTTTATGTATGTATTTTATTTCAGACACCTCTGAAGCCTATACAGCAAGTCCTAAAACACCCACAGGAAAGGATCTTCTACAGATATCCACAGCCAACAAGCCAAAAAGCCCAGCAAGTCTGAAGAATGATGAGCACAAAACAAGATCTCCAAATGGAACAGGTCTTGTCTCTCCAACAAAAACTTCAGTTGCAACTCCTGTCCAACAAAAAGAGAATACACCAGAGGAACTGCTATCAAATGCAACTACACCTTCAATTCTCAAGAAGGCATCAGCAAAACGATCTGAGAGGAAAAGGATATCTTTTGGTCCCACTCTAAGTCCGGAATTGTTTGATAAGACAATGCCACCATCCACTCCATTAAGGAAAGGTAGAAGTCCATCACGAAGATTGTCAGAACCACTAAGAAAGGATACTCCTGGAAAGTCTCCAAGTAAAAAAAGATGCTCACTTGGAACAGCTTTGGGCAAAATGCCAATAGTGGAGGAAGATGAGAATGCAACAGGAGATAAAGATCCAGCATCTAATAAGAATACAGAGGACGAAACTGAAGTTAAGAAGGAACAACCTACTGCTCCAACACCATTGAGAGAGGAGATAAAGAAAGGTGTTTCACTGAGGCAAACAAAGAAGAAGCTCGATGCAGAATTGCAGAAAGAGATTCAGGATGGGAAAGAGTTGAAAAAGACCAAGAAACCAGCACCAACTCCACTTAGAGCTGAAATCAAGAAAGGTGTGAAACTAAGGCAGACAAAGAAGAAACTTGATGCAAAATTGCAGATTGAGATCAAGGATGGAAAAGAGTTGAAAAAGACAAAGAAGTCAGCACCTACTCCATTGAGGGCTGAAATCAAGAAAGGCGTTCAGCTAAGAGCAACTAAAAAGAGACTTTCAGTCAAACTGCAAAATGAAATTAGAGCTGGAACAAAGTTGGCCCCATTGCTTAAAAAATCGCTGAAGACACCCATCAGAAATCAGATCAAGTCAGGTGGGATCAGGTTTACCCTTAATAACTTAATGCATGGTGCATTTCATAAGTTGATTTCATGTAACAGGATTAGGATGTATAAACATAAGATTATATGATAAGATTTTGAATTTAATTTAAACTTCCACTAGGTTAGACTGAATGTATCTATTTCCTATTTAATTTAAAAGACATACTTTTGACGTGTCAGGATTCACTAAGAGGGACAAATTTCACCAAGACGGACAAAAATGGCAAATGAAATTAATTTGAGGAACAGCTTCAAAAAGAGCTAATAGTATGGCAACCCTACATTATTCTAAGTACTGAATCCCCCCTCAAATGTTATAATAATTGGAAAACAACTGCTTGATTATCATGGTAATATTATCATTGTTTATATGTTTTGCCTCAGGGATTAAGCTGAGAAAGTTAATGAAGAAAATGTCTACACCCCTCAAGACTGAAATTGCATCAGGAAGAAAGTGCTTGAAAACAGCAAGCCAAAGTGAATCTGACAACGCTAAGCAGGGAGAAATTGTTAAAAATATTGAAAGCAGTAGAGGCGAGGATGAATCAATGCAGATAGAGGTAAGGAAAATGATGTTAGTTTTTAATTGTGCTATCTAGCTTCTCAAGCTGAGAAGCTATGGTTATCCTACAATGCCCTGGCCCTTCCTCTGGATGTAAGCACATCTTGTGATTCATACACCTTGAATTGCCAAGAGCTGGTTTCATTTTGTCAGGGGCTCCAACCATTGGATCTGTAGTTAGGGGCCCTAATCATTGAGCCATCCTCACCAAGCCTTCATATGGGGATATTCCAAAATGCTAAATAAAGTAACAGAAGGAATTTGATAGATGTTTAATGCCATAAAAATGATGTAAAGGAAGGTATAACAACAAAACTTTTGATAATGTATATACATAAGGTACAAATATACAAGTGTGCAAATTTTAAAACAAAATGGTCAATGATATTTGAATTGGATAAAGGTTATTCATTTGGTAACGGACGGAGGGATAGATTTCCTAGAATTAAATCTTTATGGGAGATTGAAAATTCTATCTCAATGCTGCAGCATAGCTACTGTTAGACTGTTTATGAAAGATGCTACAAGATCCCTCTTTTCAAATCACTGGCAAAATTTCAATGACGGCAACACAGCAAGTGACCAGTAAAGTGTTTGTAGCATGCATATAAAGTAACGGAAGGAATAGGAATAAAGTATTGGAAGGATACATGTTAACAGATTTGAAAAACTTTAGAATTGTTACTTTAACCTGACAACTATGACAAATATTAAATGATCTGATACTGTGTAAATCAAACTTTATCTGAAAAACTTTGATGAAACAAGGGGTAACATCAGATATAAAGGTTAACAAAGGGCAGTATGCCTTGCACATCTTAACATACAGCTTTATAAGTAATAGTCCCTCAACAATTTGTGCAAGCCTTAGTTAACAGTACAGTTTTTCAGGTCAAGCAATTCAAAGATTGGCTAAAAATACTTAAGAACACTTGGAATCATTATAGTGTTAATATTTGCAAGAAATATACTAAAGCCTTCAAAACAATATTTTGATCAGTTTATCATAATACCATATGAGACAAGTATCACCCTTTTAGGTTCCCCAATTTATTTGCCAGTTCTGAGACATGAAGATTAAGTAATCTTGTCTTTCCTGTCAAAATGTTTGAAATATAAATGCATTTTGAAACAACTGCCTTAGGAAAATCATGCAGATAAACTTTAAAAGGCCAGGGCCTTATGGTATAGAGCACCGAAATCATTGTGGCATTCCACAGTTTTTGGGAAATGACTACCCTTATATTGTATGACAACATTTTTTATAAATTGAGGAGTGAATAATTCTAAAACAGCTACAAATATTGAAAGATGATAAAGTAGCAATAAAGTGACACTTTAATGACCTTTCCTTGAATAAAGTTAACTCAGCCCTTATGTTATTTCTATTTACATGTCTCATTGTCACTGTCTCCACAGTCATCCACAAGATAATTCATACATCGGTAGTACATCCTTTTGTATAATCTGAACACACAAAGTTTTGTAAATGTAGTCAATGAAAATATCAAAGGCACAAATCTTGCAACAGCATCTTTCACCAGTACTTACTGAAGCAGGTCTAAAGCAACTTAATGACTGAAGAATTCTTTCATATCAGTTTGAAATATTTGAAGCAATATATAATACATTGACAATTTCTTGTAAATACCTCTATTGGACTGATGTTTTGTGTTTACCTGTATTTTCTTAGATGCAGTTGGAATCAGTGAATTTCCCACAGGATTAATGTACCCAGTTTTTTAAGAAAACAGCGTTTTTTGATTAAAATTAACATCTTCTTTCATTAACATCAAGGCCTTTTGGAAGCATATGGGCCTTTCTTTAAACACAGTAACTGTGCTTCCCCTTAAACGAACGAGGGGAGTTTGCTGCGCATAAAAATATTGTTATTCTTTCTTCCATAGGTTTGCCCTCTGATTAAAGAAGATTTAAGTCTTCAAACCGTTGTGAAAACACCAAAGACAAGTAAGCATGTTGAGGTCGTTGAAGAACATTTTGGACTTCCAAAACTTTTGAAAACTCCAAAAGAAAAGGCATCTCAAGATGTATTTGAAGAGGAACATTTGGGTCTCAAGCGGTTGATGAAAACACCCAAAGTTAAGGAAGATGCTAGTGCTGTTGATGACCATTTTGGGCTGAAGAGGCTGGTCAAGACACCAAAAGAAAAGTCTGTTGGTGATTCAGAAGTTTCAGAACACCTTGGCTTGAAACGACTGATGAAAACACCCAAAAACAAGACAGGAGGGAATGTGCCTGTTGATGGTGAGCTAGGGTTGAAAATGTTAATGGGGTCGCCAATAGTACAACCTGTTCCTGTTGAGGGCCCTCATTTGGATAGTTTGTACTACACAACAACTGTTGAACAGCCTGTTAGCCACAGCCATTCGAAAGAAGGCAAAAGCAGTACTCCAAAGAATAATTCATCAAGGAAAAAGGTGAAACATGATTATTGAATTTCCTTTTTGTTTCAATTTGATTTAAATAAACCTGCAACCTCTGTCTAGTTGTAAGCTAACCAACCTACTAACTAAATATCTTAATTTTTATTGCAGACACCATTGAGGTCTATTAAAGGCAGTCCAAGAACACCTCATGCCGGGGAATCATTGAAGAAGTCTATCACAAGATTGCGACGGAATTCGGCAGCTGTTCAGGAGGAAGATGAAGCTCTCGTATCTTCAGATTTGTTGTTAAACACTTCTCTTGAAAGATCTGTTGATGGAAAACCAGCAGAAAGTTCAGTGCCAAAAGTAACAACTCCATCATTACTTAAGAAGAAAGCATCAGCAAAAAGATCTGAGAAGAAGAGGATATCCTTTGGTCCTAGCCTTAGCCCTGAATTGTTTGACAAGACATTGCCACCATCTACACCACTGAGGAGAGGAAAAAGTCCATCAAGAAGATTGTCAGAGCAAATGCACAAGGCTACACCTGGAAGTACTCAGAAGAAGCAGAGGTGCTCCCTTGGAACAGCTTTGGGCAAAATGCCAATCATGGAGGAGGAAGAAGATGGAATTGAGTTGAAGAAAAAACACCCTACTGCTCCAACACCACTGAGAGAGGAGATAAAGAAAGGTGTTTCACTTAGACAGACAAAGAAGAAGCTTGATTCAAAATTGCAGAGAGAGATTCAGGATGGGAAAGGGCTGATAAAAACAAAGAAGTCAGCACCAACTCCATTGAAAGCTGAGATTAAAAAAGGTGTGAAACTAAGGCAGACAAAGAAGAAGCTTGATGCAAAATTGCAGAAAGAGATCAATGATGGAAAAGAGTTGAAAAAGACAAAGAAGTCAGCACCTACTCCATTGAGGGCTGAAATCAAAAAAGGCGTTCAGCTAAGAGCAACTAAAAAGAGACTTTCAGTCAAATTGCAAAACGAAATTAGAGCTGGAACAAAGTTGGTCCCATTGCTTAAGAAATCGCTGAAGACACCCATCAGAAATCAAATCAAATCAGGTATATTATTTAGAATATTTCTTTCAATTTTTTATGTTTATGTATATATATATATGCTTTAAGATCCTTGGCTTAGGTAATTTATTGAGAGTGGTGTTTATTCATAGTTTTGTGTCTCTTCAAACAAACTTTGGCTCCCTTGAGTTAACCTTTGATTTGGAGGCCTTATTATGTCATCATTAATGTTAACCCCTGTTTCAAATGATTTCCATTTTGCTGAAGCCCCAAAGTCAAACAGTTATTCAAAGTTGGAAGATATTTGGGCAAGAACTGGATCAATTTTGATGTTCGTGTTCTCTTCTTGTGGCCACTTTGTTTTTCCTGTGACCTAGGCTTTACAAAAAAACCAGCTTTGCGGAGTGTGAAAATACGGATTCAGTCCCAGCGTATTTTCTCATGGAGCCTCATAGAAGATAAATTCTCAGTAACTCAAAAATATTTGTCAATCATTGCCTCTGCGAAATTGTACTACGGGTTTTAAGATTTCTAAAACCTGTACCAACTTTGGTTCGAAAATCAGTGTATAGAACTGAGATGCTTGTCAATCTTTTAAAAGCTTGAAAATTTTAATTTCGTCGCTCCATAAAATTTGTTGTAAAATACATTTGGGTCATTCCATTTCAAAGTGGGACAAATTTCTTCATTTTGTAACCCAAAGTCTCAGAAATTGCTCATTTTTTGTGGAAAAGTGGATAACCATGAGATAAACACATATACAAAATTTTACTTCATAATCTTTTGTTGTTCTAAAAATAGAGCATTTTGAAATTTTGCTGATTCTCAGCATTTTTTCCAATGTCCGCCATTTTGAATTTAACCCAGAGGTTAAATATACTAAATAAATGCCTCTACTTAGCATCTTGATGTAAAAATCATGTTTTTGACTGATTTATGTATCAGGATTTCAAAAAAAGTTAGAAAAAATTTGTGAGACACACCCACAGTCTGTAATTAACTAATTAATGAGGAGCAGTTGTTGTCATAGCAACGAGTTGTCAAGATGTTATTCAAATTTTTGTCATGTTGCACACCTGTGATAAATTTCAAATTTTCCAAGCACGAAGCTACAGTCATAAGTAACTCTTTTACAAAGAATTAGCAGGGTTATATTTGTCTTTACAAAAATACAGCCCTAGAAATGCTAGGTACTGTAAATGCCTCTTTCGTCTTCTTCACCTTGTTAAAAATTAGCAAATTGCTAGCTGAAATAATTTTAAAAAATATGTAAAAGCAGGAACTGATCTCTTGACGATCTTTGTGTGTTGCAATTTATCAGCATACTGCTAGAATAATGCATATAAATCAGTTTGGGACATGGGTGTGGACATGGGTGTTGGCTAAGGGTGTGGAATGTATGCTGAAAGGTTGTAAGGGGCTTGAGGGCTGTAAAACTCATATTGGTAGGGAGCTGAGGCCTGTTCTCTGCAACAATTTATATGGTCATCATATAAAAAAGTCATGATACACCTTAAATATAATTAGCAACTTTAGCAACATCTCTGTCACAGAGGTAATATTGTCTGCCGGACAATGTTGATGTTCTTGGTGTGCTTATGTCTTCTCTTCTGGGCCATGCAAATGAACAGCTTGGTAAGTGTGGGTGCAAGAAATTGCCTTTTGCATCTTTGCTTTCAGTGTCTAATTCACCAAAAAGCCCAAGTCAAAGAAAGTCATCATACAAACAGACCAAAAAAACATCCAACACGGAGCTTTTCTTTGATTTTTTCATCTTTGGTTGGCTCTCCAGTAAGACTGAACTCTGCTTCAAAGTTGGTATCAACTGATGTTTGTTTCACACCAACTTTTCATTGTGATAAAGGGATAAATTGATGGAAGCTTCTTGTTCCTGGGACGTCCTAGCTTTTGCAAAGCGGGTTTCCATGCGTCTTCTCGTCTGTGATATCTCAATTTGTGAGATGAAGAAAAATTGAATGCCAGAGATAAAATTTGAGCAAAATTCCATCATATGGGTTGCAGACAAAAACAGTCAAGCGCCTCACGGCAAAAGCCAGTTTACAAAGCCCCCCAGTTAATCAAATTTTGTCTGCAACCCATATGATGGAATTTTGCTCAAATTTTATCTCTGGCATTCAATTTTTCTTCATCTCACAAATTGAGATATCACAGACGAGAAAACGCATGGAAACCCGCTTTGCAAAAGCTAGGACCGTCCCAGGAACAAGAAGCTTCCATCAATTTATCCCTTTATCACAATGAAAAGTTGGTGTGAAACAAACATCAGTTGATACCAACTTTGAAGCAGAGTTCAGTCTTACTGGAGAGCCAACCAAAGATGAAAAAATCAAAGAAAAGCTCCGTGTTGGATGTTTTTTGGTCTGTTCGTATGATGACTTTCTTTGGCTTGGGCTTTTTGGTGAATTAGACACTGAAAGCAAAGATGCAAAAGTCAATTTCTTGCACCCACACTTGCCAAGCTGTTCATTTGCATGGCCCAGAAGAGAAGACATATGCTGGGTACCTATAGAGAATGTTGTCATGATGGTTGAAGCACCAAGAACATCAACATTGTCCGGCAGACAATATTACCTCTGTGACAGAGATGTTGCTAAAGTTGCTAATTATATTTAAGGTGTATCATGACTTTTTTATATGATGACCATATAAATTGTTACAGAGAACAGGCCTCAGCTCCCAACCAATATACACTTACGTTCAAAAAGTATTGGGACGAATTCGATAAACGGACTATGGCGTTGCCTTGGATTTGGTTTTGCAACGGAAACTTTTTCAGATTTGGCAAGTCTTTATACAAATAATCTAGGCCCAAGTTTCCCCAAAATGGAATAAAAAGTTAACAAAATGCTTCAACTTATGAAGAATAACCAAGAAAACACAGGATTCTTTCGATTTTCCTGATTATAACAGCAAAATATGCAGAAGGGCTGAATGGCCTAACAATGGCAAAGTCACATGACCTTCCAAAAATTTTAGAGCTGTCCAAACAAATACAACTTTTTAATTTCACCTTTGCATAACAAAAAAAATTATTAAAGAAATTATAAAATCAAACTTTTAAGCTTCAAAAAAAATTTACTTCATCGACGAAAATGCTACAAATTTATTAAATTATTGCATTTATTCAAGCTACTTTTAAAATTGCGTAACATTAAAGGAAAAGCCATTGTACTCATCGTCGATGAGTAATTTTTGCTTTGAGAGAGCATTTTCTTCTTATAACGCTGGAAAATTTGTATTTTTCATGACTTCTATAGCCATGTTTTTGCTTATGTTCCAAAAATTAGCTTCCTTTTATACGACAACATAATATCTAGTAAGGATTCAAACCTATTACTTCCAGTTCCCTCAGTAAAGACCTGTCGTCCCTAGGCGTCGTAAACTTCTTTGGTCTGCAAACCCTTGGTAAATTTTTTTCTGTTCTTGTACGGAAAAACTTTTTACACACCAGAAAAGCTGCACTCATTGAGCAGCCGAGAATTGATGCAATATCGCAAAATCCATTTACTTTATTATAGTAGAAAGCAATTTTTAAGCGCTTCTCTTAATTCAGTTCTTGAGTTTTCAGAGCTTCCATGTTTTCGTCTCGAGACCTATAGAAATTTTATGGTAGATGTATTTTTAATTTTTTGGCGTACATAAAAGGCTTCAAAATATCAACAATGTCTTGTGAAAATTTCATGGAAATAACTGCCGTACTTTTTTAATGAGAAAGATTTTAAAAAAGTCTTTCCGAATTTGTTGCATAAAATTTCTTCGAAGTTTCGAAGGGTGTCCCAATACTTTTTGAACGTAAGTGTAAGTTTTACAGCCCTCAAGCCCCTTACAACCTTTCAGCATACATTCCACACCCTTAGCCAACACCCATGTCCACACCCATGTCCCAAACTGATTTATATGCATTATTCTAGCAGTATGCTGATAAATTGCAACACACAAAGATCGTCAAGAGATCAGTTCCTGCTTTTACATATTTTTTAAAATTATTTCAGCTAGCAATTTGCTAATTTTTAACAAGGTGAAGAAGACGAAAGAGGCATTTACAGTACCTAGCATTTCTAGGGCTGTATTTTTGTAAAGACAAATATAACCCTGCTAATTCTTTGTAAAAGAGTTACTTATGACTGTAGCTTCGTGCTTGGAAAATTTGAAATTTATCACAGGTGTGCAACATGACAAAAATTTGAATAACATTTTGACAACTCGTTGCTATGACAACAACTGCTCCTCATTAATTAGTTAATTACAGACTGTGGGTGTGTCTCACAAATTTTTTCTAACTTTTTTTGAAATCCTGATACATAAATCAGTCAAAAACATGATTTTGACATCAAGATGCTAAGTAGAGGCATTTATTTCGTATATTTAACCTCTGGGTTAAATTCAAAATGGCGGACATTGGAAAAAATGCTGAGAATCAGCAAAATTTCAAAATGCTCTATTTTTAGAACAACAAAAGATTTTAAAGTAAAATTTTGTATATGTGTTTATCTTATCATTATCCACTTCTTCACAAAAAATGAGCAATTTCTGAGACTTTGGGTTACATGCCTAGTTTTGGAATCGATCACATGTATACAAACGAAAAAGCCGACATTGTGTAGACAGAAGGAGTTCTTTTATCTCTTAGACTCCAGTGGTAATTATTCTATAGGCACGCAGCACTGATTGGTCAACTATACCGGTCTTGTGCTTGCATTTTTCTGATTGGCCTATTTCGATTTAAAACTGGGTATATATTTTTTATCGTGTTTTTTCGGACATTTATTCTGACGTTTTATGCTCTGAGGAGTGTCAGGCAAAAACGTTTTTAGTTAATATGTTGTAAAATGTTTTGCTTTTTTTAAAATACATTTTGTCATTTTCTGTTATATCTTACTTATAATTCTTTTTAAGGAGTGAAACTACGAAGGACAATAAAGAAAATGTCTACTCCCCTGAAGGCTGAGATACATGCAAGAAGAATTTCGTCTAGATCTACAAAGAAAGTTGAGACTGTCAAACCAGTCACTGAGAAGGCAACAGTCCAGGATTCGGAAGTCACAACAACTAGCAGCGGCAGACACCTTCTTAAGGCTAAGCGTAGACTTGGAACAAATCGTGCACCAGAACCAACAACAGGTGCATTGGAGATACCTAGAAGAGTAAGTGAAATGTTGATCTTTCAAGTATGATACCTCTTCATTTTACTGGTCTGAAGTAATATTTTGTTCCTCTCACCTACCCAAAAAAGTCTTTCTCAAAAAAAGCATGATTTTTAAATTTTTCCAACCTCTAGGCACATATTTAAACGCCAAGTCAACATGCTTTTCAATTATCATTCCATTGGATGGAAATATTTCTATAATGTGTTTTTAAAACATTTTTGGATCATATATACATTATCTGCAAAATCTTTAATTGTATGTATCTCAAAAGATCTTTACTATTTCACTATTTTAAGAGCCTCTTTTACGCCTCCTTTACTTGGTCTCGCTGTGACTTAGGTACCTAAAAGTTAAGGACTTTAATTATCTTTAAGTTGTAATGAAAGCAACTCAGAAATGCGGATATTGAAAAGAAAAGCGTAAATCGACTTTATTTTTGCTTTTTCCTGTGACTGACCATGCATCCCTATAAATTTCAGATTGAATGTTGATTCCCAATCACATGCTTGTTTTAAAAATTTTGTTAAGAATGCAGTTATCAAACGTTTTTCAAATTCGCGGGAAATTTCAAAATCTCAATTTGGGTATTCTTGTTTTTGCTTATAGTTATCGGCAAAGATTGAGCGACCAGCAAAGAAGAAAATTTGCAGAAGAACCACACCGAAGAAGATGGTAGAGCTCCGAGACCAAAGTATGTTTACATATTTCCTGTTTACATATACATGCAAGGCTTGAGAATAAAGACTTTGGAAATTTTTCTCATTTCATATTCTGTTTGAGATTAATGTAGATCTGCACCAGATTCTAGTTTAATGCATTGAGTTTTCTTTTCAGTTTGTTCATTTTGGATGGGAGCTTGCCTGAGGTTCTTCTAAACCTCTCCCCCCCCCCCTCTCGAGGATAATAGAAACGATCTGAAGCAGCCGTTGTGAATATAAGCTATTAGTTAATTTTTAATTATAAGCTATTAGACAATGCTACAACCTGGGTAAAGCATTAATGTTCAAGAAAGTACCTTAATGGGTCTCATTGTTTGTTTTCTTAACAGTGGTTGCAGACAAGTATGATTGCAGCTTAGAAACTGAAGTATCTGCAGAAGTCACTGAACAACCTTGGGTTGCTTCTCCTGCGATTGCATTGCAGTCTGCTGGAACCGCCAAAGAAACCACTCCGAAGTCAGCTGGGTTGTCTGCGGATTCCTATCTGTGTGGGAGACCCTGTGAAGATCTCAGCAACTTCTCAAAGATACCAGACGTTTGCGTTGCTTCATCTTTTGCAAATGCTGATGATCTACCCGTCGAGGAAGATCTTGGTCTTAAGGAGTTGATGAAAACACCAAAGGCAAGAGAGGACAGTGAAACTGCCGAAAATCCCAAAGAAAAGGCATCTCAAGATGTAATGGAAGAGGAACATTTGGAACAACTGATGAAAACACCCAAAAACAAGATAGAAGGGAATGTATCTGTTGATGGTGAGCTCGGGTTGAGAAGACTGTTCCGATCACCAAAAGAGCAACATGTTCCTGTTGAGAGCCCACATTTAAGTAGTTTGTTCAGGGAGTCCAAAATCAAGCAGGCAGAAGTTATCAATAATTACGGTCTCCGACGGCTTGTCCAGTCTCCCAAACATCGAGTTGCCAAAGCAAACAAATACAGCATTGAACCTGGAACACTGCCGGTAATGTTCAAACCAGAAAAAGAAGTTTGCGTGCCAGTGGAAAACATGAACTTACAAGATCTTTTCGTGGAAAAATATTGTGAAGATGATAGTTCGCCTGCTGCCGAATTTTTGCAACAGGTGGTTCCACCAAGTTTGAAAACAGCAGCGGCCAGTCAAGCTCTCCCTGCAAGACAGACAAGAAAAGGAAAATCCGCTAAAGATGTACTTTTGGAAAAGACTGTTGAGCTGGCCAAGAAAAAAGATGAAGTTGTGAGTACAGAGAACAGTGGAAACCAGGCAAGATCGACAAGGCAAAGACGAAGAGGAGCAGCCTCTAAGATGAAGGAGTCAGCAGAGGTAGAAGAGATTGCAGACACGCTGGAGTCGACTGCAAAACCTTCCGAGGAGCCAATTGTGTCTGCCGATGAGAATGCAGATGTGGTTGTAGAATCTAAACCAAGTCAAACTGCTGATGAGACTGAAGTTATGACTACGGAATCAAATGAAGTTCAAGAGCCAATACCGAAAAGGCAGACAAGACGGGGCACAAGGAAAGGTAGTTCTGCAAACAAGGCTACAAAACTACGACAGGAACAACCGGTGCAAATGAAAGAAGACAAAGAAATTGATAAGGATGTTAGTGGAATTCAGAAGACAAGGCAGACGAGAAGAAGTGTGGCATCAAAAGCCAAAAAGTCCCCCCAAGCATTGAAAAACCATTTGGAGGCAATTGCGGAGTTACCTGAGGAATCAAATGCTCCAATTAATGAAAGTGAAACTGCAGCTGTTATTGTCAAAGAGATCCAGCAAACACGGCAGACAAGAAGAGGTGCAACCTCAAAAGCGGCACAGTCAGCAAATGTGGAGGATGCTGTTAGCAGTACTGAACCAGTGGCAGAAGTTTCTAGAAAAACTAGGCAGACACGGAAGAGGCAAAGAGCTGCAGTCTCTAAGACTGAAGAAACTGCGGAAGTGGTTGAAGAGGCTAAGAATGTGGCGCAAGCAGCTGAGGGGCAAGTTGGATCTGGCAATGGAAGCGATGATGTTGATATGGAAGCAAAAGAAGTTCCAAAAACACAGACCACTAGGCAGTCAAGGAGGGGGAGGTCTTCGAAGTCGATGCAAGCTGTAAAGATAGAAGAAACTGTTAGAAATGTGGAGACGAATGCAGAGGTTTCTCAGGAGCATATTGTACCAGTCTCCGAGGGTGTAGTTGCCCAAGCTGAAGCAAATCAAACCAAGGAGACAAAGCCTAGAAGACAGACAAGAAGAGGTACTGTGTCAAGAAGTAAACGATCTGTGAAAGTGGACGATAACCTTGACAACGCTGAATCTCTTTCAAAGATGCCAATAGAGCAAGACAATGCACGTCAAGGTGACCAAACAGAATTGGAAGCTGTCCAAGTGGAAGAGTCACTACCAACTAGGCGGACAAGAAGAGGAGGATCCTCAAAGGCCATCGTGTCCGAGGAGGTTGACAGTGTTGTCGCCAAGGTTTCTGAAGTTAAATCAACCAGGCAAACACGACGTGGCAAAAACCTAAAGTCGGTTGAGCAAGAGGTTGCCCCGAGTAGCAAAAGGAAACGGGCCGTCACAGTGGAAAATAACGTAGACGTGGAAACATTGCCAATGCCTGAACCGAAACGCTCCAGACGGGGAGAAAAAACATTGAAAGCGGCAACTGAACCAAGACAGGGACGCTCTCTTAGATCAACGAGATTGACTACACGCTAAGACAAAACAAGCATTCACGATATCTGTATATATGATTTTTTATATCTTTTAACTTTATATTTACTTGAATGGCAGTTGCACTTTCGGTTGATGTGAAATTTGTTAAGGCCAATATTACAGCTACCATGTACAATAGCACACTTACCAAGATGCAATTTGAAGCTCTGCGAGTACACTAAAGTGACACGGGATTAGTTAAGCATATTTTTATGTAGCTCTTTGATTTTATGTTAGTGGCTTTCCTCTGCAGAACGTTTTAAGCTTTTGGTCTTCTTACTCTTCTGTGCTTAATTGTAGTGGGAAGGGGCCAAACTGAAATTGTTCACCCTCATTAGCATTTTACAATGACGCCCCCCCCCCATCATTTAATTGTCACCCTCCCATATTAGTGACTCGAACTGCAAATATAGACTATCAACCAGGAACAAAATGCAATAGTAAACTGACAAACACAGTAACTTTAATATCAACTATAAAAAAGCAGAATTTCCATTGGGTCATTTTATTTTGACCCCCCCCCCCCATTTTCAATTTTTTTTAAATACCCCCTCCCCTGCCTATTCCCCCTCTATAATTTGGTCACGTAAGAGTACGTATACTATATGATTTGACAGCTCGTATCTTGTACATATTAGTTTAGCTTTAGTGTAATCATATTGATTTTATGTTTTTAATGTTTTGAGGGATATCTATTTCCGTGCGAACATATCAGATTGTTTTTTGTTTCTTGGTTCTTGAAAGTTTTTTATCAGGGTGATTTAGTAGAGAAACCGTAAAGAAAAATGTGAACCCCCAAAAATGTCTGGAAGTAAATCCTAATGAATTAATAAAATTAAATAGGGTTGATAAATTCAAATAGGTTCTGTGGTTTCTTGTGCTTATTTAAAAGATGTCAGCGATTCTTGACTATAAACATTAGTAATTTTCACTATTACCATAGGGGTCTTTTGATACCAAATTGGAATAAAAATACAACTTGTGATTTAAACGTGATATTGAATATTTATTGAACAAGAAAGATGATTTTCTAGTTCCGTTGTTGAATTTTTTCAGCAAAAATTGGACATGTTGTCATACATAAGAACAGATAGGAAAAATGTCTGCCGCTGGTCATAGTATCACGGGCTTATGTGCACATTTACAGGTTCTTCAATACCTAACACGTGCCCAGTAGGACGATTTCTTTAAAAGGGAAGGACGATTTCCAAAAAGGGCGGCAGACCTGCCCCTAGTTGCCCTCCTTCAATCCACCACTAGGTATAGTTTATTTGAATGATTATTATTTTATTATTGCAGGGACGCTTAACTTTGCAGATGGAAACCCCCTTGTTGCTTTAAATGGACGAAACCTTTAATGTGCCATTATCAATTTTACTGACTTTTATGAAAAATTGGCAACAGTTGAAAAACAGTCTTCTTCAATCAAATTCCCCCATTTTTTACAAGCTCTCGGTTGAGCTCGCGCTTTCAGTTTATCATTCATAATCCATGTGCAAAAAAACAAACGGAAGCGCTAAAGTGCATGGTCAGGCTGAATCAGGATTTGATGAAATAATTTTATCGTGTTTGTAAATTGCTGAAAGCTTAATGGTTGATATAAAAATATGTTGGACCCGAAACATTTCAGTGCAGACAAAGGAATGATGAAATTTTTTGAACTGGGAAAAGACTGGACAAAATGTGGCATTTGAATTAACGCTTTTGTTTTGTGAGTTTTGAGCTACATATATATTCAAGCTAGTGTCTTTTAGGAACTGCCTAAATGTTTGATGTTTTTAAATTAGCTGATAACAAGCAACGCGAGGAAACGTACGAACTTTTCGTTGCCTTAAAGGGGAACTGAAGTGAAAAATGAAAATCAATTTTTTAGTAGTTTTCATCGTGCTGATTTCGAATATCGACACGAAATTAGTGTTTTTCTTTTCGTTTTCCTGCATTCACCACGCGAAGTGTGAAATTTCTCCATTTCGGTTGCGGAGAGGTCTGGAGACAAGTTTCAGGCGCTGACGTAAAGTTGTGGACACGTGCCCCGAACCTAACGAAAACAACAGTGTAGTAGAGTGAATCGGAGGGAGGGAATTTGGTTAGTAGGTAAAATTTCAGTTCGCAATTTTCACGACAGCTCTTCAGGAATGACAACAGACTTAAGATCGAGCGACGATGAATTTGGAGCATGTGGTGGTGAAGTACTTGCCCTACCAAGGGCGAACGGGAACTGCGAAAGTGGCGATGAAGATTAGCCTAGGCCCGATGAGATCCCAGAGGCTGAGGATGAATTATCTCCCGCGACGTGCTCGTTTTGTCGGTAGAAATGAGGAAGTAAATCAATGGTACGTCGATCTTTGTTTCTTTTCTGACAATGAAGGCAAGAACAACTCAAACACAATTTCCTTATTTCCTTATAAAAAGTAAGATACAACTGAGAATGTAGGCTACATATTATAATCTTTCCATTTCTAAAATCTGAAATAATAAGGATTATTACATGTTACAATTTAATAAATATTTCCTTTGATATAAAACGTTTATACATAGTTTGATGTGTAGCACGGAACAGGTCGACCTAATCCACTTTGGTTTAAAAACTGGCTTGTTTTTTGTACATTGACAAGTATTATTAAATCTTACTGCAATTAAGATTTTTGGACTGATAATTCGAAAATGTCAAATATTTAATAGAATTGCATAAATATGCCTAAAATAGATTAATACCTAAAATTATATCCATTTTGCTAGGTATCTACAAACAGTGGCCGATCAATGGATGGTTTGCTGGTTTTTGGGTATTTGTGCTGGAAAAACTGGACAACTTTAAGTATGAATTTATCACAAAATGTAAAGAAAAGAACTTTAGTCAAAGAAGACAAGGGTTTCAAAATTCTGCAGAGAGACAATGAAAATGCAAAACTCAGCTACCTACTACATATACAGTGGAGTACAGGGTTATATACAGGGGTTATTCAAAGGGACCAGACTTTCAGTTCATAATAGCAAGAAGAGAAATTTAGAACCAGTGGGGTCATGTTATAAGTTAGAAATTTGTTAAAACTAGTGGAGATTGAGCAAGGCTTGATATTTTCAAGATTCCTAAGGTATATTTTTCAAGATATTTTACTCACATCAAAATGTGTAGAATAGTTTGGATTTGATTAAGTTTTCTCTTACAATAATGGTCCTGTACCACCTGCTTGGTAACATTTTTTATACATAATCAGAAGAAAATGTTTTACCTTCACAGTACAATGTTCTTTTAATGTATTCTGTCACTGCCTGTTGTTTAGATACACTGTTTTCAAATTTTGAGAATGAAGTTTTTTGGTACCCAATGGTTATATTTTTCTGAAATTTGCTTCAACTCAACATTTTTCATAGAACAGTTATGAGATAGAAACCCTGACATATCTTTTGTTAAGATAAGGTCTTTTAATAAACTTGGAAACATATACATCATTTAATGGTTGTGCTTTAAATCCTTCTCCTTTATGTACATCCTGGTATGAATTGTTTTTTGTGCCTGGAGTTATACCAGAAAATGCTTTGATATCATGTTCTATAGACAAAGCATGAGAAATCATGTTTAAAGGGGTATTTCTGAGGTGGGGGACTACTTTTGTCTTTTTCAGCAAACCGAATTGTGTAGGTTTGGCAAGTTTCATGGCTCTACAGCTAACAGAAATGGATTAACCAGAGTTATGTCCTCTGAGTGCTGGGCACAGGACCCCCGTTCTAAAACTAGCAAAAGAGGTATTTCTGAAGTGGGGACCACTCAATCATTTTCTGCAAGTAAATTATGTGGGTTTGCCAAGTTTCATGGCTGTATAGTTAACAGAAATAGATTTACCATACTAATGTATTCTGAGTACTGGGCACAAGTACCCCAGTCTTAAAATAGCACAAGGGGTATTTCTGAGGGTGGGGACCATTCTTATCATTTTCAGCAAGTCAAATTGTGTCGGTTTGCCAAGTTTCATGGCTGTATAGTTAACAGAAATAGATTGACCATACTAACGTATTTTGAGTACTGAGCACAAGTACCCCAGTCTAAAAATAGCACAAGGGGTATTTCTGAGGATGGGGACCATTCTTATCATTTTCAGCAAGTCAAATTGTGTCGGTTTGCCAAGTTTCATGGTTGTTTAGTTAACAGAAATAGATTGACCATACTAACGTATTTTGAGTACTGGGCACAAGTACCCCAGTCTAAAAATAGCACAAGGGGTATTTCTGAGGATGGGGACCATTCTTATCATTTTCAGCAAGTCAAATTGTGTCGGTTTGCCAAGTTTCATGGTTGTTTAGTTAACAGAAATAGATTGACCATACTAACGTATTTTGAGTACTGGGCACAAGTACCCCAGTCTAAAAATAGCACAAGGGGTATTTCTGAGGATGGGGACCATTCTAATCATTTTCAGCAAGTCAAATTGTGTCGGTTTGCCAAGTTTCATGGTTGTATAGTTAAAAGAAATAGATTGACCATACTAACGTATTTTGAGTACTGGGCACAAGTACCCCAGTCTAAAAATAGCACAAGGGGTATTTCTGAGGATGGGGACCATTCTTATCATTTTCAGCAAGTCAAATTGTGTCGGTTTGCCAAGTTTCATGGTTGTATAGTTAACAGAAATAGATTTACCATACTAACGTATTTTGAGTACTGGGCACAAGTACCCCAGTCTAAAAATAGCACAAGGGGTATTTCTGAGGATGGGGACCATTCTTATCATTTTCAGCAAGTCAAATTGTGTCGGTTTGCCAAGTTCATGGTTGTATAGTTAACAGAAATAGATTTACCATACTAACGTATTCTGAGTACTGGGCACAAGTACCCCAGGCTAAAAATAGCACAAGGGTTTTTTCCCAAAATGATTCTATATTCTATCTTGTTGCGCATACCGAATTCTATATTTTCACCAAGTTTCATGCTTTCATCACAATTTTCACGATTGTTATCTGTCATGAACCTTATCAAACTCACTACTACATTACATCAAAACATCTCTTCGTGTCCACCACTTTACGTCACAAGGTCACGTGACACAGTGGTCCGACCGCGTTCTCGCTCCGCCATCGATGAGGGCAAATTTCGACTTTAAAAACTTAATAACTTAAAAACTACATAACGTATTAAAAAAATTCAAACGGTTTTGGAATCAGCACGGGAACCTTTATCAGTGGTAAAAAAATCGTTTTTCACTTCAGTTCCCCTTTAAACTATTAACAATTATCTAAAAATTATCTCGTTTGTTTTACTCTTCCACACTTCTTTTTCCTTTTTCCTTTGCTCAAAAGTAAACATAATAAAAATGTTCATGGTATCATTGTTGCGTATAGACGATTTCATAAGGGCGGCAACATTTCATTATGGCGGATTTCGCAATAAACAAAGTCCCTGCGCCAGTTTCTCTCGGTGCCCTGTGGTTACTTTGCGAAGGCAAGTACATTTTTCCTATCTGTTATACATAAGAACTTGTTTACGGTTTATTTTTTTTATGGCCGTACCCAACCTTCCTGTACTTTGCGTCTTGTTCCTTTTGTAGAAAAATAACACGAGAATGTCGATGTTTTCATTCTGTTATGCCCTTTTGATATCTCAATAGACCACCAAACAATAGACCTTCAAAAAAATTGACGTTTTCGCTTTCCTTTGAAAAATGAGCCCTCTCCCCCATCCGATTCAATTTTGAAATGCATGATTTTGAAGCACACCTGGTAGAACTACAAATCCAACATCGATTCGTGGAAAATGAAATGGGGGTTCGAATTTAAAGTAGAATATTGCGAAAATTCGCAATGTGTCCCGACAAATTTATCCGGGATTGTAGTATCATTTTCTTTAGAACTTGCTTTCAAATATCTGGGAAGAAGCTGCTCTAAGAGCTTGGAAATGCGCTCGATATAAAAGTTTTGCGGTGACACTAGTGGGCCACCGTTATCATGAGAAAAGAGGCACACTGCGCAACACGATATAAGAAATGCCCTTCACTATAACTTACACAAAAAGGGAAGAAGAAGCATAAAAGTGAGTGTGTTGTGGAGAAAGTTTATGTAAAGTCAATTGCACTATCTTTGAGAAAAATAAATAGAAATTCTATACATGGAATGTGAATTACTTTTTTTCGAATACTCTGAAAGCCTCGAATCGAAACAGCGCAGAGGCAATTCTAATATGGCGTATCAAGCGTGAGGACGTTTTCTTCTTACCATGCTGTCTTTGCTACGAGAAAGATCAGTTTTTCGTCCACTTTTTGGATCGTTGAAAACATTGCGGTACCAAAAGCAAAGAAGCTTCTGCATTAGTGGTCAGTTAGCAATTAGGGGGAATCGGGACACATCGGAAAGTCATGGAGTTCAGATTCCCGCTTTGAGTGTTGAACGAGCACATGAAATTGCCACAAAAGAGATCGCCGGATGTGATTTAGACAGCGAAAATGATCAAATATTCATAGGAACAGGACAGTATTTCCATATGGTGGGGAGAGACAGGGTTTTTGTCTTGCACTCGAAGGATGGTTTTGGCCAACCAATGCGAAAAGCCAATGCATCAGAAGGCCAAAAAATAATATTGGATTGTAATTTAGCATCGGGAGATGTTGATAAACTAATGGAAAAACTGGAAACTGCAACCAACTGCAAAATTTGCAATGGAGAAATAAATTCAGTTGACAGAGGGGACTGGAGTTTTGGTTTTACAGTGCGACATAAATTTGCAATTTTTTCAAAAAATGCCTTAAGCTATTGTAACTTAAATGGAAATAAAACCTTAAATTTGATGGCGAACGGAGAAGAAGAGATTATACCTCTTACACAGGTGAAAAATATTAATGTAATACTTTCAGAAGAGCCATGGAATGAGCAAGCAATCGAAATAGAACTTAAAAATGAAACTTTTACACAAATTGTTGGCTATAGCCTTGAAAATGACATGAGGGATCTAGCAACCCTGATGGTTGACACTGAGTGGTCAGTCAAGGCTGCTGCTTTATTGTGCTTAAAGTTAAGGAAGTTGGGCCACCCAGTCAATTTAAGATTGCCAAGAGTTCTCACTGTGCAAGGAAATCCTTGGGTTGAAAATAGACATGAGATTTGGACAAAGTTTTCATTGTCGATATAATCTTTTTATAGAGAGCAGAAAATTGGATTTCTTTCAAATTCAGAATTTCTCATTTTACAGAAAGTTTTTTTTCTAAAGCAAATAGAGTAGGCATCATATCCTGAAGAATGATGACTATTTAAATTTCCATTGATTGGACTATACAAAAGACAATTGCAATGTTTAATGCACAGTTGACTAATTGGAAATTGTGTCTTTAATCAAAGCGATGCTTGAAATCATGCATAAAATATAGTCTTGATACAGAAATATAGTCATTTTAATTAAAAGTGAGCTGGATATTTATAAATGAAGCCAAGGTATTAAAACTGATATTTAGCAATTTAATGAAAGTTCTTGAATGTGATTTCTTTAAATCGAAAGTTTTTCCTTCAAACTCAAACAACCAAAAATAATTTCATTTTAGGAGGTCTTTGTTAATATCATGAAACTAGATCTCGTCATACCCATAGAGACGGTGCAAAAATTGTAAGAAGAAAAACTACAATTATATTTATCTGAATAATTCACTTATACTGTGTGCTGGATAACAGAAACAAAAAATACAAAGCACAATAATCCTCAATTTTTTTGTTCATCTTACATGATCTTTAATCATCCTTTTGTTCATCAATTTTCTAATGATTAAACGGTTCCTCAAATCTTGAAACTCATAATATTTATCTATTAAGGGACTTGGTTGAGAGCCTTCAGTGAATGAATTCTTACATAATGACAACAATTTTCAATAAATATCTGTAAACATAGATTTAATATTCATCTATTTACAACATTAAACTATATATTTATTGTTATTCTTTAAACAAAACCCGATAAAAACATCTAGGATAAAAAGTAAACTTTCAAAAAACATATTTGACAAGGTTGCAATTCAAGCCCAGCAACTGTCATTGTCAAATTGGTCACCTAAAAGCTGGAACTTATTGAAGTTTCTCTCATGTTCAAAACTTTTATACTTGTTACATTTGGTTGGTTTGGTGGTGAAATTTGACAAAATAATGGGAAGCAGGCCTTTGTGTCAAGAAATTGTCACAAGCAAGGACTGCTAGGGCAATCGTCCCTCCAACAATATTTAAGGGGAGAAGGAAGCCCTCCAGTGTCTGAGGGTGCATTACGGTTTCAACTGCCCGCAATTGCCTAACTTTTGGCTTCCTAGATGCGTGATGACAGCTGATTTGTAAACAAACTGTTTGATATAATGATATATAAATGTGAATAATGAAGCAACTTGAACTTTCATTCAGGCTTTTCATGATACATAGGAACTAACTTTTGTTAAATGATTTTCCTGTCCCTTGCTAACAAAACATATTTTTGCAAGGGCAGCCAATAGCCTGTGCAAATAATTCAGGCAGGTGGTTGGCAACAGCAAATGTGACTGCCTGCTTGAAATGAAAAGGCCTGACGGAAGAGAGCATTCATAGAGTTATTGGCCTTAGATAATACTTAAAACTACAAAAGTCTTAAGTCAAAAGTATCTGCAATGAACTTTGTTTTTGAGGAAAATAAATTCATGTTAAATCTGTCCCTTCTGCCCATTCACAGCAAAGAACACAATAAGGTGGTGCATCAGTGCAGTCTCTGTCTCTTGTGTGCAAAGTGTGAAAAGCACTTTTTCCAAGTGTGTCTGCTTGTTCGAATAAAGCCATGCTTCAACTATTCAAAGTCTGGAATATCTTCATATGAATAACCTCTGTATCCCCTCCAAGCACAATAGGCAATTCGCACATGATAGAAGCCAGGGATGAAAAGCAAAGATCCCAAGATGAGCATTGGGTAAGTGCGATCAGCATACTGAAAAATGAAAAGTAATTTGTTCCCACTTTCAAATTACAGTGACACAAATCTCATAGGCTAAAACATCAGGCCTTGTAAAAAAAAGCAGGTGCTTGGCAAACTGTAAACATTTTACTTTTTGAGTGCTCCATTCAATAGCCTTCTAGTTGAATTAGAAGTCAACAGAAGTTCAGAGATGTGCGCTAATTTAAATTTTAAAAATTGACATACTGATAAATTCAATCCCAAATTCAAAAACACAATCAAACATTTCAAAAAGAGAGCACTCAATTACTCTCAAGTTGGTCTGTGGTCCTATATGTATGTAGAGATGTTAGTTAATCAACTTAAACACTTTGTTCTTAATCATCATCAATCAAGGGCAGGCACCCAATTGATCAAGCTCATAGAGCTTGCTAGGTGTGCGGGGAGGCCCTCAATTAAGACAGTATTTTGACTGAGACAGTATTTAATTAAGACAGGCCTGACAATTATAGAGACAGTATTTTGTCTACAGTGCTGTTACTTTTGTATATGCCTTGGGTTTCAATATTTTTTATTGTTAAGGAAATTCCTCTTCCCATCCCACAATGAAGAAAAGGCTCTATTTCAGATCACTGAGAGAATGCTTATGATGAATGGAAAGATAAACAATGTAGGAGAATCAATAAACTTATACTTGATTTTCTGGCTTCTAGAAATCCTTACCAAAATTGTTGGGGCACTTGCGCAAAGATAAAGCTTTATTTGGAAAAATCCTCCCCTACCCCCCATTACAATGCTGTTCAGTTTAGCTGGTTTGATACTGAGATAAAAAAAATTTTACTTAAAAGCTGTATGAAGGTATTGAGAAAATAAATCAACATTGTACGGGGGGAGGGGGTTGAAATTTCGGGAGGGGCAGTGATATTTTGGTAAGGTATTTTGAGACATGTTTTGTTTATTTGCATGCTGCAATAGGAAGGCATTCCTATTGCAGCAATGATTGCATGTTGAGTTTGAACAGTCCTTTATTGACAATATATATAATACCTCTACATCAATGTAGCCAGTGAAAAGAAGAGCACCAATAACCAATAGCAAGGTGCCAAGGGTAAACAGAAATATAGCCAGCAGGATAGCTTTCACAGGTGGTTTTGGTGGTGGTTTTCTAAACTGTGCATCAATAAAACCATCATCAACAGACTGTACTTTGTGGTACTTTACAGTTGATGAGTTTCGTAGTGTTGGCATTATAGAATGTCTTTAGAACTTCAGGAAGTCAACCTGTGAAAAAAATAACCACTCCATAAGCTATTCTATGACATTACAAGATGGTCACAAATTATTGCTAAAATATTCATCACATAAAACAAATAAGGCACAAATCTATCATTTGCATTTTCTTTGCCAGTCTCCATTTGTCAGGGCATAATTCTAGTATCTTTTTTATTAAAACAAATTTATCCAAAAAATATTTGGTACTAAAAGGGCCAATCATATAGTTACTTGAACAAATCGTTACAAACAATAGTTTGTGCCAAGGATAAAACTCAAAATAAACTTTTTATTTATGTAAGAAAGTGGCTTATCAAGTGACGATACTCCTGAACACTTATGGAGAGGGAACATCTTACAAGATATCACAGATAGGCCTTTCTCACTCCAAGAAAACAAGAAATGACATCTACCTTTTTCTGATGATTTCACTAAGTAAATTTCTGATTTCCGATCTTAGAGTATTGCTCTTGTATGTTTTGGAAACAATTATGCAATGGAACACATAAGTCTTCAGGCAAGTAGCATCATGTGAAAGGATAGAAAAGGCTCCATTAAAGTGCTTTTCTTGACATAACTTGGAGCTGTAACTTCAAAGCAAGCTTGCATTCGAAAAGTCACAAAATAAAATTTATATAAAGTTACAATTAGGCTGTTTATGATAATATTAATTCTAAGGGGGTTAGACAGCCTTGATCTTATAATACAATGTAGTGGTTGTGCTTTTGTGTTTGCTTATCACTTTTCAAAATTTAGCACGAAATTATTTGGCTCCAGTGCAGATGCCTAACTATCAACATTCTGAACAAAAAGACTAGGTCAGAAAATACCTCAAAAGATCTTCAGTTCAAAACTTCAGAGTAGCATTTACTCTTCCTTTTAATTTCCACGTTTACTGATAAAAATGACATTTTTACTGCTGGTTTGTATTTGTTACTACAGCTTTTAGTTCACTGAGAAGTTTAGGTGCGGTGATGATTCAGCTATTAGAGGATTGACTACAGACCAAAGAGTCTGTGGTTCGAGTCTCTGGCATTACCAAACTTTCACCCAGAGTGAAGAGAGTTGCCAGTTTTCTGTAATTCCAGGCATAGGAATCACAAGGTGTGGTCACATCAAGAGGAAGGACCAGGACGCTGCTTGATAAGCATAAGCTTCTCAGTGTCCTAAAAACTACCTTCGGATGCTAGGTAGAAACAAATACAAACACAAGCTGAGTTTATTGAGCAGTGTCAAAGGCCTTCCCTTGATATGACCACACTTTGTGATTCATACTGTCTGGAATTAAAGAGAGTTGGCCACACTCCTCATTTTTAGTGAAAGTTGGGCATTTCAGCTATTTGGAAGCCAGAATCTTGGATCTGCAGTTGGCAAATCAAACCACGAGCAATCCTAAATATATACTTAAAAACTTCCTAATACCAAAAATATTATGTTTCAAATAGATTGCTTCTGGCAGATTGCTTTTATCACTCCCATATTTACAGTTTTGCATATGATCTTCAATGTTATCAAAACATTCTATATTGTTTTCTTGCCCAGCTATGAGTTGTGTTGTTATTATTTCATATCAGAATACCATTTTTGGGGAATTAGTAGGCATGATCTTGTAGTTAGAAAGACCATCTCTTTCACCTCTTTACATTTGCCTTCTGCTAGGACACTGATAGAAACTTTTAGAACAATAATTCTACAGGTGCAGCTCCCATACTAACCACAACTTGCAATGATGCTTGGCTAGCTTTCGTAATAAATGCACCAGGTTGTCTATTAGACCCAATAAGGTGTCCATTTTATTCGTTCATTTAGCTTCTTAACTAATATCTACGGGCTTAAAGATACTTGTGCCAAATAATGTACACGCCTATACCAAAGTGCACACTTGCAAGCTTGAAATTTTGGACTTGCATACCAGATATCTCGTTGGAAACTGTAGTAAAACTTCTTCTCTGCGGCCGGCCGTTGTTGTCAAGAGGGAAGGGATCTTCGTCGTTTTTATTCTGGCTTCACTTGGCTTTAAAAATTTTACCTGGCTTTAAAGGTTTAAGAGCAAATGAAAAATGGAACTGAAGAAAAACCACTTACCAGATTTCAAAGTAAATGAAAGATTTCACTTCATCTCACCCACCAAAGCACAAGAAAAGAAACACAACTCTGCGCTTAAACGAGACTGAAACCTGATGTAAACGAGGCTGAGAATATCCCGATGCCGCGTCCAACAGGAAATAAATAAGCATGATGAATCATGATGATGGAAATAATGAATCATGCTAATAGTCATAAATTAGCATGATTCATTATTTCAAGTAAAGGGTTAGGGTAAACTAATTACGTCATCAGGTCGAGCAGTATGGAAACAAGACAGCTCCCGTCCAACACAGTCTAGTTTCAATCTTTCAATTTGGTTTCGACATTGGTAGATATCAGGTCACTCTTTATGATCATGATTGTCCAAAACACAATAGAAGACGTCCCACAACTCATCGCTTTTTCTTCAACACAATTCATCATCCCACAATTCATCGCTTTAACTTTGCAGCTTTCAAAAGAGCGATCAAGCACTGGCTTGGCGATAAGTGTAATTGCCGGATTTGTAAATAACCAGAATTGTAATATTGTTTTATTTTTTCGTAAAGTTATCTTTGTAAATTGTTGGTATAAATTAGTAATTATATTACTATTGTTAATAGACCAACTTTAAATTTAAGATTATTATCATTATCAACACATCAAGCTGAAATTTTCTGTGTGCGAATTCTCCGTTCCGGGTTGATGTCATTGATTTTGTATCTCGCCATCCATGGATCTTTCTCAAAAATTGACTTCAGAATTGAAAGCTTCCTCTTTAAATTAGTTTATACTGAAAACTTCATCTGTTTGGACTGTTCGGTGGCGAGTTACTTTGTTTTGAATATTTAGATATTTCTTTAGATTTGACCAGAATTTGCTGCTGCAGTGAAAAAATTTCACAACAGCAACAAATTCCTCTGATAAAACCCCGTATGCCGGGGCGAAATATTAGCCATCACTTATTTGTGTGTTTATTACTGTTTATTCTCGTTGCGTTGCGCTGTTGCTTATTTACTGAAATTTTCTGCCGTTGAGCCCTTGTTGCGATTTTATCCTGTACCATATGAGGCGTAACTGGAGCAGTGACGGATTTAAAGGGGGCAACTAGGGGCAGTTGCCCCTCCTTCAACGAGTTGAAGCTAGTCTGGCGCCCCTTTTTCGGAAATTGTGCTTCCGTTTTGAAGAATAAGAACCAGGTGGAAAAAAGTTTCTAAGACCGATAGGTTAATTTGCTTCAAGGATTACCTCAAATTTATGTTGTTTTTTCTGAAAAAGAATCTGAAATTGTTGAATACCGCGTAGTCTCGTCACCAATTTTTGGAAATTTGTCAGCGCCCCCACTACCAACTGCCCCTCTTTCAAGTTTGCTCTGGATCCGCCCCTGAGCTGGAGAATGTCAACGGGGCATAGCTTGATAATGGTGAATTTCCTTAATTTTGGTACACTGTCCTGAAGTTTTGATGCAATTCATAAACCAATGAGTGGGCCTTGGTTGAGTTGGCCTGGGTTGAGTGGGCCTGGGTTGAGTGGGCCTGGATTGAGTGGGCCTGGGTTGAGTGGGCCAAGGTTGAGTCAGAGCTGGTTGAGTGGGCCCGGATTGATTTAACCCAGGCTGATTAACCCCATGTTGAGTGGGGCTTGGTTGAGTGGGCCTGGGTCGAGTGGGCCCAGGTTGAGTCAGGGCTGTTTGAGTGGGCCCGGATTGATTTAACCCAGGCTGATTAACCCCATGTTGAGTGGGCCTTGGTTGAGTGGGCCTGGGTCGAGTAGGCCTAGGTTGAGTGGGCCTCGGTTAGGTTGATCCGGGTTGAGTGGGCCTAGGTTAGGTGGATCCGGGTTGAGTGGGTCTGAGTTTAGTGGGCCCGGGTTGAGCCAGCCCCGGTTTAGTCAGCCCAGTCTGGGTTGGCCCGGGTTGAAAAGGCCTTGGTTTAATCAGCCTGGGTTGAGTTGACCCTGGGATAGGTGGGCCCGGGATAAGTAGGCCCGGGTTGAGTGGGTCTAGGTTGAGTGGTCATAGGTCGAGTTAGCCTAGATTGTTTTAGCCCGAGTTGATTGGGTCCCGGATGGATGGGCTCGAATTAGTGGTCTTGGGCTGAGTAGGTCCAGCTGGAGTCAGCCCGGGCTGAGTGGGCCCAGGTTGTTTGAGCCCGGGTTGATTGAACTTAGGCTGATTAACCCCAGGCTGAGTGGGCCTAGGTTGAGTCAGCCCGAGCTAAGTGGGCATAGGTCGAGTTGGCCTAGGTTATTTTAGGCCGGGTTGATTGAGCCTGGGTTGATTGAGCTCAGGCTGATTAAGCCCAGGTTCATTGGGTCTAGGTTCAGTGGGCCTAGGTTGAGTGGGTCCCATAATGAGTGGGCTAAGGATTAGTGGGCCCGGGTTGAGTCAGCCCGGGCTGAGTGGGTTTTGATTGAGTCAAACAGGGCTGTGTGGGCCCCCGTTTTGCCAATACGGGTTGAGTCAGCCAGGTTTGAGTCAGCTCAGATTGATTGACCTTAGTCTGATTGAGCCCAGCTTGATTTGGTCTAGGTTCAGTGGGCCTTGGTTGAGCCAGCCCGGGTTGATTGGGCCCAAGTTTATTGGGCCCGGGTTGATTGAGCCCGAGATTATTGAACCTGGCTTGATTGAGCCTGGTTGATTGGGCCTAAGTTGAGTGGGCCTACAGTAGTTTGAGTGGGTCTAGGTTGAGGTAGACAAGCACAGCGCCACTAAAGCCCCCCCCAAGTTTTTCAAAGATAAATTTTTCACTGTTTTTTTTATTTTTCAAAAAAGAGTATGATATTTTAGTTTTATAAAAGAGGAAATCTTTTATATACTGATTGATTTTATTTGTTCATTGATTAACGTATTTACCTAGCTTTCTGTTATTTTCATTAATTCAATAACTCACAAAGTCTAACGATTTATATTACAAAATTTCTCTTGGTCTTCCTACCATATGATGGCATTTTCCCTTCTTCTCCAATTCCTATCACTAGAGTTTTATCATAGCTCCTCCCTACCCAACTTTTCCAATAAACGATGATCGGTTTTTTCCTGAGAAACGTCAAATTGTATAACCTAAGTTGAGCGGTATAGTACTTTCTCAAATTTAAGCCAAAGATATGTCTTTCTAGGTACGGCCGCCAGCAGACAGGACGGGCCTGGGGGAATACCATATGCCATACCGGGGCTCCAAATTACGCAAAAACATTAGGCAACGCCCTGCTTTTGCTCCTGGAAACGCCCTCTCTCTGAAATTGCAGGTGAAAACGGGCTTTACACAGCGCTTTGAAGCGTGGTTAAAATGTCAATCTTCCCCGCAAACCTTCAGCCTGGGCTTCTTTTGCCGACTGACAAAGTGACAAAATGTTAAGGATCTATCATTTGACCACACCCTTAAAGGGCGAGCCACGCTCTTTTTGTCAGCAAAATTTACTTCTTCACTCCTCCAAAAGATTTTTTCGTTTCGCCCCTGGCAAAGAGGGTCTTGCTGCAAACTGTTTTGCCAGCAAGAGTAAAAATTTTAACGGCTTTTCTTAAGCAACATTTTACGGGTTCAATGTTACTCTGATATGTGCTACTCCAGTTAAGGATATCATAAAGGATACGAGGTTGGTTGAAAGAATTATGTAGGTTCCTCTAGTGATAGGTTTTCTTTCTTTTGGGACAAGGTGACAGGTTTTTTTAAATCTCTGGTCAGAAGGTTATAAGCTGAGACATGCACAGCAATCTCAATGCTACGAGGAGGCTCAACTCAAATCTGAGTTACACAAGTATCCTTCAATAGAAGATACCATAAGGTAGAGGAAAAATGGAATGCAAGCAATCCTTTTTGTTTGAACACAGTCTAAATTCCAACTAACGCAAAGCATACGAGTCGCCCAATAAAAGCCTAAAGACAACAGATTTAGTGCAATGACACTGTCATACACACGAGAAAACACATAAACACACACACACACACTTGCAAATTCTCATAGCTGAAAGGTAATTATTAGATCATTGCTATTTTCATGCGAATACCTTTCTTTTGCCAACAGGTGTCTTTTTTCTCATTGAATAATTGCAGATGAACGACGAAAACTGTTACAATTTGCAACAATCAGCTCCCACCTGACCGTTCAGCAGCATGCAATATGTTGACATCATGCCCTGTCAAAACATTTAATTGCATATGCGTTACATATTCGTTACATATTTACACTGACCCTGCATATGCTGATTGCAGTTATGTTTTTCTGGTTTGAGAGCTGTTACTTGGCAAGTTCAATTATTCGCATCTTGTCTCTAATACTGAACCCACTGGTGCTCATTAATAAAAAGAAGTACAAAATTGGTGGCTCGCAAGACTTCGTTATCATACTTGCGTACATTCACGTACTTGTGGTTCTATTCGATGGCTTGCCAGCAACTCTGCCAAGGTTGGCATCTTGGCATAGTAAAGTACATGCCAAGATAGCCTGGATCTTGGCTAGCGTGGGGTTATTTTTGAACATAGCCCACAAAGGCATCCTACTGCTGATCGGTTTTCAGCGCTACTTTGCTGTGCGATCAGGAACAAAATACAAAAGGTATTTTTCCAAACAAAGACGCAGTAGAATGATAAAGTTGGTATGGTTGATTTCTGCTGCTCTTTGTGCTAGTGTGACCCCATTTGTCATAAATCATGTTTCTTCAGCATTCATTATAGCTGGCATTGCTGAAGTTGTTACATTTTGTCTCTTTGTCTATATCTACCCGTACATCATCATAAAAATGTATCGTGGAACATGCAGTGTACTTGATCATGGTTTCCCATTGACTGCAGCCCAAAAGGCGAGTAATTTGCGACAACAAAAGAAAGCATCATTGGTCGTAAAACTAGCTGTCTCCATAACTTTAACATACTTGATCTTCAATATGCCTTTTACTGTTTATGGTTTTGTTTATCGGAAATACCCCACATCGTGCTCCCAATCTTATGCATTCATCTTTGGTGTGTGTAATGCTTTCCGACTGATGAGTAGGGTCACCGATCCATTTTTATACTGTTTCTGGGCATATCAAGTACACAAAAGCAAGAAGTCAGGTGCCACAGCAAGCATCAGACCTCCAGTAGCAGAGATGAGGATATAAGCCCTCCAAGAACTTCCAGACTGATTTTTAAGCAAAGTTAACATTCAAGCAATTGCAATCTAATTCTGGTTTTAGGGATTTTCTCTGATTGGGATATAATTTAGCTATTGAGGTGCATCAGCAAGACCCGTACATTTCGGGTAAAATATGTAAAGGGTGTTTGTGATTTTAGATGTCAGTGATGTTCAGTGTTTTATTATTGTTGATCCTCTTCAACTGTTTGGAAAACTCGCTCAGGATTTATCCGAGAATCAACCAACTTTTAATCAGCTGGGATTTTCACGCCGCCTTTAAGCTTTGCGTTGCACATACATCTTGTATACTCTGCCACACTCAATTTTTCCTGAAGGCTGATAAAGATTTTTAAAAATTTAAAAACCGTCCTTAGAAGAATGTCCTTTTCGTATTTCTCTGCAGCAACAATTAATCTGTCATGTCATGTTCGTTATAGACTCCATTTCACATTCCGAGCCCTCTCCAGGGATGCTTGAGAGGGGGGCGCGGGGGTTCAACCGCCCCTGTTGCCTTTTGATAGGTGGGGCAAGGGGGCCAAAGTGCTCTTGACATCGGCCGCCTGTAATTACCAAAGAGATTCCTGTGAATTGTTGACTGTATGGCCTTATTCAAGACTACATTTCTATAATTTTGTTTAAAATTTTCTCATGCAAAAAGCTACCTTGTTCACTTAAGCCTGCCCCTTTGGCCCTTGTTTGTGCCATAAACTGATGTGCTTTAATAAGCATAATCTCTGGATATGCTCGATCTTAAAAAAGGTCAATTCAAAATGCTTTTTGTAAGATTTATTTCAACAAGATCCGTTGTAGGCAAAAATAAAAAAACTGTGAAAGTATAAAAAATTTCTTATGAAGAGAAGGTTCCAGTTTGAACTCAGTCTACTTCTACGAGAGCTTCTTTTATTGAAAGAGCTTCAGTTATTTAATCTTTTAGAATTCCCAAAATCCACTTAATAACAAAAGAAATATCTTCAAAGATTTGAGTACGTATTGCAGGTTGGTAGAACACAACTGATTAATGCGCGCCAATCTTCCTCTCACATTGCTTTCAACTCCACCTATTCAAGGATCAATGAATTTCACTGAAGAGTGTTTGGTGAAAAGCATTCTCGTATGCTATGTTTCTACTTTCTGTACTAAAAAAGCAAAGAAATAACAAACTATGGAGATTAAAGAGGGACAGTAACATGTATGCTTAAAATTCTTTAACAGTTTTTTGATCCTCGCGTTAAGCGTGAAACTAGAAGTTGCAACTTACACCGGTGCTGTTTAATACACCACAAGATTGCACAGCTCTACAAATATGACATCGAACACTTTTTGACAGACTGGTAAACAGTAACTTTCATTAAAATCGCATATATGCATAACTGGTCGACAAATTACAACAAAACATTTCAGCAAGGAGAAAAGCTCTCTCAGAACGAAGGCTTTTCTTGTGCCTCCCCAATATTTCTGATATTTCAGGTTTTTTGCAACTTCCCTTAGAAATATTTTGCTTCTTAGAGGTTTACGGCCCCACTCTCTCTTGATGATCTCGGAACGTAGCCTCGCGAATGACTTCCTGATGTCTATGACATGTTTTCTTAGGGAACATTTTTACTCTTAAACTTGCATTGTAACTCTCTACCGTGTTATAGAAATAATTTTACTTAAGGAGTTGGTTGATAGCTAGTAGCGAAAATAGAATTCAATATTTGTCAAAAATCTTCAATTGACGTGGATTCTCTTATGCTACTTTGAGTATATGTCAATGAATAATTCAACAATACTTAAACAACAACGGTGTAAAGCCAATAAAAGTTCTAATGATTTACAACAAAATTTAATGATTTAAATGAATCCGCATCAGCAATACGATAACACACAGTACCAGACAATTCACGACTTACAAGACTATTCAAATGAGGTGTGATCAAGCACATTTCTCCTGCAGCTAACAAGCAACGATGAAGAATACAAGCACAGACATATAACAAACAAAGAAGAATAAGGGTAAAGGGATTCAGATGAATAAATTTATTTGTAGAGTTGATGCAAAGGATTTTTTAGAGGATGTTCTTCTTTCAAATTTAACTAAGGGCATCATTGCCATAGAGTAGAAGTGTGAGCAGTTCTTCATCGTTCAAGAGATTACAATCAACTCCATGGGATGCACAAATGAAGGCTACTCTGCCAAGGTACACAGTTCTGTAGATAGCGTATTCTTGACAGAGCAGGAAAAGATGGGTGGTAGTTTCAATGCCGTAATTTGCTAAACACATTTGATCAGTGGTACTGATGAAGTTATGTCTAAACCTGCATTCTCGTAGAGGACTTGAATCTACTCTCAATTGAGTTAGTCTATACACAACAGAAAGGTCATGGATATCATAGATTTCTCCTTGTACTGGTCTCATTAAACTAATCCATCTGGTCTTAAAATGTGACACGGACATTAACCCACGAATCTCTAAGCTTAGATTTTTCCATTTATTGATGCAGTGAGGAAAAATACTGTCTAGAGATTCGCATCACTAAAGGGACCTTATTTAATACCACATTGCAGACCATGTTTTAAACATATAAATATTCCACTTAAAAGCGTCCCTTGCACCATATTGGCAAACAGGATTGATTGAACTTATTGGTATGTTCACAAACAGAAGAATACGATTAGAATGATGCATTTCTAGAGAATCACCGAAGCTAACTGAAGAATCCTACATGAACATGAAGAATCCAGAATGAAGAGGCCTCCAAGGTGAATCTTACACGAAGAACCAATCAGAAAGAATCCTAAGTAAAAATTCTGCATCGATAAAATTCAAAGATTAATCCTACGTGAAGAATCCTACATCAAGAATACTACATGAAGATTCTACATGGAGATTCCTGCACAAAGAATCCTACATGAAGAACCCCAATATTGACAAGTGCACTTACGTTGTTTTCGGTGCAACATTAGTCAAATAAATATTGCGCTGTATTGATTCGCCTTGTCTAGTTGTTCTAATGTTGAACTGCACTTTAAAAATGCTGAGCTGTGTTCAGTCAAACCGTGCGAGCGCGATCTTGTTAGGCTTAATTGGCTTGGTGAAGATAAGCTAGATTCAACAAGTGGATGTTTTTGAAAGCTCAAAGTGTCTTGGTACTTCTGAAGAATCAGAAGATTATAAAAAAGCCGCAAGGACTCTAAATAAAGTATAAACTTTCACTTCTAACTTATTATTAAGTTATCTAATCATCTATATGATTCCATTTCAAGGTTTTTCAAAAATCATACTTTTTTCATTATCTGAGAACAAGAACAATAATTTACCATAAAACAACTATATAAGAATCTAGTAAAACTGGTTTAAAACATTCAGCATTCTTTTTGAAGGTTTGCTGTATGTATTGGCTGAAAAATGCATTCTTGAATATCTGACAATAGAATTGTCTATTAGAACACCATCTAATCACAGTAAGCACTATCTTAAGTTCAATGATTATAAGATTGATCTAATTTCTTTATTTAAATATATGAAATATATATTGTGAACGTTTGGTCTGATGAATAATTATTCTGATGAATCAGTTTGTCTTGTGTGTCTTTTTTTCAAAATTCTCTGTGAATTTTAACAAGGAGTCGATGCTCCATGAATTCCCCTCATATTTAAACTATTCTCATGTTTTTGCCATGTATCATACTGCTTTACCACAATCACCATGCTCACCTGAAAGATTTTAGTATTATCAAACGCAAAAAGATGACCTGCTTTCATGATTCCTTTTGGAAATAATAGGTTTAAAATGTCCCTTTCACGATCCATTTGAAACAAATTTTGATTAAATTTTCAATTTTTTTGCTCGCAATTATAAAGCTGAATAAAGCTATTTATGCAACTTTTGCACTTTTATCGGGTATCACATGTCTGGCTACACGCCTGAATCACAAATGCGCATGCGTAGATGTGACGCAGCAACCAAGTAATCAGGAAGCCGATACCGTGAGAGAGGGATTTTCCTTTGCGTTCAAAACATTGATGTCGACGCTTAACGGCATGTCGATTTTTAAATTGTGAGCAAGGAGTGCAGCAAAACCGATCATTTCAAAGACTTTCGTTTATATAGAAGCAGCTTTTATGCCACTCAATGGAAATGGTATGTTCTATTCAATTATTTGTGTTCTTGAGATACCAAGGAAACTTGGGTGCAAATATGTAGGCCATCGACAGTTTATCTTTACCAGTTATCGCCACCCCTAATTCGTATTCCAGTCACATTCTTCAGAAGTTAAAACTTTGGAATTTATGTAATGACTTGGTTCCTTTCGACTCGCATAATCGTAGTAATTTCACAAGAGCCAGTCTCACAACAAGGTTCTGTTTGATGTGTGATTTGTGGTGCGATATCAAGATTCCATTTGTTGTCGTCGTTTTGCCTGCCACACACAACCTTGCTATAAAGCTGGCATAAGTTTAATTAAAATAACGGGGAAGCTAGTTCGTTGAAAGGAAGTACATGACCCTGCACGCTTTTACCTGTTACTGCTAGTGAATCATTCAATAAATGTGCGCGAATCATAGGGGAAACCTATCTTGGTATGTTATTGTACCGTTTCGCGCCAAACCAGCGATCACTTTCCGCGAGATCATATAATGTTTCGTATTTTTTGTTTTCGATTTCGATTCCGCTGAAATGTTTTCGCAAGCCTTTTAGATTTGATCAAAATAACCCAACTGTCATCGAGTACAACTGACCTTTGAAGTCCTGGATTTGCAAATTTTAAGGTTTTTCCAGTTTTCATGAAAAGTATGTATTAGGCAGCATGTATTGGATCAAAACCTAACAAAATGTGATTGAAAATAACAAGGCTAGATAGGTATATTTATTGTCAGTTGCATTCAGTCAGATTGATGTATTAAATCAGAGTGAGTGCAATAATCAACAAGGTTTGGGAGATTTCACTGTCATAAGAGATAACACTCCTCTTTGAATTCGAAACTCTCCTATCTCAAACAAGAGCTGGAAACTGTTTCTTTCACCTATGATGTTACAGAGGTGTCCGTGTCACTTTGGTTGGAATTGAGCCAACATTTAGTCTAATGTGCACAACCTCTTTGTAGTCAACATGTCTCTCATGTTTCAGATCTTGTTACGGTGGTTTGATTTCTGGAAGGAATTATCATGATTTATTTTGTTATCTGGCCATGCTTGCATCTGCTTGCACATGGCAGGAAAGTTCAGATTTTGTCATGTCCGTATGGAAACTTTGTTTGCAGTTGCCATAGAAGCTATTATATGATACTGCTTCTATCAGTTATTTCAGAGAAATCTTTATTGCATGCAACTTAGTTGTATCCTCTTAGTTCCTTTACTTCCTATATAATCTGGCAAAGCCCTCCGATTTTGAGTTTTTCCTTGACAGTTTTTTCATATTCTGTAAGCAATTTCTTTTGAAATGTTCAGACACTAATGCTTTATACAGTCTTTTATTAATGGAAATAATTATGCTTGGCTTTTGCTAATAAAGCAAGTGTGTAGTTAGATATTGTGCATTTACGATGACAGCAAGTTCTAAGAACTATTTGGGAAGTAGCAAGCCAAGACATGAAAGCCTTGTTCTCACAATATTGGATTCCCTCTCACCCATGAAATATAAGTTTATTCTAAACCACTATCTGGCTATCCATACTCTACACTGTATATGCCATAGCATAAACTATTTTTATAAAAGAAAAATTGCTTCAGAAATATCTGAAGAAAAATCTGACTGTTTCCCTTATTATTAAAGCCTGCCCTTTTTGGATTGCCATGCAAGCCTAGAAGTTATCAAATAGGCCCCCCTTAAACTTTCATAGTGGAGTCATACTTTTCTAATAAATGTCCTTTGATAGCACATTAGGGCCTTTGCAGCTGACACTGTTATAAGAGTGTGACAAACTAATGGAGACAGTCTGAGACCTATTTGCAAATCTAATGACTAGTTTTAAAGATTTGTGATTTTTGTCCTAATTTGAAAATAGTCAAATGCAGATGCTAAGTATTTTAGATGATGTCAATAATGTGAATGCAAATATTTAAAATGCATCCACACTAGAAGACACATACTAATATTATTAGGGAAATACACAGGAGGAGATTCCAGTTCTTATTCGAGTCTTTGTAACTAGCCTGTGTCAATGATTCTAGGCATTATAATGATGATATTATAATTCTCCCTTTCTATGTGGTCTGCCTTATGGCAGGTTTCGTCTCAATTAGACCTCACAATTGATGGCTTTCTGTTTAAAATGCCAATCCACCATCCATCTGCCAGACATCCAGTAGTGATTCAAAAATTCTGATTATTTTGATTTTTTCATCTAGTTATTTGTTGTTGTTGGTAAGGTGAACCCAGTCCTGGTAATGGATTAGGCGTGCAATCGCACATGCATGCCTCCACACATGAATAAAAACTCCAGAGGCATGCTTCTTATCGCACACATAGTTCCACGTCTTGACTTGAAATTTATTTTGTCTTTTGTTTCTTTTAATTTCTTGTTCATTTTCTCTAAAGTAATTTTCCAGAGGAGGGGGCATTTTTATTACTCTATAAGGCCCAGTTTCCATTACTTCTTTTTTGTATGTCTCCGTTTTATCATTTGGTTTTCATACATTTTCTTGAATCATCATCCCAGGCCCCTCCATTTTGGTCAAAACGATAATGTGGGTGTTCTGATTACTTCATTTTCAACTGTTTCCATATCCTTTGTTGGAGCTTTTTTTGAGACTTAAGACTGAATAACTCCATTTTCGATCTTTGTCTTTGCTGTTCCCAATTAAACGACGTATTTTCAAATGATTCCATTTACGAATGACTCCACTTTGAACAACATTTGGGAATGACTCCGGGTTTGTATCAAATGACTCCGCTTATGAGCGTGTTAATGGAACGCGAAGTCTAAAATGGATTAATTTGAATCCATTCTCATATGAAAACGGAGTAATAGCAACAGGGCTTTAAAAGTTGTATGCTCTTAATGTTAAATTATTTTGTTTTCAAGAAAACTCTTCTAAAATTCCTTAAAAATTGTTTGGTTTTAGGAAAACCTCTTACGTTTTTTTCAAAGAGTGATACACCCTTTCAAATACATATATGACATTTAAAAGGCTATCAGGTCTTCCTTATAAATGGTATGGTCTGCATTTTATGGGCCACACACCATCACACACCACCACATGCCTAAACTTTTCAAGGTGTACAATTACCAGCATGCTGACAAATTTCATATTACTAGGAAATATCCCAGCATGCTAACAAATTAAATTCTTTGACTGGATGACCCATCCCCTGTCTATGCAGTTTATGCAGTGCACATGGATTAGTGATATGTCATTTCATTAAACTTTCATTGAACATTGAACATCATACCCCCTGAAAATGCAAAGTTGGTGGCTGTGCGAGAGTTCTAGCTTCCAGTGCTCTAAAGACGTGCTAAATTAGGAAGGTCTTTAAAAATTTGATTTTTTCTTAAAGTGACACCTTCCCAGATTGAGTAGTAGTGCTTATAATGATAAATATCCTTTTCAAAAATAGAATTTCCCTGATTTCTTTTGATCAAACATAAAAGTGTGTTGAATCTGTTTCTATTCTTGTTTAATTTCAATGCTGCTAAAGTGGCCCAAAATGTTGACAATAATTTGAACTTTTAGCTTCATTAAAATTTTGAATTTTATGTAAGCATCAATGAGTGCTTTTCAAGGCCAAAACAGTTGCAAAACTGAGTTTTGACTTTACAATGCATTAAATTAAGAAAGTTTTGCTGTTTTTTTATTGGTGGCCATTGCTACAGCTGCGCTAAGTCACAGTGTTACATTGTATTAGGACTGTTGGTTGCCCATGGTGCTTGTGAGCCATTTGGCTGCTGGGCCAGTAGGCTTATGGGCTAATGGATTAGGTTTTAGTTTACTTAATTTATAAGTGTAAAGGGATGTCATATAAGATTGTTCTGCAGTAAGTTCTGTATTAAGCCACATCTTCTTTAAAACCCCCTTTGCTAACAAGTCCCCTCTTTTGAAAGCAGGAAAAACAAGCCCCTTTCTCTATCAACTCCTCCCATTTACAGACATGTATATGTCCAGAATAACTACGCCCCTTCTCTTTTAGACCCCTTTCAGTCCTTTTCGTAAGAAATAGCCCACACTAGTGGCCCAGCACTCGCGTGATTTCTTTTGCACGAGCGATCGCTCTAAAACTGATGATAATAATCAACAATGCTAAAAGTGTCTTTGATAAAACCCGTATGATCCTGTTATAAGGAACTTTTGTGTAGGTAATATCAAATGAACACATTGTTGGGTTTTGAGGCGAGTGCTGACGTGATTGCGAGTGATCCCTCCTGCCAAAAGAAAAGACCTGCCCTTCAAGCTCCCTGCAACGAAACACATTATTTATGGTACACAAGGGATTGCTCTATTGTAATATGCTTTTTTAAGACACAAAGGCAGTGGTTCTCACCACTTATGAAATATTCTAATATAACATGGTTTTTTTGCTACAGGGACAGTTCATGTAAAGGTACGTTGACGGATGGCAGCAATGGGTTTGGTTTTCGACTGCAAAAAGATATTTACACCATACATTTGTTACAAAGAGAAAACTTCAGAAATTGGCTAATATTCTTGAGAACAATATACCAGATTGGAAGACATTGAAAAGATGGCTAGTCAACGAAGACCAAAAGGTAAAACTATACCTGGGATAGAAGAAAGCTTTCTAGGTACCAAAACATCCAGTAATCTTTCTCGTAAAGGAAGGACTTCAAAACTAGTTAAACGCAAATCACAAGATGTCATAACTTCAAGCGAGAAGGAACGGAAGTCTCTAAGAATCAAGAAGCGAGCTTCCTCAGATCCTGTTTTGCCTGCTCAGAGCCGTGATGATAACTTGCTGCACAATTCTGCTAATTTGAAAATTGAAGCTTTTGACTTCTTCCATCATATGCTTAATCGATGCTGCGGATCACAGATGTTTAATGTTTCTGGTACAGCATCAATATTGAAGCAGTTCACACCTGATATCATGAAAACAGTTATTTATGTTATTGCTGAAAATAGCAAGAGAGTCCCTCTGGAACAAGCAAATATGAATTCGCAAGGCCAAAACGATGAAGTACATGATATGGAAATTTCAAATATAACGACAAAAGCGAAACTCAAAAGAGTTGATGGAAAATGGCAACCAGTGCCCGAGTTGGTGCAGCCAAGGTTGACTTCTCCTGGTAGTAATTCATGTAGCCCTGTGTCTGCAGCCGTGCAGGCGCTTATGAGCTTTGCGAGGAATGAAAAGTCGAGGAATAATCAAGCAGAAGAGATTGAAGTCAAGGGGACTTTTGAGGACTCAAGTACAGAAATTCATGCTCCACAAGAATCAGAACTTCAAAAGCCTGGGAATTTAAACGAATTTGAATCAGGCTCGCTTGCTGCAGTTTCAAGCAGCCCTTTTCTGCAACCAGCATCAAGCTCTTTGATGTTACACGCTGAAGTAACCAAGTCACAGTCAGCTTCAGATATTTTGTCTAGAAAATCGGGAAAAGAATTGAATTCGTCTGCTCCTGTCCTTCAGAGAGTAAGCACCGCGTTTGCCAGGCCAACATCCCCTTCATTCCCTTGGATGAAGTTACCCAGTAAAAACGAGACTCTGGAAAGAGGGAATTCAAGGAGAAAGGCAGACAGACACCTCCCTAGCATATCTTCCATTTTAGCGCCAATCGGTTCCAGTTACTCTGACCTGAACTTTCAAGGAATTCAAATGCCTGGAATTGCACAGGCGTTTGGGCAAGCAAAGAGTACATCTGCCAGCATTGAGACGTACACTTGTGATGATTCAAAAGCCGCTATCAAACAACTTCCTTCACCAGTTGGTGTCATAGTTCCAGGAACTTTGGCAAGCAGAGGTGGTTCTAGGAAATCCCAAGGCTCGACGGAGTCCAAGAGTTCATTGCATAGACCAGCAAAAACTAATAAAAGGTCTGCCCGAATTGCAATTTCAGCAACGTCACGCATTAGCGACACTGGTGAAGCGGATAATGGCAATCAAGCTAGCTCAAAAGTTGTTTTCAGAAAGATTCTTCCTAAGCCAAACGAAAAAAACGTTTCCATTGTTTCTGGAGCGAAGCAAGTAGCCGAACTTGCGTCGCCAAACGCTGTCAAAAGCGTACTTTTAGACCAATCATTGGAGAAGAACGAGGTATTATTAAACAGGAATGTTAAAACTGATTCTGAAACGACTCAGTCATCAACAGGGTCGTTCAACTTGCAAGAAAACACGAATTCAAGCATTGTCAAAAGAGTTTCAAATCCAGATACCCTTAATGCCGAAGAGGCCATACAGTCTCTAGTTACATCAGATTCAATGTCTGCTATTGAGCCAGAAGAAAAGCGGGCATGTCATTTATCACAACCCTTAGTTAGTGTTATAAGTAATATAAGAGAACAGGGTTTTGTGATAAAGGGACTGCCATCTGAGCAAGGTACTAGTCAAAGTGCAGTAAGGCCTAAGAAAACTGGCAACTCCAACTCCGGGAAACTCGAGGTGGCATCAGCGCTGCTGAGCATGGGGTCTTCTGAAAATGAGACTAAGAAATCCGGGAAGGTCGTCTCCTCGTTTAACAGGGAAAAGGCGACGTTTGATATCAAAGAAAGCGCTAGTGCCCAGCGTGGGGATATACTATTCACAAAGACCGGAACATTTCAAATAGAAGATATTGAGATTGACCCGAAAAAGAACAAAATCGAAAAAGGTATGGCGTGTTTAGCTTGCATTTTATCTGTTTGATTGCTACTTTAAGCAAATATTAATCCAGATGAATTTAAAAGATATATAGCAAGGTGTTTGGTAACAGAATTAAAAGTTTTTAAATTGATTTATTTCCAATTTTGAACTTGTGAGTATTTGGCCTGAGAAGATGGGCGTAAGATCATCAAAACAGCCCAAAGGTTGTCTTTCAACGGTAGGCGCTTTTTTAAATTTTAAACTGTAAGGGAAGATTTAAACGGACATTTCCAAAATATGGGGACAACTGCCTTTGGCTCCTTCCCAGGTTCCGATGTCTCAGTAGAATTCATGTTCCTTCAAGTCATGGACCTCAGATCACCCTCACACAGAACAAATCTGCTTTCAAACCAACGTGATATTTGTTGTAAGAAATCCATTTTTGCAGCGTTTTCAGTCCTCGTGGCAGTCCAGTCTTTGATTTTAGTGACAGAGGGAGACACGTAAATACCAGGGGATGTGTCGGCGGTGTCTCACACCCAGTTTTTGAAACTCTTTGAATTAGTCGCAAAATTTCAGATATATCTAAGTGGCAATTCCAGTGCTTATTTACGCCAGAGAATAATAAAACTTTACACTAATTGCTAGAATTTCCCCAACTAGCTGACCAAAGCTATAAGGGTAAGGTTCAGGAAGTAAAGGTCTGATACAATTTTAGTACAAAACTTATTATAAGGGATAACAATTGGCTTATTATCATTCGGAAATTTCGTAGCCTTCGCCCCCCCTCAAAATGTTCATTAATTTTGTCCCTGGATAGAGGCCTTACTTTGCTGTTTATTCAGATATAAAGCTTGTTTAAACTGATGGATCCAAATGGATCATAAACTATTGGACTAGATTCAAATGGATCCTTAACTTGATTTGTTAGGTTTAATGGAAAATAAGCGAATTTTCTTCGCTTACTATGCTCTTGCGTCATAGCCTGCTCTTTGTACTTTGAAAATATACGCAGTTCTGTTTATACAGATTCGCTTAATCCGCCTAGGTAGATTACTTAGAGTGGACACGCTTTCGATTAAAATGAATCTGAATCAAGTACGCAACCTCAAAACACGTCTGATGTTAAGGTCGGGGAAAATCGCAAAAGAACCAGCGTGGGCACATTGCTACTGAGACACGGCTGTGCGAATGCATTTTGTAAAGAACACTCTCCATCCCAGCTAAAATGAAAAATAGTTACTTCTACAAAGGATTGATGCGTTTCAAGCGTTTTGCGTGTTGCGTCACAATAAATCGATTTACGTATACATTATTTGAGAAAGTCTTCGGGAAGTTAAAGCCTTAATCGCCGTGTTTGTTCGAGGAGCTTTACACGAGTCTCAGATTTTTGGATATTCAATCTCACCTTGCATATTTATTCAATGATCGAAATTATGATATTTATTTTTAGATAGCTACGAATGTGGCAAGTGCGGGCGTGTTTTCACTTCTTTGGTTTATCTTGCCCGCCACATAAAACGTGTATGCCCTGACATGACGCTACGGAAGTGGAAATGTGACCGTTGCGAAAAGGCATTTCGTCATCCGTTTGGTTTACAGCAGCATGTTTATACACACACTGGGGAACGCCCATTCAAATGTGATCAGTGCGCTAAAGCGTTTTACAGCGCCAATGACCTGCGCAGGCATACAAGGACGCATTCAGGTACCTTATGTTATGCATCACGATTATGAATATACTAATCTTATTAATTTTTCATTAAGGAATTTATTTGATTTTACTCTAACCCGTTATTCTTGTTATTTTCTGTGGATGTTTTTAAATGAGTTTTTGAAATTTTATTTTTACTACCACACCCCTAACGAAGATTAAAAACAAAAATGCACACATAGGCAGGTGCCCCCACTGGAATCTGATGCTGATTCCAGCCATTCCTGCCAGCATTCTTATATCTTTCGCATGCACCCGGGACATTGATATATCTAACTAAGGATGCCATTTGCTTTGTTTTGGCCATGATGTTCATCTGACCAGTGTATTAAAGTGACTCTAACAACAAGAATCGGAATATATCTAGACCCAATCTTATTTAAGCCTTCCAGAAGCCTTGTATACCAGGTATTCATGGGTGCCCTATTGGATTACAACAATGTGACGTTTTTGTCTATGTTATCCAACACAGAAAAGCAGAACACACAAAAACATGACACAGAAATGCAGAACATAGGAATGCATAACACAAAAAAGTAGCTAGGGAACTAACTGGCAGTCTCAGAAACAAATCATAAAACTGCAGTTTAGGGCACAGATTATGGCTTTCTGTTGGCAGCGGTTTTAGGCCTGGGGCCAAAAACATATGCAAGGCCCTTGTTCTTTACAATTTCTATCTTACCCTTAAGGTAAGCATAAGTATGGGCCTGAAGCCTTGGGCCATGGCCCCCTGGACCCCCCTTGAAACTGCCACTGCTTACTGTGCTTCACTGTTTTTATTATTTTCTCTGACAAGGTTAATCTACTTTACGTTTATAGATATAATGTTTTCTCTACTGCTATCAGGCCTGGCCGTTTGTATTTTTATAGGTGAGCTGTGAATCGCTCCCCTCATTTGCCGAGGCGAGCTAAATCAGTAACACAAAGAATGTACTTCAAAGACAATCGACAGATGACTTAATAGGCCCCTTTAGTATCTGTCGGTTGCCTTAATGTAATAGCCTCAGTCAGGAGTGTGATGTTTAACTTCTTTCAATTTTTATTTGCTTTAACCGTGACTTAGGCACCCCCTTTACTTGAACATAGATGGAAAACTCTACGCTAAAATACCCAGTTTTGGATCGAAATAGGCCAATCAGAAAACGCGCGCACATGACTGTTGAGATTGTCCAATCAGTGCCGCTTTCGTATTGAAAATGTTACCAACGGAGTCCTAAGGTGAAAACGAACTCACTTATGTCTACACAGAAGCGGTCGGTCATGTTTATATAGTAGATAGATTCACAAACAGCTAGATGGAACGATGATCATGCTTTGCCAAAATGCGAAACATGTCGCCGTTATAGTTTTTCATCCAATCTGGGTTTTTCAGTAAATGCTGCTGGATAGTGGAATTCCATGTTTTGGTTGTCGTTTTTGATCTGCAAGACAGAGTACCTTGTTCTCTTTGAGGGATAGTTTTGTTTCTATTGCTGGAAGGGACCTGCTGCCTTATTATATCCCCAATCTACAATTCCTACCAATTTCTTCGACTTTCCTTCCAAAAATATTCCTGTTTTCTTAAGATTGAAAGGTTCTAATCGCTACAAATGTACCTTGCGCTTAACTATCCTTTTCCGAATAGATCGAAGTTTATGCCTATCATAACAAAAACTGCCCAACAAGCAAAAAGTTAATTGCAAAAAATGCAATGACGGGAGAAATCGCTGTTACAAAAATAAACCAATTAACCCTTGTGCGTTTTCATAATTCTCTGAATAGGAAATTTTAGGGGAGCGATTCTCCTTTCATGTTCTGTTTAGGAGAGCAATTCATAGCTCGCCTCAGGTTGCGAGGAGAGCATGGAGGCGAGCGCGAGCTATGGCTCGCCTCAAACAGCCAGGCCTGTGCTATGGTTACTGTTCAGGAGTAGAAAATTCCAGTAAAAAGGAAGTTACCTGGCGGGAGACCAGCAGCTCTTTCAGTGGTCTCCCGCCTATGGCATGTGGTCTCCCAAACAGAACTCTGGTGACAGGGGTGGACAATTCTAATAAAAATTGATCCTAAAGATAGGCTGTCTCCCGCAGATAAAATTGGTCACCAAATTTTCCAACCCTGTTCTGTTTATCATAACTCCTATACCAATAGATGCAGGAAAGTTTTTGTTGATAATTTAAACATTTCATGTTGTATATGTTTTGCCTTATTTTCATCAAGAATTTATCAATATTCTTAAGTTAAAAAGACAAATAGGGTATTCAGGGTTGTGGCTTTTCTCGAAAGTATTCTCACGGATCCTTGAACCAATTATGTATTTTGTTGCAGATATTTGGATCTGTCATTCAAATCTATTGTTTTCTCAAATTTTATGAAGCTCAATGTTTTATATGTTGCATTTCAGGTGAACGTCCTTATACATGCTCACATTGTAACAAGTGTTTTTCAACAACTATATCTTTGAAAACGCACACATACATTCATACTGGTGAACGTCCACATAAATGTCCATATTGTCCAAAGACTTTTGCCACATCAAGCAAACTAAGTCGGCATGTTGTGACCCATTCAGATCGAAGGCCATATGCATGTGATATTTGCACAAAAACCTTCAATCGATCAGGTATTGAAACTTTATTTCCTTGTTCTTTAAAGTGCCTATGCAGCGAAATTTACAATTCCACTATTTTAAAAGAACTCTATAAAATCCTTCACCCTTGTTCTTCTACAAAAACATAATTGTGATAAGTTAAATGGTTCTTTTTTTTATTGAGTGTCAAAGTATGCACATTTTGCAGTTGCATTGGGACTTTTTATTTCCTGCTGTGACGTCACAGTGATGAGTCTAGGCAAAACCATTTAATCAGGCCCTTTAAATCACACATTAGGTCGAATTGTGCAAATTGTGATACTAGCATGAAACTTTGCAATAATGGGCAGTTTGATACACCCCCCTTTTCTATTTTTAGACTGGGGTTCTTTGCCCTAGACCTTTATTGACGGTATTATCGTATCCCAGTCTCACTTCAGTACAATAGCATGACACTTTCCAATAAGGGGCAGTTTGATAAGCTGAAAAAGATAGGATATGGACCCCAACTGAAAATTGCCCCTTTCAGCTATTTTTGACTGGGTTACTTTGCCCCAGATCTTTATTGACAGTATTATCGTATCTCAGTCTCACTTTGGTACAATAGCATGAAACTCTGAAACCGAAGGCAGTTTGATACGCAGAAAGGATAGGATGTGGACGCAAAATTAAAATGTACCCTTGTGCTATTTTTGGACTGGAGCAAAGGATTTTCATAATTTTTTGGAATGGGGCCCCTCATTCATATGACATTGGTGATAGAAGAAAACTGCTCGTTCATCATGCCAAAATGATAAGTAACCAAGGACATGCCTTGGTTTTGAACACACAGGCATATGCATGCAACATTTCTAAATGCATTCTAAATTATTTGTCCCCAGATCGTCCGTACCTAAATTTACAACTCCGTAGTCCGCCTCCGATTCAATGTCGGTCCCCAAAATTTCGTTGGCACCAAGGTATACGCCACGAATTAAAAAATGGGAGTGGCTCAAGGCTAGCAAAAGTAGTGGGCCAAGACTTCTTGCCCTTTTTTACTGCGGCTTTAAAAAGTAGGGGACCATTGCTACCCTGGCCCCCCCCCCCCGGTGGCCTTGGCCCTGTCATTGTTTCTTCGTTATCAATCGCAGCCTCTTCCGTGCAATATATTGAAGTGACCATTCTTAGGCCATTTTACAATCACTTCCTACTAATTCATCGAGCATGCTATCGTCATGACATCCCCTACGTTATAGAGTACCTAAGTGGTGACGTCACAGAAATCTATTTTTAGAATTGTTGAATTTTAATCCCATAAACTGAGCTAGCATCATGAAATACCTCAAAATATTCAAAATCAGTTCAATGTGATGCAAATTGCCTAATATATGGCCATATGATAATAATAATCGAAGCTAAGTCTCCATTTCGGAAAAGTTACCTAACTACTGGGTATCACAAGCTGGTGCTATAATTTTAGCCAGTCTTTTTATTTCTATTTCATCCCTTGGTAAGAAATTTTTGAAGGGTGTTGTTTTTCTTTTAAGAATTTTTGTAACTAAACAAGTCTTTTCCATCTTGGGTTTTTGATAAAAACTTGGGCAATCCCATAAGTGTTCAATATATTCCTCATGGGCCCCACATCTTCTGCAAAGAGAATCAGAGTACTTTCCTTTGTAGTTCGCTCTTACGTTAACCATGTTTAGTTTTAATTTCAGCAGGGATGACGCGTCTTCACACCCCTGATACTCTTCCATTTCAAATTTACTACCCTTGATAAATCTAAGTTTCGTCTTACTATTATTTTTAATATTATTCTCTATGATTATGATCATTTTTCTCTAACAATTTTTTCCACTGTTCTTTGGTTAAATTTTTGATCTGATTTTCTTTGAGGTTAATATCAATCTTTTTTATGTCACAAATCACTTCTTTATACCAACAGTTTGAGAAATTTAAACTTTTTTGCTCTTCATAAACTATCTTGGTCAATCTACTTTCGTTCATGTTTAATCCCTTATGGAAGAACATTAATTTTTTCTCTATTATTCTAAATTCCATCATCAAACCTCTGTAATTTGGTCTTGGTTCATAACTTTATGAACCAGGCCAGAATAACAGTAATCCATTAGCAAACTTGAAATCTTTCATTGGCCATATCTCGATATGTGTGTGTATGACAAATAATAAAAAGAATAATCTACGTTCTAGGTGATCTTCGTAGGCATTACAACAAAGTGCATAATTTAAAGCATGACTTATTGAGCTGCGACCAGTGCAACAAATTATTTGCCACACAGAAGTGTCTGCAGAATCACAAAGAAACTCACAACCGAAATCTCAAGGTTACACCAGAAAACATTACAGAGTCAGCTGACGGAGTGAAATTTAGCAAGCTCATTCCTGAGAACTATGTTTTAAAAGCAGATGTTGATGAGTAGCTTAGACTAAATATCAAGTTTTTGTAAAGTGGAAGATGATGTTTGACAATATTGCAGAAGTTAATATGGCCATCCCTTGAATATAAGTGCAAGCTATAGTTAATCAGGACCTATAAGCCACTTTGTTTATTATATGTGAATATCTAAAAATTTCTGAAAAAATGTGAACAAATTTTCAGGGAATTGATAAACCCAACTGGTTGTATGTGTATACTTTTTATAGGTCAAGCATTCTCTAGTGCTATAGGATTTGGTATGGTATGTAAAAGCTCTGGGATTTCTTTCAGATTTTTTTCCTGGGTGAGTACACTTTAACCTTAAAAAGAAAATGCAGTGTATACTTTAATCTAATCTGACACTGTCATCAGAATACAATGTTAGTTGTTGCAATATTACCAGATATTGTCTGCAGGTTGTATATAACAGTTTGTGGAAAATGACAAAGTCATTGTAAATATAAATTTATGTAGTTTTTAGTGTAGATATTGTGTTTTTGTAATCAGGATCATAATCCACGCTGGTGATTCAAATTACGTAAAATATTTTTTTCAATCATTTAGTCATATTTTACAGTATTTGCTACATGAGTCTTTGTATTGTTAGCATGTGTTTCTATGCTAGTAAAAAGTAATTTTTACAGTAGTATCTTATAAAATGTGATTCTTGGAACCAGAAAATCATTTTAGACTTTAAACAACTAATTTTAGAAGGTAAAGAAACGTCTTGCTTGTCTTTTCTTTGGCATTTTTTAGCCTGAATTTTTAGTGCTTTAGCAGTCTTAATTTGAGTATTATGTAAATTATTGAAGACTACACATTCTTCAAGTAGCATATTTTTTTAGCCAATACAAAAGCACTTTAATGGCTGTAACTAACCATGTGATCATCTTTATAGAGATCTATTTATGATTTGTTTATTGATGTATTTAAATTTTGTAAACACTGTGTAAGAAAGTGATTAACTGTAGTATGCACCTTAAAAAGGTTTTAGTTATAGGTTATTGATTGTTGTGACTGTAAGAGTGTCCTCCTTGTTTTGTTTCATACCTAGAGAACCATAGCTCAAAACAGAGTAGACAAATTCAGTGTTATAGTTGTCAGGTTTTTACAACAATGACAAAATAACAAACATTCAAGTTAAAGACTTTGATGAGCTTGACTCAATTTTACAATGATAGTATGATAACATCTTGATGCAAGGGAAAAATTGTGGTTGCAAACTGAAATATGGCTGAATTTCAGGATACAAATATTCACCTTGATTTTGTTTCAATTAAATACTATTTATAGAAACATTTTGTGAAGAAGCTAAACATTATGAAACATGAAATAAAAGGAAATACTTTATCAAGTGTTTGAAGATAAAACAGTCTTTGTACTAGTCAATTGTCCTTGATTAATTTTACTTACAGGTTCACAGATAACAGATGTAGCTATACTATTTTGGTTAATACTTTGCGAAGAAGCAGTGACAGCAGAACTTTGCTGAAAATTTGTTTGTGTTGTCGGCTGTTGCTTTGAAGTTGCTTGTTGCACTGAAGCTTGCTGCTGTTGCAAAGTCTGTTGCATCTGCAACCATTCTTCTTGTGCCTGCTCAACTCTTGCTTGTGCAAACATTGCTTCTTGTTGTCTAATGAGTTCTTCCTCTGGGATCCCTGTAAACATGCGAAATAGTGATTTGAGTATTGTGATCAAAAGGTACTTCACAGATAAGGTGGAGTCAGTGGCGGAGCCACAGGGGGAATGGTGGGGGGTATGTACGCTATCTAGATCGTCACATGTAAATGCCATTTCTTGGGAGACGACAGGCATTTCCTCCAGAAGAAAAAGTTTCAAACATGGGAAAAGCGTGGCCCAAAAGTGCATGGTCCCTGACACACCTTTTGTCCCCCCCACTTATCCCAGGCTGGAGCCGCCACTGGGTGGAATATAGCTGCCATTGATGCCACAAAAATGATGACTGATGCAAAATGACTTCTGGGGATGATGGAAGTGATTATACTGATGATTAATTGATAATGAATGAGGCTGGCAGTGATTGTTAATGATCATGATGGATATAATAATTTGACTGATTGATTAAAAACTATTATTACTATGTTTGGGGAGGATGATTCTTCATCATAACAATTTGTCAAATTTTTTATCATTCTCTTTAATTTAGGTGACCAGCACTCTGATGTGTAGTTAGGCACTTCCTAAAGAACTGGTTCTATCCATGCTTTGATGCTTATAAAAAGCGTATGGGAACAACATAAAAAAGCTGAAGGCCAACATGGTTTTGTACAGTAAACTTAAAAAATTTGAACAATTTTTTGGCAGTAAAAAATGGGACTCTATTTCAGGTGTTATATACTCTTGAGGAGTGTCAGGTAAATATTTTCAGCATGTTGTAAAATGCTTGCTTTTTTCAGAGCCAAATAATTTAAAGGCAGATTGATGCATAGGCACATCTTTAAGATAAATCTTAATCAATTAAAAACAGCATGCCTACTAGCAGGCCTTTTCGTTTGATGTGAGCAATCACTCGCCATCGTGTCAGCACTCGTGCAAACCCAGCCACTCGCACAAAATCAAGCAAGTGACATAGACAATACAAAGTCGGTACATCAAAACACAGGAAATATAAATAAGCTGACTAAACCACATCTCAATGAAAAAATGCATTTGAATGTCAATTCCACAGCGAATGTTTAGGAATACTTTAGGTACTGGTATTTGAATTACAATAGCACTAAGGACATTTTCTGGGCTGCCAGACAGTAAAGTATTTTTTCTGCACAGGGAACACCAGTACAATAATTTTGAAATTTGTGGATAACGAATGTTTCCGCAAAAATTATGCACGGAATTTGAAGCAAAGCCTTTCAAAGAGACCTTGTATTTTTTGTTTTTCTTGTTATCAGAAGTTTAAATGGTGGAATATTCAAGAAGAACATGACAACATAAACAAATATTGAGCGCGGAATCTATGACAAATTCTTAACAATATTTGGCGATCATCTGGCAATAACGTCTAGATATGACCTTCATGATATACATAAAGTTTATAAACGCAGCACATTGGTATTGGGAATTTATTCTTTCTTGGAGTGCATTAAAGGTCATCATAACAGTTTGCTTTCATTTGAAGTTACCTCAAACAAAAGGGTACCTTATAAGATTATTGCTATCGCTACCAGAGCGATGGCTTGCGCAAGAGAAATCACGCAAGCGATGGCCCACTCATGTGGGTTATTCCTTACAAAAAGGCCTGTCCAGAATATTGTTCAGGGTGGTTGCAAAAACAGCACTAGGCAGTAGGTTCGCATGCAGAAGCAAGTAGCAGTCTTTAGTTAAGCAAAAAGGTTTTTAATAATCTTTCAGTTTGGCAGTATATTCTAAATATAGACAAAGCCAAGATACCAACTTCTAAATGTGACTACTATTGGATGTCTATTTTAAACCTATGGATTGAGCCTCTTGTAAATTGACTGTGTGTCTTGGAAAAATAATAGTTATACCGTAATGATTCAAAAAAGGAGAAAGTAAAAGGCAGGAGATGAAACTAAAGAAAGTCTTTGTTTGTTTTAAAAAACCAGTCGATAACTGCCATGCAAAATCTCCCAATGTTGCCAAGGTTATGCAAAATTTGAAGGTTTATTTTATTTTTGCTTCATATTTTTTTAAACATGCACATTTTTCAAGAAAACCAACACAGTTAATCATGCATGTCAAATTTCCCTGAGGTACAGAAAGATCTTGTAATTTTATAATTTTCTTGTTTCCAACACGTTAACTGTAAGTTTGGCTATACGCTCCCTCTGAATCTTTTGATTTGTCAATCTAATTGGAGAGATGAGGGGCACAAATCTTTTGATGAATGAGGCAACCCAGGTCCTGGAGTCAAATAGTATACCCAATAATGACTAATTTTAAGTGTATGCTCTTTGAAAGCAGGATGGAGGTCAGTCCCACTATCAAAACATTTCTTCTACTCATCTCCTGATAAAATCAGTTCAAATATAAGTTATGTAGCTTCTAATTAACCATAGTTGTACCAACAAGATTCAACTTGAATTAATCTTTTCATTGCCTTACTTAAAACTTGAACCCTATAAGTAATTTACATTATGTTTACACTATAAACCGTTGTAATAGTTGACTTGCTACATAATGACCCCAGCTAGCTACATATTATTACGTGGAAATATAAAAATGTTAGTGAAATATTAAAATTGATAACTTTGAGGAAGTGAAATTAATAAGATAAAACAATCAGATTTTTAAGAAGCTTAAAAGCCCAAAATTTTGGTTATTTTTCATAGAAATTGTTACTAGACGAGTTGATTCGCATATGGTTACATAACGTTGCGAACTCTTTTCAATTACATAAGCACAATTGTGACGCCGGTGATCGTATCACACCGTCAAAACAACGAAATAATCATACTGAAGTTTTATTCAAAATAACTTGTTTGAATTTATTTCGAATATTCCAAGCATATATCAGTACCATAAACAAAACAAATCAAAGGAAGAAACGATTTTGTTGTTTAGAAGGAGGGGCCTACCCAAATTCTCAAGGCGATTACTCTTCTTTTTGTTCGATGCTTGAGATTTAAACTGAGCGTGTACTCCTTTGATTTCTTCTAGGTATTGTGTGAAGCCTAAACTTCCAAGTGCCGATATGATGTGATCTGGTGATATTGTCTTTTTCATCTGCTTGTTGCAGATGTCGTTAGCTTCCGAAGAAACCAAATGTATGAATTCCTTGCAACAGGTCAATATCAACTCCCTAGCGTCATTCGAAACTCGAATATTGGGAATCATTTCTTTGATCATCTTATTAACAGCAGCTCTTGGTAGGCTAACTTCGTCCTCTGGCTGTTGCGCAGAATTATCCTGCGATGAACCTGACATACTGGAAGCCATGTTTTCTTTTCGCTTAGGCCGATAACAATTGAAATTTGGTATTGGTGTCATTGGTGTGAGGTATTCATGGCAAGTCACCTGCCTGTGCTAGGAAAGACGTTTAAATCTCGCCATTCATAGTCGCACCCATTTGTTCATTGTCGAATTTACCTATCTTTAGTCTTTTTTTGCACATTTTTTAGTAATTTTATAAGGAATTATGGTTATTTCCATTCTTTTATTTTCGTCGGTGTTTATTCTTCGATGGCTGTTCGCATTATTCGAAAAGCTGCTGGCAGGGTGTCTGAATTGTAGCTTGAAATTTAGCTAGCTTGCAGCTTAGAATTTTTGAGCAATGTTTTCAGGTTTAATGCTCTAAAGAGTGTCAGACCAAAAGCTTCATTGAATTTTACAACTATGAAACGTATTTTTTCAAAGCCATCGTTTTAATTCGGTACCGCCAAAAGATCAATTAACATGTTGATGTGTTGTGTGTTCTTCATAGCAAGACAGTTGGCAGGGGGGCCTTGGCCCCCCACTTTTTTGCAAAACAATAGAATTTTTCAAAATCTTTTGTAATGGGTGTTAAATTTTCCCTTGGCCCCCCCACTTTTCAACCTTTGTCGGAGCCCATGTATACCTTATGTTTGTTAATAGCTTTTAAAATCTAGATCTTCCGTTATTGCGCTGCTAAATGGCTCCGATGCAGGTTAGAAAGTGGGGTGGGGGGCAAGGGAAAATTCAATAATCGTAGCAAAAGATTTGAAAAAAGCTCTTTTGTTCTGCCAAAAAGTGGGGGGCTCCCCCTTTTTGGAGGCCCTGTGTTATATGATGTTGTTTTAAGTCATTACTCTATCTATTGAAAAATCAGTGTTTAGTGATGTAAGTTTATTGAGAATTTAAAACATAAGACTGGGAATTGAAGAGTCTAACACGTGGTTTTTGTCTTCGGGTAAATTTGCAGGTGCCACTGGTCTTGGTCCTCCTTCAGAATTATGACACGTATTTTTCCTTTCAGCCTCAGTTCTGATTTAATCGGCGAAACGAGGTAAGTGCTTATGCAAATGGCGGATCTGTTGACTTGTAGAGGTGGAAAGTGGAAAGAAAGTTCATCAAGCTCCCTGGACATTGATTTCATTCAAGAAGACAAAACTATGAATTAAGTTGATTGAATGACAAAAGCTACTTGACAATGTTTAAAGGGAGAACTTAATAATTATCAATGTTGCCTTTAGCCAGCAAAAGAGCAATTTGAATGCAAAAAGAGGTGGAAATTACTTGCAGAACTGACTGGAACAACATGGCTGTCGACTCGGTTGGAGTCGAGGAAAATTCAGATACCCCTAAAAAGAGTAAGTGCAATGTGTATTTTGCCTGCAGCTCGTATTACAAAGTCAATTTTACTAGATTTGTCAACCATAGTTTTTGTCAAGTCTATTATTGACAATATAATTTATTGTGCAGGCTATTGCATGCAAGACAAATGATATGCACGTGCATACAATTAGAACAGTTACTTTATAGTCTATTACATGCGGTTAGACCTGTTATGCTGCTAAAGTGCTCATAATTAAAAAGGAAGCTTCTAAATCTAAAGATCAAGTAGCAGAATAAAATCAGTTCATTTGCTTTGACGGGAAATTGAAAGCAAACTATGCTCTACCACTAGCACCTACAAATGGTATAATGCTCTCCCATTTTTATTTGGAAAAATGGTTCTCATGGTTCTCAAAGTTGGAAAATACATGTGAATTTGAAAATAGGTAGCTGCTTGCAAGCAATTTTTTGTTTCTGCAGACCTACCAAGTCTTGCACATTCTGTGAAATTCTCATTCAAGAAGGGAGGAATGGTAGAAAGTACCATCAGAACAATAGATCAAATTAGGTAGAATACACAGAGGTGATTTCTAGATAATCAGACAAAAGTTGAAACTTCAAACAAAACTGAAGCATAAACTAAAGAAGCAACTGGGTTTCATAAAAGCCATGAAATGTCTTGTAAATCTGTCTAATGGGTTTTTCTGCTTGGCTCAAAATTTACAGAAAATAAAATAAACTTCCCCACATCATTAGATCAATACAATGTTGAATACATCATTAGACTGGAGGTGAAGCTCGCAACAGAGACATTTTTTATTTTTATTTCCATTTGAAGATTATAATGCATATTTACAAGCTATGCTAATTTACAAAACTACTATACAAAAACATGTTGCTACTTTGAAGATCAACCTTAAAATCAAAATTAAAATCAAAACTTTGACGTTAAATACACAACCTAAAAGAAAAGGAAAATAAATATGATAAAAAGAAGAACCCCTTTACCTTGATGGAAAAATTGTGGCTTCATCTGTGTGGTTTATTACAGAGTGTTTAATTCTTCTAAATCAAATTGGTCTGATTTTTGGATAGATTCTAAAATTAGCAGGAGTTTATTTTTACTTAGTTTGTTGGGAAAGTGTTTATCACCATATAATAAAGTCTGTGTTAAAGCATTATTTTTAAGATTTGTATATACAATTGCTCGTAGTAAACAAAACTCAAATGAGAAAATATCTCTGTGGTACTACAAGGGAAGGGCAGAAAAGCAAGTAATGTTCTGTATCATCGATTCCATTATTTTTAGAGCCCATTGGGTTTATCATATCCTGAAAATTGTGCTTGAATTCGGAAAATTTAATTTGCTGAGACCAACTCTGAGTTGTGTGTGATATGATAGACCTGTTGGTTCATTAATGCCACAGGTAGATCTTACAGGGGGTCTGATTATTGATAAAGGCTTCTTCTTAAAAACAGTGATGGATGGTGCAGGTCTAGTCTCAGGATCAGGTTCATTCTATTCAGATAAGCAATGAGGATAAAATCTAATTTTGAATTTTTTTGTTCTAGCATTTATCAGTCCATAGACATTTGGTTACGAAGCAAATAATGTATTTATTGAGATTGTGACCACAAACATTTGAAAAGAATGGAAAAATTGACTACTCTTGCTATTTGGAGCTGCGAAAACTCTCCCCAACAAGTTTCTGTTAGAGAATTCCCTAGCACAAAAAGTTGAATTTGGGACCCCAAATGTTAATATAAAGAACAGCATGGTTAAGAAAGTGTTAAAAAATGCTGGTTATTTCAAACTCTTAGAAGTTGGAACTCACTCTCAACAATTTCTTATAAAATAATAAGTATAATCAATCTCGGGCATGAAGAAAAAATAGAGGTATGTATCTGCCTGCTACTATGAAAATCTACAGGTGCCAAGGGGGGGGGGGGTAATTTAAGCCTTGAGTTTGGATCCTTTGTCTCTATGTCTTTGAGCGAGTGGAAGAATTTCAGACCTAGACGAGTCTCCTTTTGTTTTATAAATGAAGCTCTCTTAAACTTGGGAGCTAACAATCTTGTTGATAAAGCTGCTATGCTCTCGAAAATTTTAGTCAAAATGCTTCAGTTTTGATTTTATGTTCAGAGGGCTTTTATAACCTCATATCCCAATTTGGTTAGGAGACACCAATTAACTTTGATTGGCTCCTCTTTCTTATTATTTGAAAACAGAAGCTTACTTTTCTTTTTTTGCTAGGCAAAATAATTACTAAACAGTCATTTTTAATTTTTTAATTTGAAGGTTCTTCACTCTTCTCCTACATAATTGATGAAGTGAAGAGGGACTACTTACTGGAATATAATGAGCAAAAATTGCGGGAAAGGAGGAAGCGAGTTTACACCTTCATGAAGACCCCAAGAGAGCTGGAAAAGGTAGGTAAAATACAAACACAGCAGTAAGAACGATTTTTTTCTATTCAGTCTAATATTCTATTCAGTATTATAGTAACAAATTACCATTTCCTACAAACTACTTATCTACTTTACAAGGATGGAACCCAGCAGGAGCAATACATCATGACTGCCCCCCTGGGATTGATCATGTATCTAAATATAACTAAAATAATATACTTCTAATACTACATATGCAATACATTTTAATGCTGCATTATAATCCTACATTATAATACTTTGTACATATTTACAATAACATAAACACCTTAGACCATTGCACATTGGATGCTAAAAAGTATCACTTGCACTTAGATATTTGAAAACACCCTAGATTAGAGGCCAGAAACTTAGGTTGTTAAAATCCAAAAATGTTTTCCTTCCTTGTTTGAAAAAAACATTTATTTACCATTGACCGGGCAAAAAAATTTCATTTTAGTTCATGGTTTTTGGTATTCTCCTATGCGTGGATGTCTTTTTGTTCATATTCACATTTCTACCAATACGAGCTTTTTTGGCTATCTGCACATTCATTGTGAGGGTGCTAAAGTGCAGACGAAGGTAATCCTGGCAAGCTTTATCTCTTCAGAATTTTTTATAGATCTTTTGATAGTATATGCATTTTCATTCAAATTGCTGAAAGTTAATAAAGATAAACACTTCCCCCTTTTTTCCTGTGTTTATTTGCTGCAACTAAAATTTATTAATTGATATACTAGACATGAATTTCTAAAGCAGTTCCATTTGTAACAGCCCCTTTGGCCTTCTTACTATTCTCCAACACACACTAATCTTTTGGGCAATATTCTGACAATGTTTCTTTGTCATTCCATGCATCCCTCTGTATCTCTTTCTCACTATTACCCCCTCATTACCAAAACCACTCAACCCATTTTAAATCTTTCTATTTCCCTATTCATTTCCTGGTCATTTTTCACTTCCTCGCCTTTGCCTGTCCCATTCACTCTACTCTTTTCTTTTCCTTCATTTCTTTCACTCCACTTTTTTTTCTACCCTTCAACCAGTTTCTTTGCATTTCATGCCCTCAAGACCTTTTTTGCTCTGCATCACTCTCATCTTTAATTCCCCTTCTAAGCTACTTCCCACTCTCTAGTTCAGCCTTTTATTCGTCCCTACATCTCTACTTTTCTTAGCCGAAGAACACATGGCATGCAATGGACAATTCCTAATATAGAATATCATTTCATTCATAAAAATATTGACTGATAGGCAGCAAAAAATTTTCAGTTTTTATGTTTGATGCTGCAAAAATATGCATTTTGATAGCGGAGTTAGAATTTCTTTTCAGGACATCGTTTTTGGAACCAGTTCAAAAGGTCGATCTTCTGAAAGGTAAAATTTCGCTTTGTCTTGTTTGTTTTTCAAATTAAAAATACCAGACGAGTTTAGTGGTAAATCTTCAAATGATGCATTATTGAAATCTTATTTTAACTCATTTTTGCACAGACTTCCACTACTTACACTACTAGAACTTTTAAGATTTGGTGCAAATTATTTAGAAGAAGCTCCCTCTATGATGCGAATAGCTGTTCTTTCCTTTCTTTTCGAGTTCATTCAAGCATTTTGAAACATACAATTTGGAATGTTTTTTTGCCTTTGCTTTGGTCGTTTCTAAAGAAAATTGTACAATACTGTTCGGTCTCATCAGTCCCCTAGTAGTCTGACACCAATTGCCAGTTAAAAACAAAAAAGGTTAGATTTTGTCTAGAAGAAGATCATTGTCAGAAACAGGGACAAAGCAGCAGGAATTGTATTTTAATCATCAATTATTAGAACTATTATTGATGGAAAACTTCTCTCTTTAATTTTGCTCCTTGCTAAAAAGGATTGTACAGTGCTTCTCCGCCTCGTCCATTCGTTTGTAACCTTACATCAATTAACAGTCAACTATAAAATCTGTCTAATCTTGAGCCTGCAAGAAGATCGCTGTCACAAACTTAAAACACCTGCATTTCGATTATGCTCTATGTGAAAACATTGTCGTTTAAATCAATCAGTTGTCGTTGTTCTTGTCAGAAAGTAACTCTGATTTCTATTTTAGCAATAATCATGATTTGCTGTACATTTGGAATGATGCAAATAGACACGTCGGTCCTATATCATATTGTACGAGGCCAATCCGTCATCAAGCTCTATGTTGTATACAACATGTTGGATGTAAGTTTCTACTTATTTGTTTTCTTAGGCTGTTGCCAAAAATTTGCTCAATTTCTTCCCAAGTTTTGTTCGTTTTCTTCCCAATAACTCGTTTCTCTATGCAAATTATCCACGATGGGTTCTTACTTTAAGAGCTTTCTAGGCGGATTTTTTCTTATTAACTAACATTAAATTCTGTTACAGATAGCAGATAAACTGTTAGCTTCGTTCGGCCAGGATGTTTTAGATGCTCTTTACTGGACAGCAACTGAACCGAAAGGGAGAAAACGGGAGCATGTTGGAATCATACCGCACCTGGCCTTGTCTCTCGTATATGTTTGTATCCTTTCAAAATCGTCATGTTTGACGCTTATCCAAGTCACCTTTGGACGTTCACATAACAACGTAAACACAAAAATGCCCGCAATTGGAAATTTAGCATTGAGATTTTCTTGCCAATGAAGAAGTTTGAATTTTTACAAATAACTTTCTAAAAAAATGTTCATCATTTATAAGGTATGATTCTACAATTTAAGCATTCAAAAAGGAGTCGAAAAATACTTGCTTTGTTGAATAACATTTCTCAAAAGGCGATTTTTATTAAATGTTAGCGTTTCATGTGAACGTATTTCTAAATTTTCATGTCAAAATAAGAATATAATACCCGAATTCATTAGAAGAACTATTCAGGCAAAGCCAAAGCAACAGCAAACTTGAATTAAACTAGCATCAAAGCAACATCAAACTGCTGGGATGAAATCTACATCTTTGTCTGTCTTCTGACATTTTTACTAGACTTAAGACTACATAACCGTTGCTACCAAGTAGATTGGAACAAGATTCTGAAGCACGAATCGAAGCGGGGATTCTCTTGTAAATGGTCCCTCGTATTAATCTTGCTCTTTGGTGATCAATTCTTTGTTTATGCTCCTACTTCTTAGACATTCCTTCACCACTTCATAGATTTGCATAGCTTGCTAAACCTTTGTCAAGCAATCGTTCTAAACGTTGCATTGAATTCCTTCAACAAAGCTCTGCTCACCATTATGATCTCCAATCAGGTTTGTACTCGAATACTTTCTTTGAATGGTGTATGAATAACAAGTTCTTCATTGCTCTTTTTATCATAACTTTTTCCTACATGGTTTAATGCTTTCGTACAGCATCGCTATGCCTTTCATTTTATGTATTTTCTTTCTCTGTAAATCTAATTTTCTAGCCTAGCTGTTTTCTTCTATCTAATTCTAAACTTTCTTTTTTCTTTTCCAAGACTGTCCTGATTTTTCCATTATGTCTTCGATGTATGTATTTTTTTAATGTATATTCTGATGAATCTAGTTTCCTGTACACTCTAGATATACTCTGTATATCTCAAAATATTACGCAATTTCTACTTTTTATTTAATCGTTTTCCCTGCCTATCGTTAACTATTATCACAGGTCATCCCAAAATTCATAAAATCCAATGGACGGCCTATATCCACCACCAATTTCTTCGGGGAAATTTTCTATTTACCGTGCGTAATCATGTGGTATAATTTTCTTAGAATTCTTTTTCATCTCAATTTGTTTTTGCATCTTCTTTTTCAACTTACCTTGCTTTTCACAATCAACCTTTACGTTTATGTCTTACCAATAAAAGATTTTTCTTTATTTTCCTTTCAAAAATTTTGTATTCAGTTTCTTCTGATTTTGCTTCTTATGTTGTAATAGGTATTCTTTATCGACTTCTTGTGTCTGTAAAATAGTTCTTGTTATTTTCAAGGATTTTTCTTCCTTCTCCTTTTTCTTTGCTTCTCGTCCAATGCTCACTGCTCGATAGGCAATCTCTAACACATGGAACTCTTTCTTGAAGCTTTGCAACTTTTTTCGGGTGCAACTCGATTGAGGTCAATATCCATACAACACTTAAACGAATGATAAACTTTAGTGCAAAATATTTTATTCTTGATTTAAGAATGCCTCTCTTATTCGTAGTTTGTTGAGATAAAAGGGAGTGTTTTCAAGCGAGTCGAGAAAAACAATTTGTTCCAGATATCTTGCAGTGGTGAGTTCATTGTTTTCTGAAAGAAAATGTCGAAAATACTTTCTACCATAACACTGAATGGCTTGCGCAAATTTTCCAAAACAATTGAGACCTCGTGACGATCTGTTGTAGTAGATCCATTGTACTAAAAACTTTCAAACTCTTTTATATTTTCTAATTTTTAAACAAATCATCAGTGGATCGGAAAAACTATTGTGGAACATGGTAAGCTTAATCGATTTCAAACAGAAACTAGCAGCCATCGACAGATACTTGATTAGCTTAAGTCGCCTGTCCACCACTTTTTAGCCAATCAATAACCAAACAGAGGCTTATTGAATGGCCAATATTGAATGAACATACACAGATTGCTTAAGCCAGCTTGATATCTATCTATTGCCTTGAATTAAAGGGCCACTCCAGCCCAAAATTTTTATTTCAGAACACGATGTAATCAGACCTCCTGAAAACGAATCTGTTATTATTTTTTTCATAACTCTAACCGTTTTGTAGTTATTAGCGTTTGTAAAATGGTCATTGAGTTGAATTGTTTTTCAACCGTGTTATCGGAGATCTTCGGATTGACGTCACAGGCATTTTCGGTCTCGGTAAGTTCGCGGCAAGTATCATCGGCTGTTCAAAGGGTCAACGAGAACCTAGCGAAATGGCAGACAAGGCCTAGCAGCGGCATGTTTGTTAGAAGGCCAGACTTTTATCTGGAATCGATATAAAGAGAGAAGTATCGCTCATCAGTCTTGATATTCTGATCGAATATGGAAGTTTTTTGTCGCACGAATCTTTCTGACAGAGAAGTCAAATTGGCAAAGTAGGCCAGCGAGACATAGACATGAGGATGTTGACAGACTTTCATGGAATGTTGCTTTTGAAGCAATTTGTATTGGCAGGCCAGTTCCCTGATTTTAAAAAGAAGATTCGCGCTTTTTCATCAGCCCCTCCTTTAGTGCAACAGCTAAAAAACCATCGCGCAATTAATTCGGGAGGAAAGAAGAAAACAAAACCAGTATACCGGGAATAAAAGCTGTATGAATTGATACAACATATTCATTAGGATAAAGAGCTTCATATCAACATGACTTATTGGAAATAAAACAGGACAAATGAGGACATGGACAAGAAAGTATACAACTTACAAGACAAGACTAAAAACCTACCATTAGTCATGAGTCAAACAACTTTTTCAAAAATTATAAATTTGTTTTTATACAAACAAAAAAGGGATTTGAGATTATATTAATAATTCAACTTTTTCAATATACTTTTGTAAATATAATTTTTGTATTTAACCTTTAAGCTATTACAGGGGCCTTGTCGGCTCCTTTAAGCTGTCAGAATCTCAACCTGCTATATTTATGAATAATAAATACATGTTTGATGTATTTAAATACTTGGCTACATTGAATTATACAATCCGGCCAGTGAACTAGCTAGCAATTTGTAATTTCTATTGCACATGAGAAATGTTCTTATAAAAGTATCATGAAACAATAATCTATTGCAAAACTTCTAGAAAATACCTATATGTTGTTACTAGCTTTAAATAATTTGCAAACATTATATATGACCAAATTATATATAAAATTTTGATAATTTTAGAAAAATAGTCTCCTTTGTGAAAATGTTAATACAAAAACAGAATAATGTGTTGAGGTCTTTGTGGTAACTCTTGAATGGAAGAGAGGGGCAAGTTATCACTCCCACAAAGCCAGTAGCCAGATAACAGGATCCATGTAATCTCCAACCTTCATCTAGCATTTTTTTGCAAGATCCTTTCTGCTAATCCATAAAAGAGTTTGTAACCTTTTTTATGCCTAGAATAATAAGGTTGACAGGGATAAATACTAACATACCAGTGAAATTTACTTTTGAGTCATATTAAAACATAAAATGATCAAAGAAACTTGGACACTCAGGGGCATTCAGAGTATAGATATTTAGAAGGATCAAAGAGAAATTTAGGGGTGAAAGGGCAACCACTGTTACTATAGCAAATAGCATCTAAGGATATTAACTTGAAGTAACACAAAGATGAATTTAAATGATATAGGCCATGCTTATATGAATCAATGCTAGAATAGCAAAGGTAAATTTAACAAATATAAACAATTCTGCCTTTAAAACATTAGAATGAGGATATTACACATCTTTTTTCCAAGACCAAGGGTGTAAATTCCATGTTTTTTCTTTTGGGTAGTAGATCTTTTGCCCTGGATATTGATCTGGCAAAATTGTGAAATTGTGCATCAATTTTATGATGAAATAGGCAGAATTCCAAAATTGAAGGCAGAACAAGGTAGAACATGAAGAAGAAGGGTTCAGGAGACAAACCCTGGGAAATTTTACACATCTATACCTCGGGCAAAGGTGTAGTGCACAGATCATTGGCAGGGATGTAGTGCTAGGAGGCTCAGGCCCCCTTGTTGGTACAAAAAAGTAGCAAACTTCTACTTTTGGTAATATTTTATGTGACATTTTGCTTGAGAGCCCCTGTGGTACTTTTCATATTACCACATTTCTGACCATTTGGGAGACAGTTCACAAGACTGGCTGTTAGAAAACCTGTATTTAGAGGACGAAGTTTTTCTCAAAGCCCGGCAAATTGCGATGCTTAGGGGGTGCGTGTCACGCCATCCCCAAACCCCCTCCAAACCTCTACACCCTGCAGTTTCGCCTAACATTCAACATATAAAATGATAATAAGATTGAATTGTGACTTACGGGAAAGTTACGATTTTGTGAATGGGGTTCTTCTTCTAATGCGGTGAGACATCAATTATTATTCAGCTCCCTGGAAATCCCTGAGATGACACGACGATAAGAAATGCCTTCGGTCAGGAATCCATTCACATCTGAAAATTCGTGAAGTATTCCATATTGAAAAGTTTGCTGCGTTGCCAGGATGAGGATATGCGTTCAGGTTGAAGCTTCCATCTTTGATTTGTCGAATTACTAGTCCATGTTGGCTGGAAGCCTCCGCTGAACATCAATCGCAATGAAGGAAAATAAATAAAACGACAACCGAGATTTCGACATGAATCGCCTCTTCCGAGCCTCTACCGAGTCGTGCGAATTTCAGTGCGAACGTATAACAATAGCGCCGAATATTGAAACAATAGCCCTTTCACACGTCACAAAGTGCTTTTTCCGAAAAAAATTTTGTCGTATTTTTACGGTGATTCTCAACTTTGAGCGTCTATATCTGGAAAACGAGTTAAGCTTTTCGAAAAAAAATTTCACGATAGCTTCTTTTTCTTGACTAACTACCAATTTATGCAAAAAAAATTTTGGGCTGGAGTGGCCCTTTAACAAAGGTTATTCAGGTAAAATTTCTGCTCCTGGTAAAGGATCCTATATAACCACGAGGTAAAAGGTAGGGAAATTTGCTTAAAATTCAGAGCATTGCTGTAAAATCGATTCTCCAGATGAAATTCAGTAAATTACCCATTATACATTTTTTCAGGGCCGTAGCTTCCAATTGCACTAAGACAAAATACTTCTTTCCAAAGGACAATCACTTTTGTCCTATTTTTCTCAAATAAAGGTGCCCCCAATAATTCTTCCGTAAGGGCTAGGCCATGACACGTGCTTGCAAATAGTATTTTATGTTCAAATATTTCTTGTAAGGGATTTCCAGTTTCAGTGGATTGCCTCCTCATTTTTTATAAATTTCCTGAAAAGACACCATTCGCTGCAGTGTTACAGTGTTGAATCAATTGCAGCCCGATCAATGGGCCACATAGTAATGACAGCTGAAGTCCATTTCATCATTGCCTTGATAAACAAACAAAAGTGTTGCGTTTGTAGTACCAGAACAATAATTTATTTCGATTAACTGCAAATAAAGACCAAACCAAATAAAGCCCGCTGGCAGATCAATTCTTTGTAGATTTGTTTAACGTATTGTTTACTTGACTTTCTTGTAGATGCAAGGGAACGTTTTCATTATGTCAACTTGATACTGATCGTTTTTATGCGAAACATGACTGAATTCAATTGGGATGTAGGTATGAAAAATCAATTGTGGAAACATTATGTTACCTTTGTTTGTGTCATCGAAAATAGAAAATTCTGTGTCACATATAGCTTTAGACATCAGTAGAAAAAGGCGATATAACTTCGTATTGATTCTGTGCTATCACATATGACACTAGTCTTTCATAGAAGGAAATAACAGATCAAATCAATTATTATTGGTCCTAACATAGTGCCCAAGGAGTCTTCGCCCATTTAGCTGGCATCGTTACCTCCTCCTTCCTGTGTCGCGAAAATTCCCAGATGACGTCAATATCAGAAATCTAAACTTGAAATGGTTGGCTAAGATCACACTAAGATCAATCAACCTCTGCCAGTCAACTCGTTACCAGAAAGATTACGGAAATACAACTCGTTACCCGATTACTTAAAGTTGACACGTGCTGAAACAAACACCGACGAGAGTAAGGCCCCCTACACTGGATACATCTCGTATCTTTTATAGAATCTGTTATAGAATATAGAATTTGGATGTCCATTGTGTTTCGTGCATGTTGCCAAGACCCCCTCTTGTCGTCTAGCCCAAATCATTGGTTATCCCTAATATTGGCGATAGTTGCATGAACTATTTATCATAAATGGTGCCTTTGTTTCGCAGAATACATATGGAACTTCATCCCAGCTGCTGGGCTTGTAATGGGGTCGGAATTTCTCGTCGATTGGTTCAAACATGCATTTATCACTAAGTTCAATGACATTAAACCAGAGGTGAGATGGACTTTTTCATGTGACTAACACACCATGTTTGATGTCAGAATTCTTTAATGAAAGTGACGGATTCCTTCTTTTATCAGTAGTTATCTGGGTTGTAATGCAGTAACGAATATCTCAGATGTTGATCCTTGCTCTTATCCTAGCCCCAACACTAAGTATGATTTTGTAAACATGCCGAGAAGTACGTTAATACATTAATGCAAAAGCTGTTTCAAGGCTACAATCACTGCCAAAACTCTTGGAACACTTGTGATATTTTCAACGTTTGCATGCATCCGTTCCCCTCCCCCCTCCCCCCTCCCTTCAAACAATGTTATCTCACAGCAAAGTTAAGACATACTTTTGTGGCAAACCTTTTTCTACCGATCGCTGTGATATACTGCATTGTAAGCAACATTGTTTAAGTGGGGAGTGGGAGGGGGGAGGGGGAGGGAGGATTGGAAGGGAGGATTGGAAGGGGGAGGGGGGAGGTGGTTAGTCTATTAAAAACACGGGAAATATACGAAAAAAGCAAAAATTTAGCAAAATATGTTGGTGTTCCAAGGAGTTTGACAGAGATTGTCGATGAGTAGTCTATCGGCAACAAGAATGTGGATATAAGGTTTAAAAGAGAAGATTTTGCACTAGGAATTTTTATCATTGCCATCATAAGCAAATTTTAATCCATATTAACTATACTGCCTATGGATATAATTAGTGATATGTTTAACCATAGCTCAGGCACGTTTTATCGCAAGGCATAGCTACTGTCTTTGCTTTGTTGGTGGACTAGTGTCTGCTTATTTCACAAAATAGGTTAGCATTTTTATAATTTGATTTCAGGTTTATGAAACTTATCGGGCAAGTCTTGCACATAATATTGTTATGAACAGACATGAATCGGTAAGTTTTGATATTGATTTTCAATAACGTGTTTTTAACAAAGTAATATTCTATGACCCTGGCTTATAGGCAACCGTAATAAGCTAAGAATATGTGTTGGAAAAGAAAGGAGGACGACTACACGTGGTTAAGAAATATATTACCCCAGTGCTATAGGTGGCTGAGTGGCTGCGTCGCGGACTACAGATCCAGGTGCCTGTGGTTTGAGTACCTGCAGTTATCAAACATTTACTTAGAGTGGGGGAGAGTCGCCAGCTCTCTGTAATTCTAGGCGTAGTAATCACGAGGTGTGGTCACATCGAGAGAAAGGACCAGGAAACTGCTCGATAAGCATAATTCTCTCAGTGTCCTGAAAAGTTAGAAACAAATACAATCCTAAAACCAGAAAAATCGATTTCCAATGTTAATATATTAATGTAAATTATGAGTAGTATTATGAGTAGATTATGTAGATTAATGTATATTAATGTATAGAAGTCCTGAGGTCATTTTGGTCGTTTGAAGTCAATTTATTGTTTGTAACATATGGTATTTGCTTAAAATTCTAAAACATGAATATATGATTTGTTCACTTGTTGCAGACCAGACAAACAGAATATACTGAACCTTTTCAAACTTTTCAAAATAATTTGTACTGTGCAATTTTGTAAAGAGCAGCCGTTTATACAGGGTTGGGATGGTAACTTGAAGAATGGATATTTTTTAGGTCTTTTTTAATTTGTGGGTTTCTATATCATCAAAAAACGATGAATACAATTTTCGTAAATATTATGTAGACAAGAAGAAGCCTTCAAAATTCTACTATCAAGCTAAGACAGCGAGTAGAATAAAGTTTTAAATTTCAAAAGCAATGTTAGCTTTAAAGATAAGTTCCAAATAGTAGAAATTTTCACTAACTTGGATCCTGGAAGGCTCAACTTCGCAAAAATCGGCCGTTTTTAGTATTGCAAATAAATTTTCTTCATAGCCCATCTACTTTTCAAGAATTTCAGCAGTTGCTGATGTTGTTTGATGTGGAAATGTTCTCAGTTATTTACAGGTCACACTGATCAAGTCTCACGAAAGATGGGTTTTAGTCCGCTTCCAATGGCCTGCTTGGTAGGTATCGCATTTTTTATGCAAAGTGTCAGTATGCAAATCAAATGCTGAGACACGACTCTCTTGTATTGTAAACACAGTATTTGAGATGAGCCTTTTCAAGCATCGAATGTTTCTTATGTATTGAGTCTTATTTCTGGCAATATGCAGTTGATGCAAACAAATGACTGCGTTACAGCAAGCTATGTAATTTACTTTGACTTAAAAAGTTCTGAAGAATTTCTGCAAAAAGCATGGTTTGAAAGTATGAAGGAATTTCTCAGCTTGCTTAAGAAAAAGGGTCTCACATTTTTCTTAATTTTTCCCTAATGTTAGTATCATTTCTGTTCCTTGAACAGCCTGCTTTATATAAAAACATGAAAAGTTCAGAGATAAGAAGCCCTGGTTATACCAAGTTTCTTATATTTTCGAATATTTCCTTTTTCGAAACTGCGTCAGCATATTCAAAATAGACTAAGTAATATAGTGTGCTCAAAATGTATTTATTGAATGGATTTCTGGTATCTTTGAAAAGGTATGCCTTTATTATTTTGCTTCTTCTCAACATACTCAAATATTGTTTAAATAAATGTTGAGTTCGATTGCAAAATCTGCTTTTTGAAAATTTTTTTCCATTTTTCATACAATCGTCAAATTTTTTTTACCTTGTTTAAAATCGATGATGCAGATATCTAGCAGTTTGGCGATATAAGGAATTTCTTTTGCTTGCAGATTATACGAGTTTTTTCTCAATCTCTTGAGCTGAATGGTTGGCCTGGTTTTGTACTTTTTCTCGTTATGTTTCTTTGGTAAGTATTCTCTTTCAGACATTATATGAAGTTATCTAAGCAGCTTTCAGCGAAAAATACCGCATAAAATTTTACTTTCTTGTATAGCAATTTATTCGACATCATGTCGATGTGAAAGGTAAAATGTGAAACCAAGTCTTTGAAGTAGGGTTCTCAACTTAACAGTGTTAAACTGGATCTCAGTTTAATCTTTTCGTTGGTTTAGCAAAACAATGTGTACCTGTTGAATTATATTATGTTTTAGCTCGAAGCGTACCCACTAGAAATTACTTCTACTGCACCCTTAAGCTTGTCCTAAATTTGCAATGCTCTTTATGACTATCAACATCATATAATATGACTGCTAATATTTTAAAGTTTTTTCCTGATACGTGCAAAGAAAATTTTTTTTCTTAACAGTTATCCTTGCCTTAACTAAATTTTCACGTTGTGTGATTTAAATGATCTGAAAATATATTTTGCTTTCTTCTTGAAAGTTATCATTTGTTTCTGTTTATATATTAAATGTCTTGTTATTTCCAGCTTATGTGCCCTAAAGTTGCTTGTGAGCATACACATATATGGTGAAGCTGCAGTGTATATTCAAGTATTGAAGCCATCGCCGACGAAAGAAAAATTCGGCAAGACATCGTTTAGGTCGGCTAATACTGTACAGGACATTATCACTGAAGCTGATAGTAATTCGAGTATAGTAAACGATGTTACATCGACGACTGAACCAAAGAAAGACATTTAATTATTTAAGACAAAGATCTATAATAACACGATGTGTATCCCTTGCTAATGAGGTCTGACATCATTTTTATCGCACAAAGACTTTTTACTTTAAAATAATATTGTTGAGAAATATTCATTATTTTTTGGGAGTGGTATTAAGTTTATGTTGGTTCTTTGTGCCAATAGTTTTTACTCGGTTTTTGTTTAAGCCAATGTCTGACTACATTTAGTATTATGCGAACATTGCGTGTCGATCTTTAGAAGGTTGGGACATAAAAGGTATTTTGCATAAGAGGCACGAGAGGCCAGAGGCCGGGCTATGAACCGTTACCTCAGGGAGGGGGAAGGGGGTGGGGAGGGTATTGTGGCCAGTATTAACAGAAACTGATATCCGCGGAAATACCTATTTGAACCAAACACACGGTATCGATGATATCAATGATATTGTTACTGTTAAGACTTTAAAACTTCGTTGCTTTTTAAGAACTCTCAACCTTATCACATGTAAACGGTGCCAGCTGTATCCTCACCAGAACACTTAGAAATTAGCAGGAACACTCTAAAAATCCCCTCAAAAGGCCATATTTTGTAAACTGGGCCCAGCAAGTCAATAACAGTAAGCAAAAAAAGTATTTTTGATAAGGAAATTCATTTTATTTCGTTTTATTTCGAAACGTTCTTTATATTAGATTATAACTATCCATGGTAAATTTTAGACTATATTGTTTTAAAATGTTTAGAAAGTGTCTGTGTTTGTCGAACTAATGTTAAGAAAGGTGATTTTTATCTCAGAAAGTCCATTCTTCTGCCACTCTCATCAATTGCCACATCATGTGGATGGCTCTCTAGTTCGGTTTAACATACAATCAGAAGTGGAAGTTTCATATCAATCAGTTTAGCGTCGACATTTAAAAAAGAACCTTTCCAGCTCAAGTTTCGCAACAATATCTTCATTGATACATCATTGCATCCTACCTTGCCGGATTAAACTGATCAAAATGCCCAATTAATGAACTATTTAACCGGGCTGAATGCATATGGCTCAAAAATGGTGACCAAGGGAAATCGTTTTTCAGTCATAAGGTTCAGGACAATATGCAGAAAGCCTGTTTAAGTGTACTTTCCATTTATTCATTAATTTAAACCAGTGTGTATATAATAAAGTCATTCAAATTCATGTATTTTTAAAGCCTTTCGCCAAGGAAAGATTTTCTGTACATCTAAGATGTTCAAGTTTCTTTGGATCGTAGAAATCGCCCAAGCAGATATTACCAGGGCGGTTGCTACTGTGCTATTTGATGCGGTGAACGATTTAGCTGAATAAGTACGGGAGTAAATCTTGGGTGTTGCACCCTACATACCCGTCAACGTTGGTTCTGGAAGCAAATGAAAGCATTTGGTTGGGAATTTAGCTAGACAGGCTCGTGTCACTGTTTCTGATTTAAACAGACTGCTTATTCACCAGCAATTGGAGTTGATAAATTGACCTTTTTGTGAATAGAATGCTTTTTGAAGCATGCTCACAATAATGTGATCTGATTCAATTCAGCTCATTTAAAATAAAGTGCACTTGCAATACTTTACGTTCATTAAATAAATGTAGCTTGACTGTTTGGCAATGGAAGTCAGTTCAGAAATCCAGACGACTGATCATTTCGTTTCCATAGTTTACAACAAAAAAGGTCTATGACATCTCTTCGAAACTCTGCGTCAGTAACGCTGTAGAGAAGTGGATTGACGATTACATGAATATAGAAGAATGACTTGTAGGCATTGAGAACGAGTGAGACACTTTCGGTGACCAAATTTGGTAAAAGGTCCCAAATAAGGTAGTATATTTTTGTTGGCAGCACAAGGGTGGTAAATGCTAAGACGATGGACACTAGCAAACGAACGACTTTTACGTTTCTTTTCAGCTTACGGTGAATGCAAAGAAAGCTGCCCTGCGTAAGTTTATCAATATCCTTTGTAGATTTTCGCAGCCTTAGGCCAATGCGGATATGCATAATGATGATTGCTGTGAGGGGTATCAGATACACAAATAACAGCAGGCATACACTGTATATCTTTGGTGCTAAAGTGTTGTTCCATGATTCTCTACATTCTCCATAAGGCTGCATCTTCAATGCGAGAATATTTGGTATACTTAATACGACGCAAAGAATCCATGTAAAGAAGGTCGCTATCCATATTTGCTTGACTGTCAAGCGCCGCTTAAAAGGATGAACTACCGCGCGGTATCTTTCGTATGAAATCAGAAATATGCATCCGACATTGACAGACATGATTGTAGTGATAGCGGGAAAGAGAAGCTTACAAGCAAAATGCGGATATATCCATCTGAAGTCACTGTACATCACTGCAGCGACGAATGCAAACAGGATAGAGAGAATCGTGTCATTGACAGCCATCAAAGCAACAACCAACTGAAAAGCCGTTGGTGCTTTTGGCTTCAAAAATCTCGTCATTATCACAATCAAATTCAAGGCAAAGCCAGTTGCTCCTGAGAAAGTTGCAACGACTGCCATCCAAAATGTCGACGTCATATCGAGAAAGTTCTTGTAACTTACAAAATAAATAGCTTTATTTCCAGCTATTCCAAGCCAAAGATTTCAAGGAATTTTCCACCTCTAGTTCCACAGTTGCTCCGGGAAAGCGCTTTTTGATGCAGACAACTAACAATAAGAGTTATCATATCCTTTTTTCCTGTTAACAATAAAACCTTCATTGGTTTCTCATGAACTTTCAATTAACTGCAAATATCTAAACATAAATGGTTTATATTCAGTTGTAGCAAAAAAACTGTCTTCAATTTTCCTGCTGGAACGTGCTTGTTGTGTCTTTGGAGTAGAGCTTAGCAGAATAGCCTATGCCATGCTGTCCGCATCGAAAATTTGGTTCATTGTCGTCATTCAATAAAACTGACTCAGTTCACCTCATTAAACCTATATTATACTAGCACTGTAAGATGTTCTGTAGCTAAGTATGTATTTAAGATGCCTTTAAATCATCGCTTCAGAAAGAGTTTATTTTCGCAGCTGCTAAGTACTTAAATGTCGTTAGCAGCTAGTTTCAAGAGACGACAAAAATAAGGAAGTTTGTTGAGATACAGAATTCATTTTGCTTGGAAGTTTGGCAAATAGCGGATAAATATTTGAACGAATCATTAAAATAACCAATAAAAGGGCGATTAAATTGACTAGGATATGCCAGTTTCTTATCTTTATTGAAATATACTGTTTCTAAAGGAAATAATCACAAGAGTAAAAGATAAATAATGTGGTGAGAAGTGTTATAAATCTGTAGACGTTGTTTGCACAATATTAGGCCAAAGAGCTTTCAATAGCTACGGAGCTCACAGAATAAATGGATTCAGAATATAATGGACACAGCAAAAATGTTCCTTTACTCTTCGGAAAAAGCAAACCTATTATGTTTTTGTCAAAACAATTACCTATTATTGTCCTATTTGGCACTGTTTGGAGCTACTGGTTTTGTCCTAAAGTAAGCGTTCCTCTTTTTCAGTGGCTGTTGTGCCAAAGGATTTTAAGGGCTGCTTATCCCCTAATTTGGTCCGTCTAAATCCCCCAAATATATAGTCCATCTTATTCTTCTGAAAATAGATATGTATAGATGAAAATGTGTTGTTGAAGGACGACAGGTCATATGTTCCAACCATTTTTCTGTGTAAAATGCCTCTGCTAGAATGTGAAAAAGTCTGGTGAAATTTAGAGAGCTTCACTTGCAAATCCTTTTTAAAATGTTATTACAAGAATCAAACTATACTGTTAAATATGGTTTCTTGAATGAAACCATATAAAGATTTCGTGTTCCTTGTTGCCATTGTATGGCTTGACCTTCTCTTCATGTCGAGGCCAAGTTACACCATAATAATTTTTGGCTCCACATGCGTAGTCCTTTACACCGTCACAGAAAACCGGGCCATCATTGGAATTCTGGTCTTCGCCCCCTAAGAGGTATCATATTTATTAAAGGTACGTTCCTGACTAAATTGGTTTATTTTTGTTAAAATCTTTCAAAGCAAGTATAATTTTGACAGTGAGTCATAAAATAAGCAATTATTTTCTTAGTTGTAGAAGTCGTTCGGTTGATGGCCTAAGATAAAATTAATTTCGTACTCTAAGTTTGATCCCGGTTTCGAATGCGGGACAAATATTCTTGGTTTTGTTGTGTTTATCTCTTGGGTACTTGAATTTGAGACTGTGATTCCCTTATGACCAACAAGCCATTGCTTAACATTGCTAAACTGAACCGATATCGTCATCAAATATATTTCATCCTATGTGCTAAATGTAGGCCAATAACAGAAACCATAACTTTTATCCCTAGCAAATTATTTTCAGACGAAAAATTGATAGCTCCCATGGTATCCTATACATAATAGGCCAAAATACATTTTTCGTAATTGTTGTATCCCTTATATCGACAGGTAAATATAAACTTAAAAAAACGGGTGTTTACTTACTGAATCTCTTCAAGGATGGCGCCCTCTCAAAAAGATAAACTAATGAAATGTCACAGTTATCTGATTATTGCAATAAGCAGTCTAGCAACTTAAAATCCTCCTGTTCTACTTACGTTATGTTCTACTTGTTGTTCTACTAAATGATAGATGTTTGGGATGGATTGATAGTTTCCTATAAGAACAATAATAAGCAGCAATCGTTATCCAGAGATTATTTCATGATATTGTACCAAAATGAATTATCGGTCTATTGCAAAGGAATTTGTAATAATAATTACTCTAATCTCTAGATAACTTTCAGACTGTAAAATGAATCCTTGGAAACATTCTTTGTAGTGAAATTTGTTTGCTTCTATGGAATTATGTTTAATTTTTCCTGAATTAAAATAGTTATCTTGGAGTAGATAGGAGTCACTGCTCCATTGCTCCTAGATGAAAATGCAACTGCCTGGTAATTTGACCTTTAGAACATCTGCACCAAAAATATTTTATTTAAAAAATCCTGTTATGTGTTTCATGGTTTATTGTGTATATTCAATCGTTAACTCCTAAAGGCTTTACAACCAATCTGGAGCATTTACTCAAGGAGCATTAAAAAAACAGGAAAATTGACTCAGGAGTAGGATTAATACCATTTCCACCCAGCGCTCCAGTTTGTTGATTCCTACAAAATGTTGCATTTGGTTTTGGTTCAACAAACCCAAGCAAAGGTTGGCTATTGCCAGTGTGGAAGCGGTGTTAATCATAAACAAGGGATAACAAAATGCTAACAAAAGAGTAAAAATTGTCTCTAATAAGTCTATACTAGGGTCCAGGTGCTGGTGGAGGCTCCCTTCACCCACTGACATGGACGCAACCATTCTGTCACTGATACTTTGAATTTGTCTTCTCTCGCGCAATTCATTATTTCTGACGGTAGGCTATTCCATGGTAGGTGTATAAGATTAATGGTTTTATTACATGTTGTAGGATCTATGATCGATTTCCTTTATGCCTAAAAAGTGTGACATTTTGCAAATGAATGGATCTCTAGCTAGTAATGACGCAAAATGTTTTTATGTTGCCCTAGTTAGAACTGCAATAGAGCCTTTTTCTTGTTAATCTTTTCTTCAAATTTGAAGAAATTTTCTTCGTATTTATATGATACCACTGTAGACTTAAAAAGATATCATATTGAATGTAGTCACCTGACACTGTAAAGATTATTTCATTCATTTCAGATGTCATCAAACGAAGAAGTGGCTGATAGAAATGTTGAAATATGGAAAGTAAAAAAGCTTATAAAAAGCTTACAAAGAGCCAGAGGGTATTTAACATTATAAAGACTTAGCTTACTTTCTTTTATTCCAAGTATTTGTTGCTTGATTTGTCAAATTTGGGTGGTGTTGTGGCATTGTCCCCTAATATGATATGATATCACAACAAAATCAAAAATCTTGAATTTTTTAAATTTTTATTTTGGAAGTGGAAAAGAGTAGACTGCTAAAAGGAGTTATAAATTATTTCTGGTGTTTGTCTCTTCACTCAGTAAACTCCTTTTCTGCCACTATGGTTAATCACAAACATTTGGCCTGTTTTGCATCAGAAGGATTTATTGGGATTTGTCAACATCTTTTAAATTTTTTTTATATAGAATAAGTTCATAGCAAATGACCATAAACATAAAAGGAAGTGGACATCACAGCATTGCCTAGTTACATTTATTGCAGCTCTGCAAATGTGTTTTGTGCATTCATGTTAGAAAATCTGGTTTTCTGTCATTATAATGTACATAAAATGGACCAGATGAATATTACTTAGTTTTATGTTTAGGTTCGGCACATGAGAAGTGCGACGTTTGAACCAGGCGTTAGTTCCCTCTATTTAATGATAAAAGTTCTCATTTTGACACTCTTTAATTGGGTTTGACATGCTCTGAATCCTTTGATGGGACTTTTGTGCTTCCATTAATAGAACCTGGTCTCAGTCCTTTTCTTAGGGCGCCAGGTGGCTTCATTACGCAACAAGATCATCAAATGTACTCATTTACTTTGTTATATAGGAATGGCACTAGCATGATCTCTTTGATCATTCCACCTAAAGATCAAGTTTCTAGAGTTGCAAAGATGTTGGCAGATGAATTTGGAACTGCATCAAACATCAAGAGCAGAGTTAACAGGTACTGGTGCTTTGACTCTTGGTTCAAATCTTTTTTCTTGTCATAATAATCTTTATCAAAATCTTATCAAAAATTTTATATTCTCTAATATTGACAAAAGTGTCCTTTTTACACTTGAGCATTCATGTAAAAGACAAGGGCAGAAAAAGAAAGATTAATTTATATTTAATGTTCTTGTGGTGTTGGCCTGATGATTATATTAAGCAGTAAACTCGGTTTAGCAACTTAGAAACATCCTATTCTTTACACCAAATACCATGTATGTACAGCTCTGCCTATGCAGCATAAAGCACTATATGACAGCTTAGTAAACAGTAATTTTCATGATAGTTCTTGTAGAGTATTTTCGCATTATAGGATGTGAGAATTTGTTTTTGGTTTATCTGTCATGAGCCTATCATTAAGTGAAAATATCACAATGTTATGATCCAATAGTTTCTATTTGCAGAAAATTTGTTATCTTTTCCGCTCTTTTTTATAGATTATCAGTCTTGGGAGCAATTACATCAGTACAACAAAGATTAAAACTTTACAATAAAGGTTAATACATTAAGAGTGGAATTCTCTTGTAATATCTCTTGAAATATGTTGTTATTTTTTCCCATATTTTCATTTGTTTATCCATTTATTCATGGCACTGTCTACTTTATAACTTCAATGTTTTTGTTAACAATTGTTGGCAAATCAAAGTTTAATGTTATATGAATTTTTGTTTGACAGTTCCTGGAAATGGCCTTGTGATATACTGTGGAACCATCGTTACAGAGGAGGGCAAAGAGAAGAAAGTTAACATCGACTTTGAACCATTCAAACCAATCAATACATCATTGTATTTATGTGATAATAAATTTCATACAGAGGTTTGTTTTTATCATGCTATTTTTATCATGCTGAATAAGTTTTATAGCTCTATTCTTTGCTCTTCACAAGGCCTGACCAAGTTATGTCTGGTTTGTTTATGCATAAGATTTTTCATTGCATCAATTTGAGAAAAATCATTTGGTTTTTATATATATATATGTTGGTATTTAATTTATATTAAAAGATTTTATGTAATTTGTTTGTATGGTTCATAAAAATTTTCCTTTAGCCCTACAGTATTTCAGGATCAAGGACATCATTCTGACCAATAAAATCCTTGAAAAATGTTTGTCTAAATAAACATATATGAAATTTTTCTTAATCTCAGGCACTGACTGCATTATTGGAGGATGACAGTAAATTTGGGTTCATTGTGATGGACGGAAATGGGGCATTGTTTGGTACTCTTTGTGGAAACACTCGAGATGTTCTCCACAGATTCACTGTGGATTTGCCAAAGAAGCACGGTAAGTTTGCCATCTCTTTATCTATGAGTCCGTTTCACAAACTCTACATTAAGAATCATAGGAAGGGTGTGTCATTCCTGCTTTATACTTACTCCAGCTGTTTTTCTGTGGTAAATTAAGGACTGTTTCAAGCATTATTGAGGGATGGATTTTTCAGGTTTGTTTGTTACATATTTTATATATATTTTTTAGCTTATCTTATCTGCCAAAGTGTTATTTTCATTTGCTATGTTATTTTCTCTAACTCCAGTTGTGTCACAGTCTGCTGTTTAATTGTGTAAAATGTTTTACCTAAAATATGAAATTAAATGAAAGACATTGTTTATAAACCTTTGTTTTGTCCTATCATTGTAACAACATTTTCAGTTATGTTGCTCGATTGTAATAAAAAATTTTTTGTTGAACAGGCAGGGGTGGTCAATCTGCACTACGTTTTGCACGTTTGCGTATGGAGAAGAGGCATAACTATGTCCGAAAGGTTGCAGAAACTGCAGTACAACTTTTCATCTCAAATGACAAGGTAACATTGACATTCTAGAAACATTCTTTTCATTTGTTCTGCTTTTTGGATGTGTACATTCAGTGTCTGAAAATCTCTGTAAGAAAGTTAGATGAATTTCTTTTCAAACTCAATTGGCGCTACCATTATTTCCGAACTTGTCTTGCAACATAACAAAATCTAATTATCATGTAGCTTATAAATCTGAAAGTAAGGTAAAAATAATTCAGTGAAAGATCTTGGAAACCTTCCATGGAGATCATAGAAATGTTTTAGTACCTAGGCATTTAGCAAGCTGCCCTACGAAAGTTTGCTGCATGATGAAGCAAGGTTGAGGTCTTTAACATGTCCAAGTTACTCATCATTTTCCCTCCATCCAGGTCAATGTAACCGGGCTAGTGATTGCTGGATCAGCTGATTTTAAATCCGAACTTAGTCAGTCCGACATGTTTGATCAGGTTAGTAATGTAAACTTTTTTCCACGCTTTTTTTTGTAATTCGAAATTACTGCTCGGACTTTCTGGCAATTGTACCTTTATTACAAGTCTTTCTTATTTCAACTTATCAACCTGTTTACATTTCGGCGAGAATTTTGTCTGCCTCTTCTTGGTGAATTTGTCTGCCTCTTCTTGGTGAATTTTGCCTGCCTCTTCTTGGTGAATTTTATCTGCCTCTTCTTGGTGAATTTTGCTGCCACTTCTTGCAAGTAGACTTACTGTATAGAGTACATACCTGAAAATACTTTTTGATGAATTTCTTCATATACTCTTCCTTTACAGCGATTGCAAGCAAAAATTTTAAAAGTCGTTGATGTGTCATATGGCGGAGAGAACGGGTTCAATCAGGTAGGTTCCCCCATTAGTAATATGTTTACGTTTGCGAATAATATGAGATAAAAGTATATTTTTATGTATTGAACAAGAGTGGCCTTGCCAGGTTTATGAAAACGGGGGGAACGCAAGTGAATGAACAAACTGACAAATGATGCATTTCGATGCACTTAGGTTTAGCTCATCATACCCTGCTGGTTGTTAACCAAATGTGAATCAATTCGTTGTTTTTGTATTAACAATATGATTGTTTTTGTTTAACACGAAGCGATAGAAGCTTGTTGAATAGATCAACCTTGTATTTTTCAGGCTATAGAACTATCTGCTGAAGTTTTGGCAAACGTTAAATTTATCCAAGAGAAAAAACTAATCGGTAAGTGGCATCACCATCAGTGTAATCATGATCACTGTTGACATCGTTATCGTTATCAGCATCAGTGCAATCATTATCATTTCGATCGCCTTCGTTATCAGCATCAGTGCAATAATGATCACTGTTGGCATCGATATCGTTATCAGCATCAGTGCCATCATGATCATTATGATCGCCTTCGTTATCACCATCATTTTTTCTTGCCCCATTTGTTTGCGATTGTGTGTCTTGCTCTCGTAGGAAATCTGGTATGTGTCTTGCTAGGTTTTATCTGCTATGTGTCTTCCTCTCGTAGGAAAGTATTTCGATGAAATTTCACAAGATACTGGGAGGTACTGTTTCGGAGTTCAAGACACGTTAAAGGTTGGTTATAGGCTACAGATAATTTTTGTCTGCTTTTCTATTTCAACATGATTCTAGGGATTTTCGCCTTTTTGTTGTTTTTTTCGTTTTCTGAACAAGGACAGGCGCATTAGGCAAGGGGACTCGGAGGGAAGAACCCGGAAAAGCAAACGAAATTTCTTTTTGAGATTGATTCTATTTTTTGAGAGCCCCATTTACTTTTTAAAGCACCACATCTATGCATTTCAAATTTTTCAAGATGTTTGCAGAACTTCAGAATTTTGGTATGAAAGAATAAACAATGTTGTTGACGGTGTTTCACTTGGAAAACACCCTTTGTGTTGTACATTTGTACATATTATTGTACCTTCATTCTTCATTTAGGGGCTCGAAATGGGATCAGTAGAAACGCTTATTGTTTGGGAGAACTTGGATTGTAACAGAATTGTTTTGAAGAACCATAGCACTGGAGGTATGTTGCAGTTTTATTGTCTATGATTCCAAAGCAGTGTCAGTACGCTCTTTGTTTTAATTGTGGTTCAAGTCCAAAAGCTATCATTGAAGGATTGATTACCTTGAAAAAATAAAAAAATGGAAATTGATAAACATTTTCTTGTATTTTATAGAGTTTAAATTGATCTGTTTTTTGCTGTAATATATTGTCTATTTTTGACTGAGTCCTAATTGGATTTTTTAGATGAAAAAATTCTTTTCTTAAACCTGCACGATGAAAAGGACCGTACACACTTCTTGGATAATGAGGTAGCCTTCTTGGTTAACATTTTTATTTAGTTATTTTTTAGGATTTATTTATTTATTTAGGATTTCTATAATGATTGACATTGGAAATCAAAGTATTGTTTTTAGTTTTGTTCAGTTCACTAAGCGAAATTGAATTCAGCTATATGAAGAATTCTTGCATAATTGTTTTCTGACGAAATAATTTTCATAATTTTGTATACTGCGTACCAACTAAATTGCTGGTTAATACCGCTCACTGGCCCGTGTTTCGGTGTCCAGTTTAATTTAGCCGTGGCATGGCTGTGGTACTAGATCTTGTGGTAATTGCCAGCTTATATGGCATTTTGAAAAACTATGTCCAGTAACCTTGAGAGCAATGCATAACCCCTACGGCCTTTGTAACCCTTAGGTGTCAGGTCTCAATATGGTTGGTTCTTACCGTAAAAGCTATATTAAACCCCCGGGGCTTATTTTTTCAGTCCTAAAGGGAGGGCTTTAATGAAAGGGGGTTTATTAGAGAGAGGGGGCTTATCAAAAATTTGAAGCCAAAACAACGTTTTGAAAATGCTCTTGGCCATTTTTTGTCATGAGAATGTCGTACAAATGTTCTCAAAAAACTCTGCTAGCAGCTTCGATATTTTAATCAATCAATCATAAGGTGCTCATCTTCATCAACATCACCAGGATAAATTGATAACCAACCCTTGGACATCTTCAAGACAAATGTCGACTGACTACTAAATCACACAAGTCAATCTTTACATAGGCGGTATTTAATGCACACGATCTTATTATCATCACACCCGTCAAGAGACCCACTAAATGCGCATGTTTTCTATGTTTGACATCAAAGGCTCAAGAGGAGAAGAGCTTAATAGAGATGGGGTGCTTATGCAAACTTTTTGCTTGATAAGGGGGGACTCAATAGAAAAGGGGGCTTAATAGAGAGAGGGGCTCAATAGAGCTTTTACGGTAACTACTTTAAGGAAAGGTCCAGCTGTTCAAGTTTTTTTGTACTGACCATGACTGTTACATTTATTTTTGCTTGTTGTTTTGGAGAGTGTCAATCGATGGAATGCCATTGTTGAGAGAGTCATCTCAGTTATGTGGTGTAATGCGATGTGAGAAGGCTCTCTTATACATGGGAGTTCCAGCATCATTCGAAACCTTTTAATCATTGCAAATATTGCCCTTAAAAGTGACATTTCTCGAAGGTTCAATGGAGAAGGGTGTAGATCTTGAACTATACATAGATTTTTGGGTGTTCTTGGCTTTACCTTTGTCCAGGAATGTAGTTTTTTGAGTCCATTTATTATTTTTTGTATTAAGAACAGTTCAGTTTTGACGACGAAATATAATGATTATTTATCCAATCCAATTTGCATCATTTTGCAGACGGGAGTGGAGCTGGAAACTATTGACAAAGTTTCTTTGATCGAGTGGCTAGCCAACAACTACAAAACTTTCGGTAAATTCGTGTTCTTCAACTTGATTCATTGTATTTTTATAAGAATCAAGATAACCATGGGTTCAATTTTTTGTAGTGTAGCGTTCAAAGTGTAGCGTTTCAGGATATACGCTCCAATTCCAACACCTCTCCTTTCTGAAAATTACCTAGCGTTGCTCATTGAATACAGTTTCCTTAAATTGCCAGGATAAAAAATCAAGGCTGGGCTTTTCAAATAATCTTGGGCATGTTTCTGGCCCGGTATTGTGTTGTATTGAAATTTTCCCCAAAAAGACAGTATCTTTCAACTCCATCTCAAAGTAATCAAATACATGTGTTCATATTTTATCCCAAACACGAGAACTGAATTCCTATATTTAAAAACGTGTTTCTCTGCAAAAGACTTAGGGAGATCTACTACAGTTAATAACAATAGCATTAGTGGAAGCATATAGGTGAAAATCATATATAATGCACAAAATTACTCGAGTTTGCAGTTTTCTCTCCATCCTTTCTTTCAATACGCCCTACCTTGGTTGCTTATGGCCAGACTTTGCAAAGGAATGCCCAGTTTGGATTTCATTGAGTAATTTATAGATTTACGAGTGATTTTTCTGTTTGCTTTCGTAGGTGCCCATTTGGAAATCGTCACTGACAAGTCACAAGAAGGCGCGCAGTTTTGCAAAGGCTTTGGTGGTATTGGAGGTAGGTTTAGATATTTATTGAAAGTAGAATGTTTTTCCATTGATGTATCAATCTGTCGCAGATTATACATTCGACAATAATATTTCAAGGAAATCATTTATTTTTCTTTCATGGCTGATTACTCGTAAAATACACGCATTTTACTGGGCGACGACTTTCATTGTGCTTCATGAAAATGTAATGCTCAAATTTGTCCTAAATTTTGATGGCAAGAAATTAAGCTATGTAAAGGATTTACTGTAAAACAATTTTCTTTGTAATTCAACCTTGAATAGAAAAAATACACTAAACGCATTAAGGTAATGGAAGAAGTATTGTCTGTATAATTATAGCTGTGTAATTGCTAGCTATTGTGCTTAAGGGGAGTGTTCAAGCCCCATTTGCCAACAAAATTAGTTTGACATCCTTTATTTGCCGACAAGTTTGAAAATTTACTGACAAAGTACCCCTACATCGCTAAACTCTTCGTTTAGAGGTGAAATATTCGTTTAGAGATAACAGGGTTGTGTTTGTAAGAGGGTTTCAACGAGACGAAATGTCTGACAACTTTGTTCAAAATCACGTTTTATTGTACCTCAGTCTAGCTTGTTCTTAATTTGTTCTGAACTTAGACCAATTCGAGGCTTGTGTTCTTATAAAAAGAGTGTAATAAAACGTTTAGCCCATCTGAACCAGTACTGAAATTTTCCCCAGGGGTCAATAACGGATATAATGAAGTTTATTTTTGAGATAAATAAATGTGCAAAGTGATTGCAATGAAAATGCCTCATGTTGCATGCTTGTCTTTGTGCTGTTTATTAAAACGTGAACGCAAAATGCAACCTAAGCAACACAACAAACAAGGTATATGAGAAAAGCAAATTGTTAAACGAGAAAACCGAATTAAAGGGAGAAATTATGGTTGGTGTCGTGAGAAAACCAAAGTATGTTTCATTTTCAAATATTTCAAAGCAGCTATAGTTAGTGTTAGTGCCTAGCACTGTTTCCTATGGTTGCTATTTGGTACTTAGCAACCTAAACATCTGCTATCAGTGCAGACAGTGAGAATGTACTGAAATGAAATTTTCATATACATGTTTTCTATTTAACAGAGACTGGTTTATAAGAAACTAGTATTAAAATGGCCAAAAATTTTAAAAACTTATTTACTAGGCTCAAGAAAAATTAAGAAGCTTTAGAATTTCCATTTTTAAAGAAAGGGTACTAAAGTTTTTATTTCGTTGACTTTTTTGGAAAGATAGCTTACTTTGGTATTTGATCTGCATGGGTCTTTTCATGACGATCTGTGTTTATATTTCAAAGAAATGCTCAATTTCAAAACATCAAGGCAATTTTAGCTCCCTAAAGTAAAAAACCAACTAAAAAACTTTTAGTACTAAAATGTCAAAATTGGGATGCCAAATTACGAAACATTAAGTACTTAGTGTTGATCCAAGTTTCTTTTGTTTTTTATGAATGGATGACATTATTGCGTGATGGCTGTTTGACTGTGTAACTTGTATACAAAGTCAATTTAGCTTTTATGCATAAGAAAATGCAGTTCTCTTACGCATGTTTTTATCATAAACACATAGGTCTGTTGCGTTACAAAGTCGACTTCCAAGATATGGAATACGATGGCCTAGACGACATTGATTTTTCCGATGAGGATTATCTCTAAGAACGCCCTTCTAAATCACCAGAAGAACACAGGATTTGTATGCGATCAAGCCTAGTGACATGTTATTATTACATTCATGGAAATCTTGCGGGATCCCGCGGATTTGCGCAAATGAAGCTTTGTTTATTTTGCTTCTTATATTTTCCATATTGGATTGGTCGCAAGAATGATTTTGACAATTATGATATATGTGGATGAGTTTGTTTGTAGTTTGCTCTGTTTTCCTATATCGTGCTCAAAGATAATTTTTATTTGATGTTTCGGCGACAGGAATTTCTTCTAAGTCTGCCACAGATCCGTTCTGTGCTTTAGCCAAATCTGAACAAACTGTGTTCTCTTCGGGCGTTTCTGTACTCGGAGTTGGAATCACCTTGAACTTGATCTTAAACAGGCACCCTCCCTTGCCACCTTTAAGAAATGAACCAAGAACAAACTATGATCAGAGTTTTAATTTGCTAAGGTTATGTAGTATTTACCGTTTCTTAATTTGCAGATGTTTTTGTCACGGCCTCCTGAAAAGAAAGTTTAATGGGCTGGAGGGGCCACCATGCCTATAGAATTAAAATGAATTTATTTGATTGTGTGCTTCATCCTTCTTGCATCGCGAAGCAGCATAGAAGAATTAAGGCAATTCCCCGCTACCTTTATAGACAAAATTTGTTTAGATTGCGTAAACATGGGTAATTAGATGCAAAACTTGACCAAGGCATAATAGTTTCAGTAATTATAAATCGATTTAATTTATCTTTAATTGTACGGATTTTCGGGAAGTAAAATTTAAAGGGGCTGTGTCACACTGTGTCACGGGAAATTCCGCTTACTAAAAAGGTTCTTTGGATGAACGACCATTTTTCATCGATATTCATCACGCCCTGCTTTTGTTTTCTTTTCGCATATCAAGTTGAAAAAAGGGAAAAGGTGTGGATATTTGAGAAATTGTATCGCCATATTTCGCTCGAGAAAGATGGCCAGTTCGAAGAAAAAGGGAAGTTTCGATATTCTCTGCAGCGCCTATTGCGTAATATTTCGCAGCGGTGAAATTAGAACTCTTTTCGAAGTCAAAAATCAAAACTGCGCCCCCCCTCCCTCCCCCCTCGATATCTTCACCAGTGATTGGGCTGCGAAATTCGCCTCGTGGCAATTAACCCGTGCAGTGTGTGCTGTATGGGCGGGGAAGTTAAATAAGTGCGGAACTTCGGGGAACTTTTTAATGGAAGACTTTTGATTTGGGATTGTGTAAACGCCTTTTATATTTTGACTACTTTTTTGCCATGAATTCTATTGCTCTGCAGCTGCACCCTGCTCTGCCAACATTGTCCATTTATTTCATTCTCCCTTCCTTCTAAAGGCCCCCTAAACCCTGGTCTTACAAACTCCGTTGTCTCATGCAGAGTACTTTTTTGAAGGCTAGATAAGATGTTTTTGCTTCTCTTGTCTGGTCTGTTACTTAAAGTGATTTTCGATGCTTGCGTCGATGGTGTTTTTTGTCATTAGTCCGTTAGGATTGGTGGGTGCGTCATGAGTTAAAAGTCATGGCCCTGGGGGAGCCGCAAATCATGTAGTAGTTAAGGGTCCTTTTTGGTTCTTCGTAGTTAATGGTCCTAGGGGTCATGGGGGTCCTAGGGTCATAGGGTCTGGTTTTTCCAGTATGCCCCTCTGCAGCAGAGGGACAGAAACTTGCCATTGAATCTTGGCAGTACCGACCAGTTTATTTATCTTGTAGTTACCATTTATGAACAATGTCGATCTATAACAAATTCTACCCCGTTTGCCATATCCTTTTGATCTGTCGAGTGCCATTAGCGTGAAAATTGAGTTTCTCGCGCACACGTAGGTCAAGTTTGTATTTGTTTGTTATAATATTAGGCCGTGCGCTGCGCTGTTACTTATCGTGTGACCCGCTCCGTAGTCAGTGATTTGATCAGAACAACACAGCCATCTGTTAAATGATATCGCTAGTTACCAAACTTTGCGTGAACTTCAAGTGCAATCATATTTGATTCAGATGAACCGTTGTCTAGGCCAATTAGGTTAACTACAATGGCCGACATCCCTTTACTACCACAGTAGACCCTTTGCTCAATTAGTTGGGGTTACGTTTTTATTGGTATTGTACCCTATTACTAGGTCTCTATACGAATACAGCCGTTAATAAAAGATTCGCTAACCCGTACAGTGATTCCAGACAATTAATGCGCTCGCTTTTAAATATCAAATTTACGCATAAACATTAAGTGGGTGAACGCGTTGTTGTTATTAACACCATCCAAGTGGGTGACCATGACTGGTGGCTCGATTGACCTTGCCTCTGCCTTGATAACCTGATCACATTCCTTCTGCGTTCGGTCACTTGCCAAAACGTACTCTGTTTTTATAGATTTTGATTCCAAATTCGCTTGCAAAGAAGCCTTCTTTCAAAGATACAATCGGGTTTTCAAAATGCGTGAGCCGAAGGGCTCAATTTTGCTTCTACTGTTTTTAGCTGCTGCCTTGGTAGTGAGGGGTGCCCCACTAGGAAGCAAAGAGGACGAACAGCTACCTCACTCGAAAGACTACTACGATGGTTACGTTCACGCGCTTGTTGATCATTACGACGAAATATTCAGAAGTCAACGCGATGTTTCGGCAGAAAAGCAAGAGGATGCTAGCAAGAAAAACACTGTCGCTGAAGGATCTGGCGAAAATGCGCTAGAGAAAAACGATACACAGAATGTGAGTGAAAATACGATTGGCGAAAGCCTGGTGAATAACAGCCAGGCTAATGAGCCGACCAACGACACTGTCAGTGATAAGCCATACGTGAATCCGGAACAAACTGGAAAGCCTCCTGTCACTGACACAGAAAAAGAGGAGGCACCCACACCAGATGCTCATAAAAAGACAGAAAATGACCAAAGCGTCAACCCCGAAGTTGCTGATATGAGCAATATACAAAAGTCTATGTTCAAAGCAAGCGATGCCACTAATTTGCCGGAAACAATGCAGGATATTAAGTTTTACACGGGCAAAGCGAGAGAATCTGAAGACATGAAGAGGAAACGAAGCACGGACAGTGATTTCCCAGTTCAGCTAGATGCAAAACCACAACAGCCTATTGCAGCTGGAGCAGCACCTGCAGTAGGCCCTTCTGCAGCAATTAGTCCATCGTCAATGCCAGCTGCTACTCCAGACACAGTTGCGGATTCAAGCAAGCGCGATGATATGAAATCAGAATCAAAAATTGTCTCACACTCTGCCTCTACTTATACCCCAGGGGACCCGTTCAAGAATCCCCCGCAGGTACCACAGAATACCCCACCAGATCCCAATAAAGAGGAACCGTACAAGAAAGATAACAAAGAATCAGGTAAAGAAGATACTGAAATGGTTGTAGAAAAGAAGGAAGAAGACGAGAGTGCTAAGAATCAGAAGAAGACTGAAAAGAAGCAAGACGGAAAGGAGGCTGAGGATGCAGGAAATGCGGATGACAAGGAGAATGAGGAGGAGAGTGAAAAAGTTTCTGAAGCTAAGAAGGAATTTGATGGAAAGTCTGAAGAGGAAGAAAATGACAAGGATAAGGAAGAAGCAGAAGAGGAGTTTAACAGTGCTCCAAACCAGGCATTTATACCGATGCTGCTTGTTCCTGTAAGCGTCGAAAATAAGGAAGATTACGGAGGCATTTCTGATGCTAGTGGGGAGCGAAAAGACCTGCTTGGTAACAAGCGAGAGGACAAAAAGAAGGACGATAAAAAGAAGGAGGACGATGATGATGATGATGATGAGCACGATAATCACGCTTACCTAGCGCCATTATGGGGATACCCAGGGTGGTACGAAGCTGGTCATGGAATACCCTATGGTTACGGAAACGACGTGCTTTACGGCCACCATCAACAAGGTCACCATGGATACGGTCACCATGGGCATGGCTACCACCAGGGAGTCGGACACTATGGATTCGGACATCACGGACTCGGACATCACGGACTCGGACATCACGGGCTCGGGCACCATAGCTATGGGCATCACGGGTCCGGACACCATGGCTACGGACATCATGGCTACGGACACAATGATTTATTGCAGCTTGAAAATGGGGTCATCTGGCCATATGGGGGTCATGGGGGCATGAGTTACTTTTATTCTCCGTGTGGGTGCAACAGTGGCATGAGACGTGACTTAGGCTTTGGACGTCCCTTAGGTATGCTTTAACATTTCTAACTATACCTGCACTTGTAAATACGATGGTTCCAGATACGCATTGGCAATTTCATCTTGTTCACTGTAGGTCCATGTAGATCTCTTTCGTGGAATTTGATGCATCATTTGATCAATTCGTGGAAAAATTAATTCTCAAGAATAATTTGCAATCGAATCCGACGGACACGAGAATTTCGATCTACTTAACATTGATATGCCGATTAGTGGAGAAGATTTCCTATAAAACACTGATATCCAGAAAACAATGATAAAAGACGATGAAAAGAAAATAATGAACGACACACGAACTGCGCTGACAAGAGACAGATTAACCTTGTCGACCGTTTACAAAAAAGTTATTCTTTTAAGAAAAGTTTCAGTAATTCGAATATTGAAAATATTTCCTTCGATGTCCTTCTCTAATTCGACGATTGTGATAAAGTGCATCAAAATACTCAATGCCATCAAAGTTCTAGTAACCCACAAAATAGCCAGGATAAAGGCCTGGCAAAATTGTCGTAAATCAAAGATTTCACGAAAATCCCAGATAAAAATTGATTGAAAAGGATCACAAACTGCTATAAATCGTCTTGATTAGGTGATAAAAGCTTTATTTTAAGAAAATTACAATTTTTATAAGTACAGCTTTTTCTCAAAAAAGCAAGGCTACAGCCATGGCAAAATTGTCGAATTTTGAAGAGCAAACTTTTCGGCAAATCCAAGGTAATATGGATTGATTGAGAAGGATCAGAAACTTCTATAAATCGTCTTGATTAGGCGATAAAGGTTTATTTTAAGAAAATGACGAGTTTTTTTAAGAATGGTTTTTTCACAAAAAAGCAAGGCTATAGGCTTTGCAAAACTGTCGGTTTTTTAAAGGAAAATTTTTCCGAAAATCCCAGATAAAAATTGATTAAGAAGGATCAGAAACTGCTATAAATCGTCTAAATTAGGCCATAAAAGCTTTACATTAAAAAAATGAGCACTTTATATCTATATGGTTTTTCACAAAAAAGCAAGGGTATAGGCTTTGCAAAACTGTCGATTTTTTAAAGGAAAAGTTTCACAAAAATCCCGGGAAAAAATTGATTGAGAAGGATCAGAAACTGCTATAAATCGTCTTGATGATAAAAGCTTTATTTTAAGAAAATGACGAATTTTTATTAGTACAGCTTTTTCTCAAAAAAGCAAGGCTACAGCCTTGGCAAAATTGTCGATTTTTGAAGAGCAAACTTTTCGGCAAATCCAAGGTAATATGGATTGATTGAGAAGGATCAGAAACTGCTATAAATCGTCTTGATTAGGCGATAAAGGTTTATTTTAAGAAAATGACGAGTTTTTTTAAGAATTGTTTTTCACAAAAAAGCAAGGCTATAGGCTTGGCAAAACTGTCGATTTTTTAAAGGAAAAGTTTCACGAAAATCCCAGCTAAAAATTGATTGAAAATGATCAGAAAGTGCTATAAATCGTCTTGATTAGCTGATAAAAGCTTTATTTTAAGAAAATGACGAATTTTTATACGAATGGTTTTTCACAAAAAAGCAAAGCTATAGGCTTGGAAAAACTGTCGACTTTTTAAAGGAAAAGTTTCACGACAATCCCAGATAAAAATTGATTGAAAAGGATCAGAAACTGCTATAAATCGTCTTGATTAGCTGATAAAGGCTTTATTTTAAGAAAAGGACGTTTTTTTATAATTATGGTTTTTTCACAAAAAAGCAAGGCTATAGGCTTTGCAAAACTGTCGGTTTTTTAAAGGAAAATTTTTCCGAAAATCCCAGATAAAAATTGATTTAGAAGGATCAGAAACTGCTATAAATCGTCTAGATTAGGTGATAAAAGCTTTATTTTAAGAAAATGACGAATTTTTATAGGTATGATTTTTTTACAAAAAAACAAAAAAGCAAGGCTATTGACTTGGCAAAGCTGTCGATTTTTTAAAGGAAAATTTTCAGGAAAATCCCAGATAAAAATTGATTTAGAAGGATCAGAAACTGCTATAAATCGTCTAGATTAGGTAATAAAAGCTTTATTTAAAGAAAATGACGAATTTTTATAGGTATGATTTTTTTACAAAAAAGCAAGGCTATTGACTTGGCAAAACTGTCGATTTTTTAAAGGAAAATTTTTCCGAAAATCCCAGATAAAAATTGATTTAGAAGGATCAGAAACTGCTATAAATCGTCTAGATTAGGTGATAAAAGCTTTATTTTAAGAAAATGACGAATTTTTATAGGTATGATTTTTTTACAAAAAAGCAAGGCTATTGACTTGGCAAAGCTGTCGATTTTTTAAAGGAAAATTTTCAGGAAAATCCCAGATAAAAATTGATTTAGAAGGATCAGAAACTGCTATAAATCGTCTAGATTAGGTAATAAAAGCTTTATTTAAAGAAAATGACGAATTTTTATAGGTATGATTTTTTTACAAAAAAGCAAGGCTATTGACTTGGCAAAACTGTCGATTTTTTAAAGGAAAATTTTTCCGAAAATCCCAGATAAAAATTGATTTAGAAGGATCAGAAACTGCTATAAATCGTCTAGATTAGGTGATAAAAGCTTTATTTTAAGAAAATGACGAATTTTTATAGGTATGATTTTTTTACAAAAAAGCAAGGCTATAGGCTTTGCAAAACTGTCGATTTTTTAAAGGAAAAGTTTCACAAAAAACCCAGAAAAAAATTTATTGAAAAGGATCAGAAACTGCTATAAATGGTCTTGATTAGGTGATAAAGGCTTTACATTAAGAAAATGACGACTTTTTATAACTATGGCTTTTTCACAAAAAAGCAAGGCTATAGGCTTGGAAAAACTGTCGATTTTTTAAAGGAAAAGTTTCACAAAAATCCCTGAAAAAAATTGATTGAGAAGGATCAGAAATTGCTATAAATCGTCTTGATTAGTAGATAAAAGCTTTACATTAAGAAAATGACGACTTTTTATAAGTATGGTTTTTTCACAAAAAAGCAAGGCTATAGGCTTGGCAAAACTGTCGATTTTTTAAAGGAAAAGTTTCACAAAAATATCTGAAAAAAATTGATTGAGAAGGATCAGAAACTGCTATAAATCGTCTTGATTAGTAGATAAAAGCTTTACATTAAGAAAATGACGACTTTTTATCAGTATGGTTTTTTCACAAAAAAGCAAGGCTATAGGCTTGGCAAAACTGTCGATTTTTTAAAGGAAAAGTTTCCCAAAAATATCTGAAAAAAATTGATTGAGAAGGATCAGAAACTGCTATAAATCGTCTTGATTAGTAGATAAAAGCTTTACATTAAGAAAATGACGACTTTTTATAAGTATGGTTTTTTCACAAAAAAGCAAGGCTATAGGCTTGGCAAAACTGTCGATTTTTTAAAGGAAAAGTTTCACAAAAATCCCTGAAAAAAATTGATTGAAAAGGATCAGAAACTGCTATAAATCGTCTTGATTAGTAGATAAAAGCTTTACATTAAGAAAATGACGACTTTTTATAAGTATGGTTTTTTCACAAAAAAGCAAGGCTATAGGCTTGGCAAAACTGTCGATTTTTTAAAGGAAAAGTTTCACAAAAATATCTGAAAAAAATTGATTGAGAAGGATCAGAAACTGCTATAAATCGTCTTGATTAGTAGATAAAAGCTTTACATTAAGAAAATGACGACTTTTTATAACTATGGCTTTTTCACAAAAAAGCAAGGCTATAGGCTTGGCAAAACTGTCGATTTTTTAAAGGAAAAGTTTCACAAAAATCCCTGAAAAAAATTGATTGAGAAGGATCAGAAACTGCTATAAATCGTCTTGATTAGTAGATAAAAGCTTTACATTAAGAAAATGACGACTTTTTATAAGTATGGTTTTTTCACAAAAAAGCAAGGCTATAGGCTTGGCAAAACTGTCGATTTTTTAAAGGAAAAGTTTCACAAAAATCCCTGAAAAAAATTGATTGAAAAGGATCAAAAACTGCTATAAATCGTCTTGATTAGCTGATAAAAGCTTTATTTTAATAAAATGACGACTTTTTATAGGTATGGTTCTTTCAGAAAAAAGCAAGGCTATAGGCTTGGAAAAACTGTCGATTTTTTAAAGGAAAAGTTTCACAAAAAACCCTGAAAAAATTGATTGAGAAGAATCAGAAACTGCTATAAATCGTCTTGATTAGCTGATAAAAGCTTTATTTTAATAAAATGACGACTTTTTATAAGTATGGTTTTTTCACAAAAAGCAAGGCTATAGGCTTGGAAAAACTGTCTATTTTTTAAAGGAAAAGTTTCACAAAAATCCCTGACAAAAATTGACTGAAAAGGATCAGAAACTGCTATAAATCGTCTTGATTAGGTGATAAAAGCTTTATTTTAATGAAATGACGAATTTTTATAACTGTGATTTTTCACAAAAAAGCAAGGCTATAGGCTTTGCAAAACTGTCGATTTTTCAAAGGAAAAGTTTCACAAAAAACCCGGATAAAAATTTATTGAAAAGGATCAGAAACTGCTATAAATCGTTTTTATTAGGTGATAAAGGCTTTACATTAAGAAAATGACGACTTTTTATAAGTATGGTTTTTTCACAAAAAGCAAGGCTATAGGCTTGGAAAAACTGTCGATTTTTTAAAGGAAAAGTTTCACAAAAATCCCTGAAAAAAATTGATTGAGAAGGATCAGAAACTGCTATAAATCGTCTTGATTAGTAGATAAAAGCTTTACATTAAGAAAATGACGACTTTTTATAAGTATGGTTTTTTCACAAAAAGCAAGGCTATAGGCTTGGAAAAACTGTCGATTTTTTAAAGGAAAAGTTTCACAAAAATCCCTGACAAAAATTTATTGAAAAGGATCAGAAACTGCTATAAATCGTCTTGATTAGGTGATAAAAGCTTTATTTTAATAAAATGACGAATTTTTATGACTATGATTTTTCACAAAAAAGCAAGGCTATAGGCTTTGCAAAACTGTCGATTTTGTAAAGGAAAAGTTTCACAAAAATCCCTGAATAAAATTGATTGGGAAGAATCAGAAACTGCTATAAATCGTCTTGATTAGCTGACAAAAGCTTTTTTTAATAAAATGACGAATTTTTATAACTATGATTTTTCACAAAAAAGCAAGGTTATAGGCTTGGCAAAATTGTCGATCTTGTAAAGGAAAATTTTCACAAAAATCCCAGATAAAAATTTATTGAAAAGGATCAGAAACTGCTTTAAATGGTCTTGATTAGGTGATAAAGGCTTTACATTAAGAAACGGATTACTTTTTTAAGCACGTATTTTCAACAAAGAAGGAAGGTTATAGGCGTTGAAAAAGTCTTTTTTATCGAAGGGAAAGTTTTCCGGCCAATCCCGGCTAAAATTGATTGAGAATGATCAGAAACTGCTTTGAATCGTCTTGATTGGGTGAAGGAAGCATTACGATTTAAAAAATGAGGACTTTTTTTAAGTTTGCTATTTTTTACAAAAAGGCAAGGCAGTCGCTTAGCAGTTGAATTTTTTTTGTGATAGAAGTATGAAAGTTGGTAGAAGCACACAATTTGACATGCTGAATAAGATGAGATGCAGACCCAACTTCAAAAATGCCCCCAAAAGCTATTTTTAGACTGGGGTACCTGTACCCAGTCCCCTTTTAGGTCTTCCTCTACGGGTGCGGTAATACCAAAAATTAAGTATACTTTTTCTAAGCCAACCATGGCTGGCTAATTGCTGCGCTTACTTTTTATGTAGTTTTGTCGGACTACTTCAACATTGAAGGAAATCGCCTTAATCCATTGGGATTGCTCCTGATTACGCTAAAACTTAGCTAATCACTTGTTAAGCAATCTAAATAAATAAATTTCCGACGTGCTATTTAGATAAGTTTGTCATGCAAAATCACAAGCAATAAATATCGATTTGGCACGTAAATATTCAATCACGAAGTACTACACGATGTCTTATCCTTTCGGAACTTACCTGGTTCTTCTACCAGTGAGGATATAGCGGCAAGGCAGCAAATGCATTTTTTCTTCTTTTAAAAAGACATAATGCCCTTGACTTAACAGTTGATCGAAAAATCTGCACAAGAAGCAAAAGAGAAGTTTCTACATCAATATTTTACTGAAATATTACAATTTTGTTAAAATGGCGCGAATCCTTCCGTTTAAGTGAAATCTGGCACAAGATTACCAAAGGACTATGTACCAAAAGTTCATAGCCTCTCCTCCGCTGAAAGACACGAAAAATCGCAGAACAGAAAAGTTGCTCTGACCAAAATTATTTCATACGATTAAGGTGATTAGCAAAAGAAAACTTGGTGTGACCGCTCCCTATATCTTTTAAACTGTTCAAAAAATTGTTTTCTGGCGTATTTTGACATGCTGAATAAGATGAGATGCAGACCCCACTTCAAAACGACCCGAAGCTACTTTTAGACTGGGGTACTTGTACCCAGTTCTCCTTCGGGTCTTCTCCATATCTTTTATACTAGGGGGGGGGGGGGTACGCAAGTTATAAACCTGAAACTTTGTTTTCTGTTGTTACTTGACATGCTGGATAAGATTAGATGCAGACCCCACTTCAAAAATGCCCCCCAAGCCATTTCTAGACTGGGGTACTTGTATCATGTTTAGCCCCCAAAACGCTTTTGGCCCCTTAATGCATAATATGCTTCGCGGTCCTTTACGCTTCCCAGTGAACAGCGGCGATTTTCTATATGTCTGTCATGTGACTGCGTCTTTTAAACCTGCACAGGAGCTTAATAGAAAACCTTGTCATCAAAAAGAGATTCCATCATTGTTGTGATCTGGGGAACTTTGTGACCAGAAAGTGTCAGCGTTTTAAATCCCCTGCAGCTGATCGAAAGTGAATGTTCACCAGCCTGAGTAAATAACCAACTCAGTTTCGTGAACTAAGCATTTACAGAAGCATTCCAGTAACAGACTTCAGCTCAAGATGATATCTTTTAAAATAATTAAACGGTATGTGTCGTGAGTTCTCTTTTTGTTGACCGAGATACCTGTTATAAATTATATAACAACATTGTCATCGTTTGTGAGACTGAAAAGCGATATTTCACAACTTTGTTGGTATCTTTAAGTTCATGTATTATTTAACTTTAGAAAAGAGATTCATATCTGAGCTTTTATAGATTTTTAATTGAGAGAGATGTCTTATCGGTGTTGTCGCTTGAAGGTGGATAGGTGACTAACTTATCACGCAGCATAAAACCCGGAAATTATAGTGTTGCACGCTTGGTGCCGCGATGTTTTTCAGTACAGTTTATCTTACAAGTTTTGTTGTTCCATACCAGCTATGATTGCGTTTGATAGGCCTCGAAGTTTCTTTCGGTTTCTGAAATTGTGCTTTGTATTAGCAAGTGGTTCATTCGTTCATTTCTAGACCTTGCATGTCAAGACCTTGCTTAGAACTGCAAGGATTTGTTGACACCAATGGAATAATGTGAAAGAGCACCTGTATTAAATTCTCCTCATTTGCTCACACACTTAATGTATGCAACTCATCATATGTATGGCAGTTTTTAGGTACCATGAAACAACCAGACTTCCAGCAAATATTCCTATCAGATTGGAATTTTGGCCTTGCATGGTGGATAAATCCCCTGCAAACATCAACTATTGGCTGTGGTTTCAGCTGGGCAATTTCTATTAAAATGATGCATCTAGTTGCAATGATTCATCCAGCTGTTTTTCTCTGAAATGTATAATCAAACGTTACATACTGTATTTTTATGAAAATTAGTCTCAGCCGCACAAAATTTTTATCAGTGCTTATTGCAAATGCACAATTTTAATGGATATGAAACAGATCCCCTGCACATCTTTCAAAGATTCCAATATAGTATTCCTAACCCTTTGACCTGCAAGCAAAAGCATCTGGTCTGCGAGCAATGATGCTCATATATACATGGCTGCAGTATAACATATATATGACTTTGTTGATGTTGCGGGTCAGGAGTGAACAAAAGAAATCCAGCATAGCTGTAAGGGAAGTTTTCCAGCCAGGTCCCTTACAGGCTAAAACTGGAACTGTGTTGTATGGCATTTTTGGGAATTTTAGTATGCATCATTGCTGATTATTTTCTAACCCCCAGGTTTGAAGTTGGCTGGATGATTTTTTGCATCCTTGCATTTGTGATGCAATCTGCAAGGTGCTATAAACCAGTAATTCTTGTGCATGGAGTTAATGCTGATGGTGGGGCGTTGTCAGATCTTGAGAATTACATAAAGGAAGCAAGCCCTGGTACAAATGTGACATCTTTGGATATATATGACAATCTCCTTAGTTTTGTACCACTAGATAAGCAGTTGCCATACTTCATAGAGAAAGTAAGGGCAATTATGGAACAAGCTCCCGATGGGGTCCACCTTATTTGCCATTCTCAAGGTAGGTTTTTTTCATTTGTTTTGCATTTTATCTTAAGAGATCAGTTTTTCATCTTAAGTTGTGTTAATTCAAAATTATAGCATTTCAATACAATCATAAGCTAAGGATATGAGAACTATAATTAGAATAACATAACCCCAGTGTAGGTGCATTTGAATATTTAGGATACTGGCTTCACATTAATTCAAACGTAGAGAATGTTGCAAAACATAGATAAACTTAAAGATTTATACAAAAGGTACACAAGTTAAAGGTTCAGGGTCACACAACTAAAAGAAAAACCATGTTCTAGTGAAAGCCACAGCATGCTTGTATGATTACTGTTGGTGAACAGCCCTTGGGTTTGCAAATGTTCATCTCAAGATTCTGGTGCCTTTCGAATTGATATTTAACCACAAGCATTTGCACAATATTTGTTGGATAAAATTGAATTAATTTTTCGTTTTTACATATCTAATATCTATAAAAGATTTTGGGTATTCAAAGCACAAAAATTGCAAACGGGGTATAACCAAAAACACTTTACTTAATTATATTTACAAAACATGCTTTCTGTACCTCAATCCAATATCCTAAAAACTGCATATCATTTGGTACATATATAATTTAACCATAATTTAACCTTGACCTTCAGTTGTTTGCATCTGTTGCTTGAATACATTGGTCTACTAGACACCAGCTGTTCTAGCCTTTTTTTAAAGTTGATGTGATAGAAGATGATAAAGAATGCTAAAGGCAGGGTCTTGGTTTTTTCACACCCAGTTCAGCTATCCAAGACATTACAGAGAATTATATTCTTTGTGCATTTAGTTACCTTGTTCATATCCCAATGCTATGTTCCATATAATCTGTTTACTTGTTGATAATCTTATGACATCTTGTGAAAAAGCACACAATGATTTTGTTTGTAGGTGGATTGGTATGTAGAGGTATTATTGAAATGATGTCAGATCATAATGTGGACACAGTGATAACTTTAAGTTCTCCACTGCTTGGCCAGTTTGGCAGTAAGTCCCACTTTTAATTTTTTTGTCCACTTTTTTACAATCAACTATCTTATATCTGGCAGATATTGCCCGATGGCCACATTATGCATGAAACTCAGAGAAGCAACTTTGAACCAGCCTGTTCTTTACACCAAAGAGAGTGTACTGCTCTGCCTATACGGCATATAGCACTTTGTGACAGACTGGTAAACAGTAATTTCAATGGCATATTAGAATAAGTTAATGAGAGATTTCTGCATAATTCATGAAAGTAAATTATAAGCAGTATTATGATTCTAAGTATGCTGTTTGAAATTTTATTTAAACAATTTTTTCACCTGATTGCTTTATTTGTTCTAATGTTCTTGTCTATAAAAGTTACCTTGATACATTTAAGCAATTTTAAGTCTTAGTAAAAACCCTTCTTATAAATCATTTAAATGTTATTTTTTCTCTAGTACCTCCATCATGGGAAAAATATTTACCACTACTGCAAAACAAGACACGCGATGAAGTTACAAAGTAAACATTGAATTTGATTTGTTTTTAAGCTGCCCTATGCTCTGTTTTGATTGAAATACCCTTTTAAAAAAAGTATATTTTAAATGTTGTGTACATGATAGTTTTTGGCCAAAATAGCAAAGTAAGTTAGTAAAGCATATGTAGCTTTTCTTATGTTCTCATTGAAATTCTATTTTGTTTCCAGACTTGTTTATACAACAATTTTTCAAGATATTATGTCAGTTGCTAACTATTGGCGTGGTTAGTTGAATTTTGATTTTTGATAATAATTTTTTTAAAAAAAACAAACGTTGCACTGAAAAAAGATTTTTACTCAAAATGTTGACCTAGGGTGTATGATTGAGATTCAAAGGCCCACTTTGTGGCGTCTTTTATTTGTTCACCAAAACAATGATTTCAGTCAACAAAACAAAGAAATGTATCACACTTCCTTAATTTTGCTGTACCTCAAAATTAATTAATAAAGACCTATGCGCATCAGAACAGTGTGCCTTTCAATAGAAGCAAAAAAAATCATGGCATGTAGATTTGGGTATCATTTACAAATGACACCTTGCTTTCCTTACGCCTTTGTCTTGTTTAACTTATGAAAAAATAAATGCTAACCACTATTAGAAATAGAGCAGTCATTTAGTATGTCGTTTTGTCAGAAACTTCACCAAAATTTCAAGGCATTTAAATTAATGCCATGACTTTGTCTTATCCCTCAATGTTAAGTATTAACTTTTCTAAAAGCCAAAACCCCAGGAATGTTTATCATTATCATTAGTTTTATAAAAACACAGCAAACATAGCAATAAAACAGTAAAAACTTGAACTCCTTTTCATTTGACACAGTCCATTGAGACCACTTTGCTTTGGTTAACGACGATAACACTCTAAAAAGCATGGATCAAATTAGAATCAAACGATATCCGTTCTAGTTCATCGAAAAGAACTGGTTCGCGCGGTTTGCTTGAAAGATAACAAGCTAAGATTCGGTGCACCGCTTCTCCTGACTGTCTCTATGACCAAAATTTGCCTATTCCAAGGTTAAATATACTCGAACAGATGCTAATTTTCGGCACGAAAAGCTGGTAGGCTTGTAAATAAAGTACATTAACTACCTGAATACTGATGGGCATTAACGATACAAAAAGTATAATTATTTGAAACTCACCGAGGAAGTTTGACCAGAAACTCTTCCAGTGTACCCTTAACTTAACTTGAAAGACTAAAACGATGTTTAGCACCAGCAATGTTGTTTTCTTGTTATCCATCGGTTTCAAAGCCTTTAGAGAGTGGAGTTGAAAATTAAAATGGGGGCATCTGTTTACTTCCTTCTGCGGTTGCTTTTCGACACGACATTCAAGTCTCTGGTACCCAGGGTATTTTCTTGCATATTTTGGCGCATTAGCCAAATTTACGGCGAGTGTCCCAAAGGAATCATAGTTTTATGCACCTAAATTCCTTACATCTTTCATTCCCTAAAGGTAGCCAGGAAAATTGATTCAAAGCTTTTTCGCAATGTTTCTGATTTATTTCTTGTTCTGCTCTGCCCCGATTTTAAACATTCTAAGCATCTTCTAGCTTGAAATTGAGTCCAATTAACCTGCCTTGAATCTCTAGATTCGTCCAAATCCTGAATCTAGTATCTAGTGTTATTGAGCTGTTTAAAAACTACAATAATAGTGAGTATGGTTAACCGTTGAAAGAGCTCTGTTAGGATTAATAATATGAATTAAGGCTTGAAGTACAAGCCGAATGCACCTTAAATGGAAGTAAAAATTATAAACATTCTTGATATGTTCACATTCTACGATTGAGCAACGGCTAAGAGGGAAACGAAACACCTTACACGATTAGTATTGATAAAGAAGTAGGCCCTTTCTGAGAATCTGTAGCTATATTGGTTTTTAATGTTATTCTTCTATGCAAACCTGAATCTATTCGTTGTCGAGAACATGAAAGTATTCTCTAGATTCCGAGACATGTGTTATAGGTCTTCCATTGTTTATGATATCTACTTTCTAGATCCTCGTCCTGAATACTTCAAAGAGTTTGAGGAGATCTGCAGATTTTTGCCGCTGTTAGACAACAACCCAAAGGCTGCAAACTATGACCCTAAAGGTAAATACTTAAATACCTTTTATACCTTTTCACCTTCCCTCTCAAGCAATGGTCCCTTGATTTGACATTCAAAGGCTGATATCCTTTGTTTGCGTCCCCTGAATAATTCAATCGCTGCAAATAGTTTTTTTATCAAAGGCGAAATCTTTCACAGTACATTCTGACTAACTTTTTCGCCTAACATTCATTGAAACATTGCATTACGAGTTACAGGGGGTTTACAGGGCCCTATCTCCGCGTATGTAGGTTTGTTTAAATTCCCATTCAATTTTCTGTTTTGGAAAAAATAGAATGATTTTTATCAATTTGTTGGTGTTATCCAAGCCATTTGCATAAGAGCTTTGAGTGGCCCGGTCAATCAAATCACGAACTGTAAGAAGAATATATTAGGAAAAATAAGAACTTTTTCTCTATGAAATCAATCAAAGGTTAGGAATATTAATCGTGGTCTTTAACATCATTTTAAGTTGCTATGAGTCAGAAGAAAAGCTTCTTGAAAATTCAGAGATTTGTTGCCCTCGGAGGGCCAGATGATGGTGTTATCAACCCCTGGCAGTCGAGGTATTTATAACACCTAATTTACGAATTTAGTTTGAAACAAGCATCTTTACAAAACGATTCGATGTTGCCTAATCAATTCAAGCGCAACCTATTGAGGTGTTCATATTTGCTTGTATGTTCTCACGTTAGATACTATTTTTATTGCTTATCATTGCTTTGAAGACGCTGTCAGAAGTGTTTGGTACAATGCATGCAAAAAGTCTTGGAACACTGACGTCAATTTCCAAGGTCAAAATCAATCATCCCCCTCTCCCCTACAGAACAATGTTGGTTTACTATCAAACGGGTTAGGATTTTAGGAAGCATTTTCTTTTGCGCTTCTTTTATGATATTTCTCTAAATCATCAACATTGTTTTAAGGGGAAGGGGGCGGAAGTAGTAATATTTTTTTCATGAAAGAATGAAAGATATCAAATGCAGCGTAAATTGCTGGGTGTTCCAAGTACTTTCGGCAGACATTGTATATTAGAAAGAAGAACTAGGTGGCGTTCATTTAAGTTGATTTGGCTTGGCACTAGCAAACTTCAAGCATGATATATCCAATATCAGTATTTTCATATCAAATATGATCGCAAAAGAAAAATAGTGATTACTTATCTATCACTTTCTTTGCAGCATATTTGCATATCTAGACGAAGATGCCGAGAACATTGTACCCATGGAAAAACAGATAGTGAGTTCAAACCCTATATTTCAGCTAATAGCATTAGTTTTTTCACTCTGCGGTGTATTTTGAAGTTTTGTAATGAAAAATTTATGTTTTATCCTTTGCTACTTCATCTCTATTTTCATATTTCTTACTTTGCTTTGCTTAAGTCGGGCCGTTTTGTTTTTGGACCGAGGAGGTTCGATTTGAATGTTATTATTTATAGTAAATTATTTGAACAAATGAAAGGTCTCCGAATGTTGTTTTTCAAACTATCAATTATGACTTCCAACGCAGGCGTATATTGAAGATTGGTTTGGTCTCCGTTCACTTAACGAGAGAGGAGGTGTGATTCGATATCCGGTTCCAGGAATACATCACCAGGGATGGCATCGAAGCAAGATTATTTTCGAGAAGTACGTCAACAAATGGCTGCGTTAGTTTTGAATTTGTGCTATTTGAGAGTGACTTTTATGTAAACAATGCGTTTTTTTAATTTTTTCGATTATTGTTGCAGCTTTTGTTAATTAGAATTGTATGATAAATTTTAGAATATGCACAGTTTTTAATCACAAGTTAAGAAACAGTAAGAAGGGTACTGAGGAAACAGTGAAAGTCACCCTCTCCCTAATGTATCGTTATACCTAATGTATCTCTCACTAAATGTATCTTTATAGAAAAGCAATTTTTTTATACCTTTGAACACAGTAAATTTCGCGCATGCTCTTTAAACTAAATCATTATTGCGCATTATCTTTAAAATAGATCATTATTGCGCATGTTAAGCAAATCAAAGTGAACTGAAGAACCTGAGGGGCTGGTGTCGTATGATCACCATAAAACATTTCGAGAAAGTCTCATGCAACAGGTTTTGTGGCATCCTGAAGTCTGACAATATCCAAGAATATCTACCCCATTCAGCAAAACTTTTCTTGTCGATCTTGCAAACAGCGTGACTATATCAATCAGTCACACGAATTATTTATAATACCGGCCCTGTTTGTTTCCTCCTTCATAACTTTTTGCTCAACCTGTATTGATTTGCAAAGTCGCACCTTTCAACATGTTTAAACCAACTGTAATAATATCTGCATTTGTAAAGATAATCCCTTTGTACAGTAGTGAAATCTGATTAAAATTCAATGTAATTTTATCTCATGTAGATCTCTTCATAAACAATTTGGGAACACCGATTTTTGTACTTTAAATTCTCCAGATGAAACATCATTAACATAACAACTTGTAGAATCGTAGAATACTAAATGTAGAATCGCTGCGTTAATGACGTTTTTACACAGAAACTATTCAATAAAAACCGCGCATAAAGTAGCACTTGTAATAACTTGTATTTTAGTGATATAGATATTATATTGTAATTGCTGCGTTCAGATGTCGAAGAATTCTGTGCCAATCGAGCCATGGGCCACAGGGACATACGCCTACGCGAAGGCAGTTATCTAGCAATTCAATTTACAATCGCTGCCAAAAGTCTTGGAACACTAACGTCAGTTTTCAAAGGCAAATTCAGCCACCCCCCTCTCCTCCAAAGAACAATGTTGATTTACTATAGAAAAAAGGAAGGGATTATGGAGAATGCTTTTTCTTGTGGCTTGTTTGATATTTTTCTATACGTGCAACATTGTTTTAGGGGGAAAGGGGGACGGAAGTAGTTGTATTCTGGAAACAAATGAAAAATAGAAAAGCATAGCGCAAAGTGTTGGGTGTTCCAAGTAATTTTGGCAGTGATTTTAGTTTGAAATTTGGCTGAGTAACCGATCAGACACAGTGAAACCTCTGCGGACGTTGTCTGCGTGCAGAGTCTACGCTCCTTGACAAAGAAGAGACATTGTGGTAGTAAAAAATGTAGAGACGAAATGTTTCCTTTTTTTAGAAGGTGGTCGGTTTCAATTAATTGTGGTTTTGCTGTATAAAATAAGGAAATACTTGAACTAACAACGGGCATGGTTATATGGTCATAACAGACTGCTTTGCTTGAAATAAGTAAGCAATGGTTTACAATACCAAAGGAGCATTCCAATATGACCTTTAGGTTTATGGAAAGCCAGAAAGTTTTCAACATCTGAGCGCCTAGCTTCTATTGCCTTTGTTTGTGCCTTTTGTGTGCTTACCTCTGAGAGAAAGCATCAAGTATCAACGTCGAAGCTATCATTGTAAATTGTCGACTCCTATGAAATGCTGAAGTATTTACAAATCAACGGAAATGATACTTTGATTGTATTAAATCGCATGTTATTTCTTTTACTCTATACAATATTTCTTCCACATAACGCCAAGCAAATAAGGCCCAGCACAGTTAACGCATATAATACATTAGAAAACTGAAAGTAAACTTTACCCATTCGTGAATTGGGGGCAAGAATCCCAATCACCAAAGGGGAACTCGTCATCAGTTCTCTTGTTCGCTGCTTTGAAGTATTAAATTTGCATGTTTATGGCAGCTGATCGAATTTCAAGTATACGCCATATCCGTGGTGTTTTTGAATGTCTTTAAGGCTTGTATGTTGCTCTCTTCATGCTACAGCTATTGCAAATACGTCATCAAATATCTGCCCAGTTGTGTCCATACCTCCAAATGATACCAACAGCTTTTGCTTCCGGTACAAAGGCGAGTCTTTTCCCTCCTCTAATGTTTAAAGCAAAATTTTACGTTGAAATGTTGTAAAACAATGCACGAGCGCTGGAGCAAGCTTACAGAAAATAGACAATCATCTCTTGAATAGATTTTGCTTCAGTATAAAACATTGCCTTGGTAGGTAACATGAGTTTCATGCCGTGTCTCTCATAGATGGAAAGGAACATTATGGTCAAAGTTCCTCTACAAAATGACACATAGAAGGAATATATCTCGAACTATTTCATTGTTATATTCCTAAAAAAGTGTAAAAATACAAGTGAAATAAAACTCTGCTCAAGAGTACGTTATAATAACCCATATCCCCATTTATTAATTTTTGGATTGTTTTCAACACCCCACACTTAAGTCATTTAATCCTTTTAACAGATAACTTATCACCTACTCCTAAGAGAGTGAAAGTGAGAATTATTTATCATTTTCTTCCAAGAGTACAAATTTTATGAAAGCTTTGTTAGCTTCAAAAATCCAAGTCTCCTAGCTTTCGCAACCCCCCTCCCCTATCCTGTTTTTCCAGCTTCCCAATATCAATTCTTAAAATATTTCTCAGCATCCCTTCCTCCACCCTCATATTCCAAGGGACAATAGATTCAATAAAAAACATGGTAAAGGAGTAGCAGCATTATCTGCACCATTCAATCAAGCTTGAAGGGTTTTAAATGAATTTATACCGGAAACATCCTAAAATTCCAAGCAACTGACCTTTGAATGTATCATTGTCAGTATGAGTGTGAGATGAGACTATCATTGTGTTCGTGCTCTTGTAAGATGGCAATAGAATGGTGTCTACACTTGATATCACTAGGTATATTTACCAAAGAAAAAACACGAATCGAAACTCTGCTACGTTGACAATAAAATTTGCATAATTAAACTCACCATTTTCAATTTTAACGAAGTGAGTGATACAGCTAAAAGTATGGTCTAGTCGCGGCGGTGGAGGGCATCCTTCAATTTCAACTTTGTTCCACACCAAAAAATCTAAAAACACGGTGTAACAGCTTCGTAAACGGTGCTTGCGATTTCGAAGCTTAAAAAATTTCCAATATCAAACGACTTCAATAATACACTAACACCCTGCGGCTTGAATCGTACAGCTAATTGAGAAAAATGAATTCCAGTCACAGGAAAAAAATATTTCCAAACCTTACACATCATTCGAAAGTAAACCAACATTTCAAATCAATAAAGGGAGGGAGGGGATGGTTGAATTGGACCTTGCAGAAAGAAGTTAGTGTTCCAAGACTTTTGGCTGTAGCTTTGAAAGCAAACCATTCACTGCGCTCTTGGAGTTGCTTGGAATTCCAGAGGTATAAGGGGGGGGGGGGGGGGGGGAGTTTGGGCACTCCAAAGGGAAAATTCCGTGGCTGTGCCAAGAAAACGCCAATGTCTCTGTCATGCTGAACATAAATTCTTGCGTTTTCCAGACTTAACTTATTTACCAGACTTACAAGGTCTTACCAGATTTACCAGGTCAATTAACCTTATTTCAATTCACATAAAAAGAAAGTACTCAATAAGCCAATCCTGATAGTACTTGACAAGTTAATGTATATTTGGGTTCTCCAAAGTGTAGAATATGGCTCCATTTACACTACAGAGCCATATGTTGACGACTGGGTTGGAAATTTTGTAGCGTAAACGCAGATAACACGGGTTGGACGTTGGTTAAGCCAACCCTACTCTGGAAGGATAAAACACCATGCTCCTTACAACATACACTCTTTTTTATATAAGAACCAGTAAATTTAAGTTCAGGCTGATTGTTCTTAATTTTTTCGAAAATCTGAAGCTGGATTGTTCTTAATTTGTTCTTAAATTAAAAGGGTGTAAGCAGTGCTATTGCTAGCTTTTTCGCTCTAAGGAGGTGTTCAGGCCTCATTTGCCAACAAAGTGAGTGAGACAGCCTTAATTTGTTGACAAATTTGAATATTCACCGAAAAAGCACCCACACATCGCTAAAAATCCTCGATTTTTGGAAAAAACATTGTTCAAAATTGCATTTTGCAGTAGCTCAGCCTCAGCTTGTTCTTAATTTGTTCTTAACTTTTGACCAGTTTTGAGGCTTGTGTTCTTATAAAATTGTTCTTATAAAAAAAAGAGTGTAAGGAACAAAATTGCCCCTCAACGGGGAACAGCCTCCACGATCTTGTAGGTCTAGAAAAACCGTTAAAACAAGTGATTCTACCCTCAGACAACATAGACAGCCCATATTGTGCCAAAGTCTATAGTGATGACATGTTTCAGATAATTGGCAGAGCCCGTTCGTCTTTTCATCTAGCAGTTTTGAAATCGATCTACATACAAACGAAAAAGCTGCCATTTTGTAGACAGAAGGATTCCGTTTTCTCTCTTGGACTCCAGTGATAATTTTTCTTTAGGCACGCGGTACTGATTGGTCAACTATACCGGTCATAAGCTCGCGTTTTTCTTATTGATCTATTTCGATCCACAACTGGGTATTTTTATTCCATCTTGTTCTCTCGGAACCTTATTCTAACATTTTATACTCTGAGAAGCTTTCAGCATGCTGTAAAATGGTTACTTTTTTCAAAATCATTTTTAAAGAATGACTATTTTCAATGAATAAAATGAATTGATATCAATGGGCACAACAAAAATGATCTACTTTTGTATGACTGTTTTATAGCAAATCTAAAAAAGTTTTGCCTGCCATCTTTGAAATATTCCAATTTTACAAGCTGTGACTTACCTATATCGAATCTGTACAGATCGCTCAATGCCCCAGTAAAGTTCATTCCACCAAATATATAAATAAAGTTATCAACTGCGACTCCTGAGTGTGCAGCTCTTGAAGACGGAATATCTCCAGATTGTTTTATTTCCTCCCAATTATTTGTTTCTAAGATGGGAAAGCAAGAAAAATAATTCAGAAGTATGCAAGACCCAAAATGAGCAGAACCTGTTGAAACAGTTTTTAGGAAAGGAGGGAAGGGTAATTAAGATAAGAACGATTTTAGCCAAAGTCCTAAAACGCAAAAGGGATCAAAATATTCCAACTTTACAAAACTATCGACAGAGAGCTTGCCCTTGTATATATGCTACAGAAAGCTACAGAAGGCTTTCCGGTAGCTTAGGAAAGACACTAGAAGATGAACCATGCAAACTAGGCCTGCAAATGAGACTAAAAGTATATTTTGTGAGGGTGGAACGCAGTGCAAACCCAGATTTGTAAATTGACTTTCTGTTCTAGGTCCTCTAAAAATGTTTTTGCTCCCTGTACCTTCTTTACCAATAATCCTTCCTTGGTGGTGCTGCTTGAAATCACTTTGGGAGACATCATTGCAAAAATCGGCAAAAAAAGGAATGCATCAAGGATAAAAGAATTGGAATCCAGAAGGTGCTAAAAATGTCCTTTTGGGTAGAAAGAATTTCCATATCAAGCTAGTTCACAAATTAAGTGCGAGACCCTGAAGGCTACTCCTTGCATAGAAATTAGCATTTTATTGATGTTGGTGTCCAGTCAATTGACCTTTTCAAGCATCTTACTTCCCCAGTCTGCAGGGGCTCCAACACCAGTTGGAAAGTAGGGGCCAGGGGCAAACTGAAGACCAATAAGAAAAGATTTTGCAAAAGGCTTAATTGTTTTGTAAAAACATTGGAGGCTTGTCCCTCTGTTGTCAATACACTCTTCCCAGACTGTACTAATTTTTTTTTATTTGAAACATTCTTGACAATTTCAATAAAATTACATTAGGCATACTCCGGTCATTATTCAATCATGACACAGCAATATTCATGTTAACTAAGCATCATGTCTATTGGTAAATAAATGTATGAATGTTGCTACTTATGTTCAGTTCTATAAAAACTTGATTGCAAGTAAAGTAGCAAGCTAACTTTGTCATGAATACCTTCAACACAATCCTTGAGCATAGATACTGTAAAAGGACTTTGTAATCAAGAGGGGTGTTCTGTCAGCGACTGTAGACCCAGAATCAGTTGAATGAATTAGAAATTGGCTGAGATATCATCACATGAGCACACAGGCTTTTTCCCCATCAAAACTCTATAATTTGGTCTTGGTTCATAACTTAATGAACCAGGCCAGAGTATTTTGTTAGCAAACTTTCGAATCTTTCAGTGACCATATCTTGCCCAATTTTGAACATGTCTAACTGAATTTGCATACTTAAAGGTACTTTATGCTGCTCTTTCAGTTTACATGGTCAAAATTAAGAAATTCTGAAAAGATATTTATGATGATGATGTCACACTCCGGCACTCACTTAGTTACATGGGAAGGGGTCTAGAACACAATGTTTAGTCAGAGAGGACTTAAGATAATGAATAATCTCACCTGTGTCCAATGTGTATAAATCACCATGTATATCCCTTTCTGCCATTCCACCATGCACATAAATCTTTTTACCGAATGCAACCATAACATGGCCATGCCTTGGGGAAGGTGTCTGACCAGTACATTTTAGTTGGGTCCAAGTACATACATCTAAAAGTCAGATGAATTCAACAGAAGTTCTCTTCAGTAGTATTCCATGGCAAAAGTTCTTTTTTAATTCTGGATTAATGTAGGTGAAGTGGATACAAAACTTTAGAAATCGTATTTGTGCTAATAAATTATCATTTTTCCAGTACCCAAATCAATGAATATCAAAGGTTGGATGTAAAAAGTAATGAATTTACAAACATAGCAATATCCTGAACAGGTCTGTTGAAGACTATATTTCATAACCCCTTGTGTTGTCACCCCCAAATGAACTATAGGAAAAAGTGAAGTTTACAGGAGATGAAACAAAACAGCCAGGGTCAGCTTCTTGAGTCTAAAAACACATATGCTTTTTTTATGTATGAAGAATGAGTATATATTAGATAATCTAAAGGTACAAGTGCAGCAGGGATGGCGCCATAAAAGAAATGCTGGGGGGCTGTAATGTCAGAATGCCGACAGTGAGTGAACCACCCACAAAGATGTAATATAACACCATTTTCGCTGTGATAATTCTAGTTCAAAAAATGAAAAAAAATTGAAAAAAAATCAAACAATAAAAAATAATAAAAAAGATCTCAAGGTGGAAGTTATGAATGTGCCGTCATTGCTTAAAATTTTTCAAAAATTGAAGTGCTGATGGGGGGGCTCCATGAAGACAATGCTTCTGTCCCCTCAAGCATCTCCTGTGGCCCCATCCCTGAAGTGCAGGCTGAAAATTTTGAGAAGACGTATTCATATAACCTTAATTTTTTTATACATACCTGGGTCAAAAACATGCACTTGAGTATCAGAAACAGGCACTGCACCTTGAAAGCCTCCACCAAAAACATACAACTTATTGCTGATTGTTGCTGTATTCAAACAGGTCCTTGGTGCTGGCAAGCATCCAGTAGGGTTTATATCTTCCCATTTTTCAGCTCCTAAAAGAGTCGTAACATCTTTAGTCCTGTGTAATTTTCAAGTAAACACTTAAACATACCTCCACATGACAGCATGTACCCTATTACCTAGCATTCAAGACCATGGGCCTATATCTTCCAGGCTGGAAAACTTGCATATGCTTGCAGCAACGCTAGACTTCTTGTTCTCGCACCTTGCACCTCTAGTGACCCAAAATATCAAAAAATTCATATATCATACTGGGATCATACTATAGTAATGTATATATGGGCATTGTTGCTCACAGCTCAAATGCTTCCGCTTGAGGTCGCAGCTGATAATATGCTGTTGGTCGCATTGACGCCTCCACAAAATCATACATGTTTTCCAACCTGGTATATCTTAAAAACATAGGAAATGTAAAGTCAAAGATATTGTCGAAAGGGAAAAATTATTTAATCTTTTGTGAAGAATCCTTTTTTCTGAAGTATCTTTTACATCCTCATCCCAAAATGAGCCAATGAGCCTTTAAAACAGGGTTGGCTTGCATGTTTTCTTTTGCATATCAACTAACTTTATCAATATCAAGAATGATTCAAGACAATTTGCAAGTTTTACATAATACAGAAAAAGAAGTAAAATGCATTTCAACAGTTCAATTGCATGGATCCAAACAAACCTTTTCTAAGCACTTGAACAGTGTTTAAATTTCCATCCTGTTGAGCACCACCAAAAACAAAAATGTCTCCATTCTTATTTCTTGTTATTCCATGCTCATAACGAGGGGTTAGACCATCTGAGTGCATTTTAGACCATTTATACTTTGCAGGAGCTAGAGATTTGAAATGAAAGCAAAACTCTTAGAAAATAGAAAACAAAAGAAACTTAACTTTTCAAAAAGAAATTATTCAAGAAGGGTCAAATTGATATCCTCATTTGGATAGTCTAGGGGGGGGGGCAAAGCACACCCCCCCCCCTAGTCTAAAAAACCATGATTTTCGTCCACTAAAGTGCTTTGGGCCTAGGCATGCAAATTGCCATTTGCCAAAAGCAGGTACCAAGTACCCAATATTCCAGGTGAACTTTCCAAGTATGCTAAATTGCTCAATGGTGTCCCCAAGGCCCTGCAGTTCTGATGAATTGACAGCTAGTTGAGAATGGCGAAAATTAGAAAACTGTATGTCAGGGCCTATTTTAACAAATTTTTAATACTGCACATTTATAACTACATTTTTTATAGGAAATTTTGTTTTTGCAATTTTTGGAAATTTCTAGTCATTTCGTTTTGTTTTAAGTTTTGATTAGAGAGTCTTTCCGATGGTCATACGAGATTTGCAATACATGACCTCTATATCGAACTGACGGGGAAAATTCACATTTTGTGAACAAAGCGAGAATCAGGGATAGCGGCAATTAGACATTTTCACAAATCCCAAAAATCAATACTGCACATTTTCGAAATCAATACTGCACATTTTTAAATTAATACTGCACAAAGTGTGTGATACTGCACACTAAAATAGGCCCTGCTGTATGTAACTAGTAAACTAATGTAGCGATTCAACATTTTCGAAACAAAACAAAATGAAACATACAAAGCTCTAAATTGTATACATCATTGAATGGTCCAGAAGGGGTAGCGCCACCTACAATTAATAAGTTTGATATGACTGTGTCAGCAGATGCTCCATCCCCCTTTTCACATGAATCGCTAACAGGGCAGTGGCATAATACATTTGCGTGGCCTACTCGCGCAGAGGGTCCATCACCCTCTACAGCTAACAGATACCACATGCCTAAGACGGCCTGGCAACCGGCATCTAGCATCGGAACTATTTCCATTGCTGTCCAGGCACTTTTCAAAAGTACTCAAATTTTAGGCCACCTCCAGTATCTACGGTATGGTTGTTATGCTGACAACAACAGCAATGTAGAGCAACAACAACAGCTCTTTTGGCCTCAAGTTGTTGGAAGCTCTTGTTTCGCGTTGGTAGCGCTAGCGCTCGGGGTCAAATAGGGAAAGGGGTCGAATTAGGGAAATTGGGGTCATATAGGGAACCTCATTATATGGTGCAAGTATTCTTTAACATAGGGCAGAAAATAGACTTTGTTATCTGTAATAACAACAATAATAATAGTACATTATTTATACAGGGTAATTCAATCAGCTAATATCAAGTGAAGCCCTGTCTAAAATTAAAAAACATTGGTAAAATACTTAAAAGAGGAAGTTACAACTAAGTAATAAAAAGGCGTTAAAATAGACAATGTCCTATTAAGTTAAAATTATTATTATACAATTATTATACAAGTTTAATCTTTAAAATGTTCTTTCAAAGCGTTCTTGAATTTAATATAGTAGATTTCTGATACAAAGTGGCAGAGCGTTTAATATATTTACTCCATTGTATAAGATCCCTCTTTTGAACTTTCCGTTTTGACTTCTGGCATCCGCATGTCTATATCATTACGTCTTGTTGCTTTTCCGTGTTTCAGTTTCGTAAAATAGTTAGGGAAGACGTCAGGAGCAGTTCCATTCAAGCATTTCAAAACAAAATCTGCACATTGAATTGATCTCACTGAAGCTACCAAAGTGCCGTTTCAACAATTTACATGCCTGCCAAAATTACTTGGAACAACCACCAATTTGTGTTGTTTTTCTATATACCTGAATATAAATTTTCTACTTACTTTCGGTCATTATTTGACGTTTATGCTGTGAAGAGTTTCGGACGACAAGTGCTTCAGTATGAAATGTTTCCGCTATTTCGTGCCATATTTGTCACTTCTTATCCAGAATACTTCTACCCCCCCCTCCCCCCTTTCTCTCGGCAAATATCACACAAGGCACAAGAAAAAACGTTTGCTCTTAACAAATGGCGCCTTCAAAAACTTTCAGGAGATTGCAGCTCAGCATTTGATTTTATACACACAGAAGAAACAAAAGGAAACAACGATTGTGTAACATCTCAGCATACTAGAACCCGTTACTGCTGAAAAGTATATTAATCCTATTTTCAAAAAGCTAATTGCAAAAATTAAACTACAATTAAAATATTTGCTTAGTATTAGAATCAATAAAGTTCCATAAATTAAACGAAATAAAACTATTAACAAGCAATTGTTTTACAAAATTATTTAATCTAAATAAAACATACACGAAAATGTTTGAAAACAAATTGAATTTTTACATTTTATTGCAAATGGTTTTTATAGGTATGAGTAAGCTGCAGGCAAATCTCAAACTCCAAAAAATGAACGACTTAAAGGTGTATGAATGATTACAGTGTACAAAGTTAGAAACAAGTAAAACAGTAAGAAAACCCTAAAAAATGATATTTAAATAAAGATATAACCCCCCCCCCCTTCCAATTTAATGCTGTTTTTTATCATTTTGTATCAATTTGAGGTAGAAGCTTCTAAATCATTAAAACTACAGAATTTTACTTATTTATCAGGAAAAATTAAAGAAATCTGGTTAGTTAGAAAACATCTGTCTGTAGGTCTGTAGGGAGCTGCCACGTGAAATTTCGAGTTAAATATCTGGTTCATTAAAACAAAATACTTCGATCCTGACACAAATGAAGTCCCCATTGTCGCCTTTGGTCAAAACTCTGTTATGAAAAGTATTGCAAACCTGGCTACGCCCATGGTAAAGACTTTCATCAAGCCAAATTCCATTGCCTCCACTAAAAACAAATCTCAAATTCAGAAAATATACTTTAAGAGAAAAAGCAGACTATAATTCCCGGATGCAAAATTTGCTCAGAAAAAAAACATATTTAAACTTTACCATTAATATTTGTTTGGGACAAGCTCCTTCAGAATTTCGATATCTTTTTAAATAGTACGCAGTCATATATTATGGCAAATTAATGGACTAAAAATTTCTCGAAACACGCCTGCTTCCTGCCGCCATTTGATTTAAATTCACCCAGTCCTTATAGAAACATTGTAGGAGGTCTCTTGGGAAGCGAAGCCAATACGTCAGCCTTTTGTTTATAAAGACACATATTATAGCCTCGAGCCAATGAAGGTGCCTCCCTATATGGCGCTCAAACAAATCACAGAGACGAAGGCAGAGGAATGAAAAGAGAACGGGGCGAGCCCTTTGAGTGGATGAGGCGAAAAAAATAAAGGACGAAATAAAAAGACATCATGGCAGGAGTGAAGAGAAAATACATATAAATTGCTTTGAAAAAAGCAGACATTTTGAGTCATACTTAAGCTAATCGTCTGATATTCTTTAGAGTATAAAACGACAGAACATAGATAAAAACACTAAGCTAGGAAATATATATACCCAGCTGTGGATGGAAATAGGCCAATTAGAAACGCGAGCACATGACTGTTGAGGTTGCCCAATCAGTGCCGCATGCCTATTGAAAATATTACCAATGGAGTCCTACGGTGAAAACGAAATTTTTGGGGGAGTGTTTTTCTTCAAATGCTAGACGGGATATGCACGTAGCGGCGTAGAACAGAAACGCGTAAAAATGTCCTTTGTAAAAATGAAATTTGGCGTTTCTGCAAAATTTTCAAACATTTGCCGATAATTGTTACAATTTCAAGCGATTTGCTCCTTAATATTGCAAACAAAAGATGTGGATTGAACAATGCTCTTCACTTACCCTCCTCCGACAATGATGCATCTGTTGTCTCCAGCGATAAAAAGATCACTGGGTGCATGTTTGACGTGCCGCGCATGCTCAGGGTGCGATGTGCCGCTATCATGCTCGTCGAATTCGAGCCGCTTCTCAACAATGCACAAATCATCAGGCAGACGTGTCACGCGGTTTTGAGGTTCGACATCATCATCAGTAATCGAGGGGTATTCTTGAGCCTCGTTCTCAGACATCGAATGTTGGTATTTCGCCGGATTACCACCAGGGGCTGCCTTGAAGCTGTTCTTACCAGTTGATGCTGTCTTCGGCGTTACATTGGTAAACACTGACGAAGGCGTTGTTGCAGTAGACGTGCCCGAGATACCTCTTAATCTCTGTAATGGACTACTATGCTCTGATGAGTATCCAGTATCTCCCAGTTTTGAGTAGTGATGCAAGTGAACAACTGAAGAATTCTTCGGTATACCGCCATAGGCCGTTTGGCTGGGAAGGTCGGCCATTGACAAATTTTTTGGAATTCCTTGTAACTTAACTGATACTTTACGTCGGGTTATGCGAAAGGACCTGCGCTTTCTTCTGGGAGAGCCCTTAATATCAACAAAGACAAAACTGCTTTTTTGCTTTTCCATCACTTTCGTCTTTCCGTGATCCACTTCTTCGATGTCTGTCCAAGAAAACTTTTCCATAAGAGGGAGCACTGAAAAAATGAATGTCTCGCCGTTTCCAAAATAAGCTAAACCCTTTTTGGAATCTTTGCGGTGCAGAAGAGACATTGACAGGTATGCTCCAAATATCTAAAAGTAATGATATAACTCATTAGCTTTCATCTTATGTAAAACATCTAAAACACACCTCATAGCAGTAGGGAACACTTAAAGGGTCCCTAACCTACTGCTGAAACACTTAAAACACTCAAAGCCACAGAAAAACATTATTTCCACATCGGCTAGTTTTTTGAACGTTGTATGGCTCGCGAAACAATTCAACAAAATTGTATGCATTACCTCTCCCTTGTCTGTTTTTATGATGATAATCGTTTGATCCTCTTCTTCAACTTTATTGTACAAAGTCTTGAGGCTGTTAACAAAAGAAGGCAAAATCACAAACGGATGGTGTTACATAGAACGCATGTTACAAACTGATCGTCGATAGGAGCTCAATAACAAGAAATTTTCTGGCTAGCTTTGGCTTTACGACATGGAGTTCTTTATAACAGACAGGTGAAAAATAATTTTCAAAATATCTTCTCTAAAAGGGTTTGTGCAAGGATAACAGCGTGCTATAGCAACGAGCAAAAACTCTAAATATAGATCAGCCTATCATCCAATAGGAATGCAGTACAACAATCAAAACTACATCCACCGAGTGAAGGAAACAAACAACATAATCAGACTTACTGTTTCTTTGCAGCTAACAAAAGATAAGATAATACCTCAATAAGTAATATGATCCGCAACGGCTCATCATCTTTAGATGCCTATCTTATCTTTGCAAAAGCCCTTTAAAGCAACTGCTGCAAAGGTGCTACACAGGAAGGGTTTCTTCATGAAACCGTATTCGTTCGGAAAGAATAACCGATTTACGTAAAATTGCATGACACCCAGTTGATTTAATATCATACATACATTTATGCGATACTAAAAAGTCTAGATACCTGAATCCATCTTCGTCTGACGTGAAAGCGAGGGTCGGTTTCAGAAGCTGAATGCGCACAGGGAGCCAAGAGATGATGTTACGCCACTGCAAGAGCAAATAAACATTTAAAAAGAAAATAATAGATATCCACATTTGCAAAGAAAAGGCAACAAAGTACATTAAACATCTTACTTTAACTTCACATAAAAACATGACCGTACTCAAATTTTCTTCAATCAAGTATGCTTTTTTATAATCCACAAAATTCTGAAAGCCTTGTAAATTAACTTAATGAAAACACAAACCTGATCCGGGGATATTATATCAGAAATGTTTGAAACATCAAAAGAGATAACTCTCTCTGCTTCCTTTGATTCCGTCAGCGCAACTGGATTGCTCTTTTCTTGGCTTATGAACTTATCAATGGCTGTGTTGATTTGCTGATTTCGAATTCGTATTCTCAAAATCGCCTGAAACGAAGCAAAGGGATAAATAACTGAAACCTTAAAAAACTACAGCAAGTACAATCTATGAAAACTACACATCGATTCACTGGCTAACCCTTTGTACGTAGAAAAGAATCGTTGCGTAAGCAAAAATGTATACTCTTTAGATTAGGACTCGATTACTTCCTAAGGGAACATAAACTTTTGGATACTTTTGCAGCATAAATGACAATGAGATAAAATGGTTGATCGAAGAGGTAATGCAAGTCGATTAGGAAAAGATTAGGTAGTGTGAAGAGTCATCTTGGCTATCCAAACTAAAATTTATTGTTCTACAATGACGCGAGTTATTAGACAATGCTTTCTAACTGATAGTACCTTTTAACACGACCCCTGTTTCATGGAAACTACAAAGACCAAAGACCTTATAACAAGTTTAATCGAAATGTGCTAAAAACTGTTTATTTATAGAATCACATACTTTAATGAAGTCATCAGCTGGGATTTGCAAGGCTTCGGAATATTTTCCAATAGCAAGCGTCAAGTCTACGGAACACGGAAGCTCTAAAACATAAACAGAAATAAAAAGTTTGAATAATGCTTAACACTTCTAAAGGAAATATGAGAGCAAAATTAGTTAATCGTGGGCATAGCAAGGGTATAAAGAATTGTATCGAGTGACTATATTAATAGAAGGGTATTCGTGCATTAACAAATGTATCTATGGAGTCAAGGAGGTACTCCGATCTTCGAAAAATGATCCAAAATAAGCCCAAATCTTTTTTAACGTTTCAAAAAAGAAAAAAAGGTGAGTTTTGATGCAGTAAATTCATTTTATTGGTTTTCAATGCATTTCCTCACAGCCTTAGATCGTAAAACTATGAGTGAAGACGTTTCATCTCTACAGTCAAATAACAGCGCTTATTTGCTCGTTTCTTCGCCTTTCTCAAAAAGGCTGAAAATCTGTAGGCTACTCAGTTGCAAAAGTGCCTATCGATGAGGCAATTCGACATGACTGTGAATGGAACACACTCTGAAAGTATCATTAATCAATGCGTTTACAGGGACAAGACAGCCAAACTGAAAATTTCCAAAAGTCAATGGTTCAAGATTTTTGCCAGGCAATACAGAACACTAACTCTCATATGATCCTAATCAGAAATACTATGACATTGCTAGGGGACTTATGTCCTGGCAACAGTGGGTGAGATAAAGACCTCTCATACCCCCTTTCTCGTTGAAAGATGGGGCGTATCCACTTTAATAGCAGAGGTATGAGTATTGAGCTAAGGGGAGCGAGGGTGCAAAATCTCAACATTGTTTCTCCCAGACAGCAGATCAATGCTTGTTCGGGTAATTCTCATTTTGCAATCAATTCAGCCAGCATTAGGACATTGCATAAAGCAATTTTTCTGAGGATCAAGATCTATATATTAATCAAATAAGCACTGGACTTACCTATTTTTTCAAACTTCAGACTGTACTCATAAAATAAACGCAAAAGGAAAAGTGCTGTGCGAAAGAAGACTTTGGGTCCTTCGATTAAGAAGCAGTCTACCAAGCGAATCTGAAAGAAAAATCTTACGTCATCAGTCATACCTTGCGAGATACACGAGCCTCTAATTGAATAGAGTTGCAGTGTCTTCAAAAGTATGTTGATATTACACGACATTAAGCTGAGGTTAAATGCATAGCCTTAGCTGGGTTGCCACAGCCAAGGGTGGAACCATGTTGGCTCAAATAGCACTGCAATAGTCAAATAAGGGCAAACCTGGCCTGAGCATATGTTATAAGCAGAAAGTTGAGGTCAGTTGCCAAAAGAAAGAAATGCTGCAATAGGCCATCTGTCAGGCTCTACAGAATCTGTTCTAATGAATTTAATTGCGTGGAAAATGTAATTATGAGACAAGCCAATGCACGAAAACTGGTCGAATATAGAACACCAAATGATTTAGAAAAAAATATACAAATGAAATTAATTGAACTAATATTTTGCACAACAAGCAAGGACTCATCAATGTAAATGTGACATAATCAAAAAGGGAAATAAGAATTACTGCATTGCTAAATTCCTTCACAGGCTCTTGTTGTGTTCATGCTTGTAATCTGTGCTACCATTTTAATGAGCAAAAAAGTGCACAAAATAAAAAGTTATTAAATTGAGTATCATATTTGATACCTACAAGCTAAGTGGTATAAAAAAAGTTATGATATTGCTGTATTATCTTGGTAAGTATTCTTTATAATTTAACACATACTAATATAGTGAAATCCAAGTATTGAAATAGCATTTTCTGCCACTCTGGGAATAACATATTTTTAGACTTCCAGCCAGCATCAAGCACAAGAGATTGAATTTTTTTTGTTTCTTTTTTCTGCAAAAAGGAAATTATATGTCTCAAAAGTAAATATAAATTGGATAATAAAATACATATCATAACCTCTTAAAGGCTTACTTTTTTGTACGTCTTTGGGAAAGGGGTGTAGGCTTATTATACATCAGTCCTTTTCGTTTAGCGCGTGCGATCGCACCCGCACACGCCTGCACACGCGCAAGTTAAATTGCGCGTGCTTTTGACCACACGCGCAAACAGGTGTTTTGCAGTTTTCTGTTAAAGGGCCTCTCCAGCCAAATTTTGCACTTGCATTTTATTGGCAATTTTTATAAAGAAGTTGAGCCTGCTGATCACGAATTCCTTATTTGTTTTTTTGATATTTTTTTACAGATATAAGCTCTTGCATTTCGATAATTTAATTGAATTAACCGACAAAAATTTTTGGTTTGGTGACACTGTGACGCAATTTTGACGTCACAGTGTATTTCGGATAGTCTCGCCTCAAACCGAATCGAACGACGGCGATTCGCAAATTGAACACTGCAAGTGATGGTACTCTCAGTTCTGTTCCACCAGCTTTTAGTTTGAGCATTTCAGACACCAATTCTGAAGCCTTTGGTTGTTCATCGTTTCTGGAGAACAACTGAAGTGACAATTTCGATTAATTATACGCGAGGGAAGAGCTGGAACAGGAACTGGAACTAGATGCAGTTATCAACGCGTGATCATGAGTCCTTCACGCTTCGGTGGAAGATATACGAAATTCATGGCGAACGAGAGCCGCACATTGTGACGTCAGAATGTCACCAAACTGATTCGGCTTTTGTCGTTTTTTTTCTCGGAAAGGTGCAACTTTAAAGCCTTACAACTTCTAAACTAATTGGAATTTTTCAAAAACAATGACTTTCTCATAATACACGCACCAGATGCTAACTTTTAAGTCATTAAAAAAAAATTTTTTTTGCTAGAGAGGCCCTTTAACATCAATTTCCCATGGTCTCATGATTGTTTATCCTTTCCTATGTTACTTGATTCGCACTTTTGACCACAATATGATTTTTCCAATTTTTGGAAGTGATGTTTGGCTTTTGACTGAGTGCTCCATTCAACTTAGCGTCTCGTCTTCAGCTAAGTCGCCATTAGCATGTTAAGTGTAATAACTGATTTCCTGTCAAAACGTAATTAGGCCCTGAAAGCAAGTAGCTGTTGGAAACAATTTTTACTTGCTCTTGTAACTTTGGAGAGTGACGACGACTTTTAAAAGATGGCTGCTAAGGGCAACAACATCTGTTATGTATTGATTAATTGAGTTTTGCTCTTGCACGTATTCGAGTGGCTTTTTCCTTCTTGCTCCTTTTACCAATTGTATCAGGTTTGTACTTCAAATTTTCTTACAAGTGCGATCGCACGCGCAAATTTGTTTACATGTGCGATTTGCCACACACGCGTAATTTTGCTCACGAAAAGGACTGATACATATAGGTAGCTAGGCAGTTTATACCCATGGGTTCAAGGTATTTAAAAGATGGACTAGCTGTCTTTATACTCTTCAAAAGAATGTAAAACTGAAAGACTTTTGCAATATATTAAAAGAATAAAATAGAAAAAAGGCCAAGGAACTGAAACATAAACAAAGCTAAATGTCTAGCAGCAATTGAATTTTTTAAGATATTGTAAATCCATCAAACCTTGTAGCATTGATCACTATAGGGAGGGCTATATAGAGAGGGGAAAACAATTTCCCCCTGCTTTCAAAGAAAAGCCCTATTCAAAAAGCCGCATTCTAAACGGGACTTAAAAGGGAGGTGGTTTTGAAACAGAATGTACAGTATATACTTGTTTCTCTAACAGATTGAAATTTATTTTTGGTCACATAATGAAAAGAACTGGTCTTGAGCACTGACTACAACAGGAAAGCTGGAAGGGAAAAAAGGCAGGGGAAGGCAAAGGGAGAAACACATAGATGGTCTGTGTAGGTGGCTAGGTGCTGAGTTGGTCATAGAAGCAATTCATAGAGTGCGGGATCAAGAAAGATGGAAAGCCTTATGATCTTAAAACCTCGTTGAAGAAGAAAATGTTTTAGAATCAAGGAATAGTTTTGCTTATATTTACAAACCCTTAACAAGACAACACGAAAATAGAAGAAATCAACAATTTTCATCTTCTAATTAGTTAACTTACCAATACTGCTGCTGCACATGCATACAGAGCATAATCTGCTGCCGTAGCCTGCAGGTGTGTTTGATCAAAGTACATCTTCTTTCCAGTAAGCATAGCTGAAAGACAGGCAAAGCACCATACCTCCTCCATGAAATGCAGAAATACTGCACCAACTTGCTGAAGAATGGGACAGTAAGTTATATCTGGATGAAGATGTGAAAGTACATATAACACTTTACGGAGGCTGATCACTCCATCAGGTGTTAAGTAGTATGACATGAATTCCTCGTCATTGGATAATGTACAGGAATTAACGCTTTCAGGTAGATTTCCATCTGTAGTTAAAAAAAATAAAGCTTTAAAACAAATGGAGTAGCAATCAAGGCAACAAACAGACAACATTAATTAAGTCTTTTTCTCGAAAATTTTTCCATGTGTTAGCAACATGTAGTTGAAATCTATAATAAATTTTCATCTTTGGATTCACAGGGGTTAAAATCTTCCATTACTTGCATGAGTGAAGCAAAGAAAATTTACCAACAAGTTAGCAATTACTAAAAAGCCAAGATCTTTATTAATAACATTACTGACAGGCAGCTGCAACTTTATTTATGATAATGCTAATAAACAAGTTACTAATGACAAAATCAACAGCTTACCTTTTCCAAACAACTTTTCACATGTATCATGATAAAGATTTGGTACTTTAGACATAAATCGGCTCCCTCCAGAGATTTCATGCCAAAGCCTGGCACGCACTGGTGGAGGTATGTGTCTGCGAACGACTGATTTTAGTTTGGATGAATTCAGTGAGGCTTTGTGATGTTTAAGCCACAAGTTGAGTTCATCTTCTTCATCCCACTGCTCTTGGGTCATTGATCTATGCTTGGAATGAAATACATCTAACTCCATAAAGCTACCTGAAAAATAAAATTTTTATGTAAATGGAATTATCATTAGTGTAAATAGTAATGAAGATCTGGAGGATTAAGTCAACATTATTAGGATAGAGGTAAGGTCCCTTTTTGTTGCCAAGATTGATCTGCTGTTCAATTAACCAATGTACATAGATTACTCCTATAAAAAGAATTAATTATATCTTTCAGGAAAAACAGATTTCAGAAAAACAGTATCAAGAGAGGTTGAATAGTCTGAAAGCATGGTTTGAATATTCTTTGTTACTATGCTATAATATATGGTAAAGACCGATTTCCATATGACATTTTTTGTGCGTGCGGGCATAGCGCCCAAATCTGAGCATGCGTAGTTAAAATCAAGTGGTCTAGACTTTGCGTCCGCTGTGAGCGCCAGAAAGTTCACTGCCTTTATCCAAGACTGCCAGGTAATGCAGTACTTGACAAGGTTTTTTTGTGCATAGTCATTGCAGCTACTTCTTTGCATGCTGACTACCATCCTAAAAATTCACGATTTGCAACTCTCCCAATATTGAGCCACAGCAAATTTGTGGCAGACAGAACTTTGAATCATTTTGATCCCAGGGTGAATTCTTTCTGATAACACTTTTTATTTTTGGTATAGCATTTGGCATCATAAATATCTATCAAGTATTTATATAGGCACTCATATCCAAGGGTACCACCTACTTAAAGTTTACAGCATCAGTTTATTTTTAGCCATGTTGGCAAGTCCTTAAGTGTAAGGTTGGCCTTGTAAGCATTCATGGATAACTTGAGTTTACCGCTATTGGCGAGTTTTGTTACACTTTTTTTTATAAGAACCAGTAAATTTAAGTTACGGCTGACTGTTCTTAATTTTTCAGAAAATCTGAGGCTGAATTGTTTTTAATTTGTTCTAAATCTAATAGGGTGTAAGCAGTGCGAGTGCTAGCTTTTTCGCTCTAGGGTGGTGTTCAGGCCTCATTTGCCAACAAAGTGAGTGAGACTGCCTTAATTTGCTGACAAATTTGAATATTCACCGAAAAAGCACCCACACATCGCTAAAAATCCTCGATTTTGAGAAAAAAAGTTGTTCAAAACTGCATTTTGCAGATGCTCAGCCTCAGCTTGTACTTAATTTGCTCTTAACTTTTGACCAATTTTGAGGCTCATGTGCTTATAAAATTGTTCTTATAAAAATAGAGTGTATTGCCTATAACCTGCGGCGTATGATTTTGGCCGATTCATGGCTCAATTCAAATTCTACATATTCATTACTTTGTGCATTTTCATTAATTATTTGCTTCCCATGACAGCTTGGGCCTTAAAATGAAGTTTAAACTTACTCTTAACAGCAGGAAACACATATTTTGAGAATATTGCATCCTCTTCGGATTCCGATGCTCTAAATTCGCTGTCATCGCCTCCAACCGTCCAGTTCGCTCCCAAACCTCCCATATTTATCGAGGTAGCTTTCGAACTTCCATCTTCTCCACCTAACTCTGCAGCAAAAGCTTCCCCAAACATTTTTGTTGCTTTGGTTAGTGCCCCTTCAGATCTTCTAATGATATAAAGACCTGCAAATTGAGATGATTATTCCAAGATCCTAATGGGCTTGTTGTTATTGTCGAAAGCTTTGGCACCTTGGTCCTTGGTTGTGATTTAACCTCGTTCTCAAACAGAGTCTTGGCGCAATTCACAACTGTGATTTCAAGCACGCGCGTAATATTCGGAAGGAGGGGAATTTGCTGGACCTCCCTCCCTCGGCGTTTAACAATCAACAAATAATCGTTATCAAAAGAGGTCTTTCTACATTGAATAAACTTAAAAACATACTCCTTCAATCGAAATTAGACCGGGTTTACAGGACACTTACACGCCTTTTTCTATATAAGGGCCTATAAGAACACTTGGCTGTTTCAGCCTGGCCTTTTTTATATTTTCGCATTACGTAATTCAGCCTAACGTGTTTCTTATTTTATAATGGAATTTCCTGTGCATAGTAGTGTCCGGATATTATTTGTGCTTGATAAATAAATCAATGCTATTTTTCTTATCACTTCCTGTTTTCTGTTGCTATTCTTTAATTTTTTCAATTTTGGCTGTTGCTTTGATTCTAGAGTTTTATTGATTTTCAACCTTGGCTGTTTTCAATTTTGGCTGTTGCTTTTCTTCATATGTTGTCCTTATTTTTTGGGCAAATCTCCACCTAATATCTCTTATAAATGTTGTTGTTAGAAAAAGGGTGTAGTTTCTTTTAATCTGGTGCCAAAACGTGGTTTCCAAGCAACATCAGATGAGCCCCACAATCTTCATTTTCAAAAGAAACTTTAAGGAATTCCACAAAACTAATAAATTTCCAAAGCACGATCCCTGGGAATAACAGCATATCTTTATTTGAGTTTTGTTAAAAAATAATTCATTGTAGTAGTGGTATTTTTTCATGCTGACAGGGTATTTATGGATAAAAGTTATTAATGAAAATGAAGCATTGTTCGCCCAAGTGCGAAAGATAAAGATCAGGGGTGCAGTGGGTATTAGTTGTTGGGAGAGCCCTAAAGTCACTACTTTCCTAGGTCACAAAACTACTGAATTCTGGTCTGTGTCTATGTTCATTCACGTTGGCTTTGTTACAGGCCATCGAAGCAGGCTCATGTGAAAGAGTTAAGATGTATCAGCCTGTTTGAAGCTCCTACTGCACGTTAGCTTAACTTTGTCGTTGAGCAACGCGGCTGCTTGTTTTTTCCTGTTCATCTTCAAACGTTCTAAATCTTGCCCAACACTGAAATATGTACAGTCACTGTCAAAAGTATTGGAACACTTGGAACAGTTTTCAAAGGAAATTCAGCCATTCCCTTCTCCCCCCTGGAAAAATGTTTATTTACAATAGAACAAAGAAAGAGGTTATTGAGTACGCTGGGGGACGATGTTTTATGACCAGGGCTAGTTAGCAGTAACTATCTAAAAATGAAGCCATAGTGTGTCCTCATGCTTGGTTACATATCGTTAACATTCATGTTCTAGCAATTGCATCCAGAATCAATCTGGCTGAGAAACCAGCCGTCTTAGTTGATTGAAATACTTGAGTTAAGCTTTCCCAATGGCTTGAGAGTTGCTATGCAGGACGAAATTAACAGGTCATAGGCCAATTTGTGGTAAATACATTAACAAGGAGTTTTTTGGATGGATGAGCACCTTTATTAGGCATCAAGGATGGACTGACATCTCAACAAAATTCATAGAATATCAACCGCAATACTATTACAATTTGGCTGGAAATTCAATCGAATAATGTTATGACTTTAGTCATCAACAACGAATTTGAATTTCTAAAGAATACGGTGAAAACAATTCAACAGAACAAAAACTACAGGAAATGAATTTCTTTCTTTCACCAAATTTAAAAATCTATTCATATGTGGGTGTGAATGAAAATCAGAAGGAATAAATTTTGGAAAAAAATGATGAAAGAGAACTTGGACATTAAGTTTTAAATGAAAGACGGCAAAGAATAATCCCAAAGAGAAAGGTAACAAGCAAATTTGCAGAAATCATAGATGTGGGTGGTTGAGAAGACACTCCCTGATGTCTGCACATCCTATTTTGTTGGAGAGATTGAGGAAAAGTAGCCACACTCAAAATACACTTAAAACTGTTGAGATAAATGAGACTGTATCTTTTTAAATAAAACGGTACTGCCATCACATTTACATATTTGAAAAATCTGTGCACTTGTTACCGAATGCAATAATTTAATAAATAATACGACACACTTTCTTTTATCCAACATCTACACTCTTCTGTTTTTATTAAAACGAGAGATACTCTCGATTAACGGTTCTCTGCTTGCTTACGATAAAAGCATGGCCATACAACAGCCAAAACAAACTCTAAAAAGTAAACATTGTAAAATTACTTAGCTAAACTACTAAATCTTGTTACTTGACTTCAATTCAGTTATTCCTGCCTTAATTAAGAAACAAACTCATGTTTGCAATAGCATGGAATTGCTGTCAAATGACACATGTATATCGTAATTTTAAGCATAGGCATCAAGTAAATTTCTGATGCTAAACAAATTGTAGATTTCAGGCTTTATTTGTCAACGTGCATCGTGCAGAGGAAGTATCATTAATTAAGTTTGAAAGAAATGCAAATCAACAAGTTTGGAAATTATCAATACATTCTTTTTTACCGATGATATTCCACACAAATTCTAAGACCAAGCAACAAGATGCAATCTCAACACTGTATACATTAATCTAAAAATCCTTTCCTAAATTCGTTATTTGCCTAATATACGTGCATATATCGGTGTCTACTTACTATAAGGTCCCAGTACCGTTCACTTTGGTGACCTTCTTACGTTTACTTGAGGTAAATTTCCTAAGAAAGCCACTAATGTTCCCTTTGCCCTTTCCATGTTTGTCACCTTGATCAAGCAATTGTCCTTCAGGTACCGTTACGAAGACTTGGTTACGATTTTCGTCCATTGGATCTGGCGTAACACCGCTCATAAAGCCTTCGTCGCAACTCGACTTAGAAGCAGCGCTCTGTGAAAGTGTTGCACCAGTTTTGGTGGTGGGTGTACCAACCCCGCCTTCACCTAACTCCACGGAGCCATCACTCATGTACTCCTGGCTTAACGACGATGAAGAGCTACATATGCCTAAGGCGGTGTGGCATCTCATTGGAGTACTGGGAGGCAACTCCGCATCACCAACAAATGAATCCCCTGAATGTGATGTCATGGACTTGCTTCTAGTTGATAGGCGTCCGGAACAATACATAAAAGGTGTGCTCGTCCTGCCAATGAACATAAAAGCTTTTTTTAAAGAAAACCTACGCTTTCTGTAACATATCAATATGAGAAATATTCGACACTCGGTCGTATTAAAATATAAAATAGTTGACCTTCGGTCGTAATAATAAAAGAAATAGTGGACTTTGGTCGCATCAATACGGGAACTAGTTGGCATTCAGTCGAATAAATAAAAGACATAGTTGACTTTCGGTCGAATTAATAAAAGAAATAGTTGACTTTCGGTGGTATCACTATAAATCCTGATCGTCTTAAAAAACAAGTTCCATTTTCATCTCCTTCTCTAAACGACCGTTTATCGTTGAATAAATCAAACAAGAATCTATGCAGTGGCCTACCTTAGTGATAACTGTGAATCAGAGAGATCAAAGTGAGACTTTTCATGAATAGCTTGCAACAGGTTTTCAAGACTTCTTCTGTCAGAGTCGATAATCATAAGCTCTTCTTGTAATCGCGACTTTTGATCAATGAAAGTCAATATTGCCGTCTCTAAGGACATATTATCGCCGATGCAGTCAAGCAGTTCCTCTCCTAGCTGTTGCGTGCCCTTGCTGACACCTGAAAACTTGTTCTGCACTTTAACTTTGCATGAATCGCACAGCAACCCAGGCGATATGTTTTTAACAGTCTCTAGAGCAGAAAGCCCGTTTGTCAGTCGTTTAGCCTTTCCGTTTTTCACCATTGATGCTTTCTCCTCAAGGCTGGTAAGTTCATCTTTAAATGTTTCTAGCTTCACCTCTAATTCACCATTGTACTGTGCATAAGCTGATAAACTTTTATTCAAACGTGCGAAATCTTCCAATAACCGATTTTTGTCATCTTTAAACAACGCTAATTTAGTCTGGAGCTTGTTCTTTTCATATGCCAACGTCTCTTTCTCTTTTTGCAATTGCAAGATTTTTCTCTGTTGATTCTCCAGACTATCTTCTAATGTCTCCTGCGTGGTGTTGGTCAATTTCTTCTCCTGTTCTAACTCTTTAAACCTTTCAGACAGCTCGGTTGCCTCTGCTCTGAGTTCCTCGTTATGACTTTCGTAAATAGACAGGTCCTCTTCCAGACTGCTCTGGTGTTTATGCAGTTGCACCGTTTCCAAGAGTAGTTGTGTTCCCTTAACTTCGGAAGACGGCAATCTTTCTTTCATTTCATTCAAATCTTCATCAAGAACCTTAAGCTGGCCTTCCATGAAAGCGTTTCTCTCTCTGTACTCCTTAAGATGGTTCCGGATAACTAATTTGTAATTATCAATGTTTATAAGAACATTTTCTGTATGATCGAGGTGCGAGCTGAACTGTTTTAAATCTGTCAAAAGAGTTCTCCCGGATTTCTCACATTTCTTTATATTTGTCTTCAAATTATTAATACCTTCTTGCATCTCTTTTACCTTCAAAGTACACTTTTCATTCTCAACGGTAGCAGCATTCTTGCCAGCTTTGTGTACCCTCTGCGATAGTTGCATCCTGCTAATCATAGCCAATGACAAATTATCCTGAACATTCTTCAGTTCTGTACACATTGTTGACAATTCCTGGCTTCTTCTTGATCCGGCTCTTTCTGCTCCTTCGATTTCTTCCCTCAAGAGATTCTCCTCCTCTTTCAGCACTTCAGACTGCTCTATAAGATCTTTCAGTTCTGCAAGATGTACCAAACTTTTTTCCGTGTCATCCTCAATGTTGCTTTCTGCAATATCTGATTCCTTCTCATCATCCACAGAAGCAGCACCAACCTCACTGCTCTGGGCAGACAAATAGATCTCACTGCTTTCGTTTCCACTATCATTAGACAATTCTAAAATCAAATCATGTAGCCTTTGACGAACCTCCTTTTTTGTGCTCATAGCAACACGGATTTTGCGACGAAGTAGTTTCTCTTCTTCCTCTAAAGCAGCTTTTTCTGTATTAAAGTCAGCAAGCTCCTCTTGAGCGATCGACAATTCTTCCTCGATTATCTCTTCACCGATTAAATGTCCTTTCTTCTCCGATGTACTTTGAGGCGCCATTTGCAACTCTAGCTGCTTCTCCACAGCTGCTCTCACCTCCTTTTTAAGAGGCGACAACGCCCTTGCTAGACCTGTCAACTCTGTCCTGAGCAAGTGCTTATCTTTTTCCGCATTGATAAGCTCGCCTTCTATTCGCTTTCTTTGCTCTAAAAGCGCTTCACACTCTACCCTCATCCTTGATACTTCAAGTTCTGCCATCAGCATTCTATCGTGCATCGTCACCTTCTCACTTTCGTTATTATCAACCTTTTCTAACAATGTATTGTTCTCTTCTTTCAATTTATCACACTTTTCTTTCAAAACTTCAATGTCATCTTGGTAGTTTGAATTATCAGTGCAAAGTTCGAGGTTTTTCGTTTCGATGCCACAGAGCTGCCTCAACAAATTCTTTGTCTCCTCTTTAGCTGAGTCAAGCTCGTTTTGCTGCTTTTCAAAATCTTCTTCTAACTCTTCAAGGTCGTTTTCTAATTTCTCGTTCTCTTCTAAAACTATAGCAATCTCAGCACGAACCTCGGAATTCTGTGTTCTTAGAAAATCTATCTCTGCTTGCAAAATTTTTTTCTCTTGGATAATCTCCTCAAGTTGTTTGTACAACTCACTAAGCTTTTCTTGATAGGCAGCTTTCTCCTGCTCTATGCGAGCCGCTTTGTCTGCTGCAACGTGACTAAACTCTTCTTTCTCTTTCGATAACTCTTTCAGTTGATTAGTCAGGGCCGTTGTCTTTTCCATGAGATTCTCCCTATCTTCTTTCAATCCCAAAATCCAAACTCGCAATGCCTTCAGTGAATCTAGATAAGTCTTCTTAGTATCCTCTTCAAGACCCTCTGTATCCCCATCACTAAACTCTTTAATAAGCTTTTCAACTTCCTCTCTCTCTTCCTTGAAATCCTCAACATCGGCATTTAACTTTTCCATCTGCAATCTTAGATCATGGAAACTCTGCTCCAAGATGCTGTTTGCTTCTCTGAGCTCCTTTGTATGTTTTAAGACCAGTCGCTTCTCCGTTGAATGCTGCATCAAGACACTTCTTTCTATCAAGACCTCTTCTACCTTGCTCTCAAGAAGTCTGAACTTCTCCGTCAATGCTGCAAGCTGCTTTAGCAATTCTTTTTCTTCCACTCTACAATCAGATAATTGATCTTTGATATTCAAATTTTCGGTTTGCAATTCTAGAACCTGATTCTTCGCTTCCTTCTCATTACTTTCGGACTCCGTTAACTTCTGATTGATTGTTTTGTAATCTTCGCTTAAACTGCCTATTTTCTTCCTGGTTTCTGTCAGCTCCCCCTCTACCTTCTCCAGCTCATTTCGCACGTGCTTGTTCTCTGCATTCAACACGCATGCTTCTCCTTGCAACTTTTTCACACTCTGTTCTAGCGTAACCCTATCACATTCTACGACGCGATTTCGCTCGCATATTTCATCTACTCTTATCTGCAGCTTACTGTTGATTTCCTTTGATGTCTGCACTGCCTTTCTCAGCTGCTCTCGTTCTGACTCTAACAGCTTACGTACCTCCTCATTTTCTTCGATTCGCTTCAAAAGGCTGTTTTTCTCTTCAGCAAGAGACCCTAACAGCCCTTGTATATGCGAGGTATCTTGTTCCAAAGTTCTTAATTCTTCATTTAGTTTCTTGTTATTTTCCCTAGATACTATTAATTCCTTTTGCATATCTTCTTTCTCAGCCATAAAGAACGCAAGACGCCTTTGCAAATCAAGCACTTTTCCTTCTATTTCTGTGACAGAACCAAAACTCGATGGCCTGTTCACTGACAAGCTCTTTAATTTCTTATCAGGACTAGAACACGATCTGGAATGAGGATGGTTCACCCTGCGCAAGGCACTGCTACTCTTGCGTCCATCCGGCGAATGCTCATACTGCTTCACCTGCAACCAAATCTTATTCTTTTCTATCTGTAGTTGATTGAACTCGCTTTCCAGTTTCCCGTATTTATCCTTCAGCTGGTTCATTTCCTCAACAAGCTTCTCCCGATCTTGCTTGAAAGTAGTCGTGAGCTTCTCTTCGTTCTTCTGAAGAACCCGTACATCCATCTTTAATTTCTCAGCACTGACAAGCTCGGTTTTTAAGCGACTGTTCTCCACCTTCAAACTAGAGACCTCCCTTTCAAGTCTCGACTTGTCGTTTCTAAGTGCGGCCAACTCGCGATGTAATCTCTTCTCTTCCTGCCTCATAGTCGATATATCCCCTTGCAAAGCATCCTTCTGATTCTTCAGTGAATTATAGGCCCTTTCAGTGTTGGAACGATCAGCCTTGGAGACCGATATATCCCGCTGAAACCTCCTCTTCTCGACTCTCAACGACGATATTTCTTGCTTCATTGCTGACAGCTCCTTGTTGAACCGATCCTTTTCTTGTTTGATCACATTCACAAGTTTTTCTTCCTTGCTACGAAGATTGTTTATCTCGGTTTTATAATCTTCGGCTTCCCTTTGCAGAATGTCTAATGCTTCTTCCAACATTCTAACATCTTCACGATATTTTGACAACTCATCTTCCAGTTCCGCCTTATCTTCTTCTAATGCAGTCAGCTCCGTCTCAAGCAAACCATTTTCTTCCTTGCAGCACGACCATTCAGTTTCAAGGATTATATTCCTATCTTTGACGTCATCCAGCTCTTCTTCGATTCTTCTCCGTTCATCACGATCCCTGAGCTTCTCCTTCTCCAATATGGTTAACTCGTCTTTTAACGTCGACACTATGCTATCCAACGCTACCTTCTCGTTTCTAAGGTCAACTAACAATCTCTCTTTTTTCGCATTGTTGTTTTCAGTGAGTCTCAGATTATTCTCAAGAAGCTCTTTTCGTTTTTCTAGGTCATCCATTTTACCTTCCAAATCAGATTTGTCCTTCCGGATTTTCTCCACTTGCTCCTCGAGCTTCGAATTCTTACTCTCTAAAGCAAACAACTTCGTTTCTAGACTTCCTTTCAATTCTCGAACTGTCTTTAGCTCGAGCTCTAAATCTTTAACTTTTTCGTCAGAAGCGTTTTTCTCCTCTCTCAGATCAAATACTTCCGTTTTCAGCTTTTCGCTATCCCTCTTCTCTGTCTTCAACTCTTCAATCATTCTCTTCCGATCCTCGTCGGATTCTTCAACTCTTGTTGTGCTTATCTGACTCCAGATCTCAGCGAAGTTTTCAGACTGGCTTCCGACCATAAGAATGCAATTCAGCAAAGCCTTATCCATCAGCAAGTAATACAAGGAATTCTCCAACATACCGATATCCTGAGCGGCATCCTTGCGGAAATTCAACTCTAAAAAGCAAAAACAATGTGAGATTGCATGAAACAGGGAACGAAAATGCACATACATATATTTCTTGAAAACGGCCTAAGTACTGACCTGTCAAAAGTAGTCGATGGGGGTATAGGCAGAGCCGACAAAGCAAATCAACACTACACTCTTTTGGTGTATAAAACAGGACGGTTTAAATTGCATCTTCGAGTTTCACGCTTAACACAATCATCAAGCAGATGCTCATGTTACATATATTCCTTTATACTTGAACAAATATTCTACTAAAAAGAGCATTCTTGTACTTTAATTTTACTCTGACAAAGAAAGGGTGGACAACGTTTGTGAATAACACTAAAAGGACATATAATAAATCACTTTACAATATAACGGAACAAACAGCTTGGACGAAACAGAACGCCTGACGTACCAACGTACAAATATTACTTTCATTCATTTTGTTAATATTTGATCCAGCCAAAAATGAAACTGATACCAACTTTTTGGTTTACAATATTTCACATACCTATGTTGTCTATGGCAAAGTGGCCTTTAGCAGGTTTCACCAAAAAGTAATACACAGTAAAGAGATATAACAACATTTCAGGATGTACTTACCATTTTTAGCTTGGAGATTGGAAACGAGATCTTCTACTGACGTCAAAGTTGATGCTGTTGTTTCTTTAAAAAAGCAAAGAAAACCAATCAAGAAAATACTCGTGGAAGACAAATTGATATAGGCAGTGATGTTTACATTGCGGCACTAGAATCAGCGCATTTAAGATTATCAGCGTTTTTCATCTGCTGAAACAGCTACTGGTATGACGTAGAATAGCATATGTGGACTCAAATGCAAAAATGGACCTCCAGTGTACAACGAAGATAAGGTGACTGATAAAAATCCAGACGTAAAGTGGTCGAGGTAAGCAATAGAAAAAAGCTCATTTTATTCCATTAAGCGGTAGTGTGAATTTTTGGAAGAACCTGTTTTGAGAATCTACAAATCCTATTGCACAACACACACATGCATTCAAAGCAATGCTCCGTGTGGCTTTGATTAAAAGTGCCTGGCTGCATGGGGCAGGAGACGGTCTTCTCATGACTCAAGAGCTTGTCGTTTTACGATTGAAAAGGTTATTTTGCAGATCTTTGGTACTAAGAGACAAATAATGACAAGTTCGAATATCTTCACGGCCTTTCTTCCTGTAAGGAACCTTGCTCCCCAAATAATCTTTCCATTTTAGATACATTTTGCACACCTTTTTACATTTTGCACAACTTATCAGACAGATTTCCAATCCCGGACTTTCCTACTACAATTTGTCTCTTCTTACAATCTGTTGTTTTGGAGATGTTTGAGTCACTATTATTCGTGAAAGCATTAGTAAAAGTTGCTGCTCATTTGATCTTTCGTCAAAACCTATTCGTATTACACAGTGTTAAGCAATAACGAAGCTTTATAACCTTCAATGTAATTACCTTGCATCTCTTCACTGACTTCAAATGTCTTTTTCAGGTAACCCAATGCTGCACTGCTTATCGACTCCTTCAAATGAGCCAGCTGTTCCAATACTCTCCGCGTTCGCTCTTTGCTTACTTTCTCCATCACAATATTATTTTTGTAATTCATCTCAATCTGCTGCGCGTGCTCCAAAAACCTTGCAACTGGCTCCAGCGTGGGCGGCAGGTCGCTTCCTTCTAAGGTGTTATGTTCGATATAGTCGGGACTGGTAATGGCAGAAGACCCTGTGCTCGACGTTCTTGAGGCTGCTTTTATTATTGGACCTCGCTCGTAGTCGTTGAGCAACTGAAAACGAGAACAAGTACTATAAACTCTCCAAGAAAAATTACAGATCTTATTGCCCTTGATACTCTACGGTGCTTGCCCCTTGAATATTTCACGTATACTATCAAAACACACTCGATATCCTATGCGATTCCTATTACTTTGTCACAACACACAGTTTACCCAACAGTACCATAAACTGAACTTACAACTGTTACGTCTAAACATTGTTAACACTTTCACACTTAAAAATCATAATTTTGTCCAAGCTATGATTTGACCAAAGGCTGCAGAATATCATGATTTGTGATTGTTCAAAGCCTTTCTACTCAAAGGATTCTAGCAATATCCTATAAATACATATTAAACCAAATCTAACATTCATTCACTTACTTCTAGCAAGCCTTCCATGCTTTGCATGAGCACATCTCGACTACAGTCAGACATCAGTGTGATTCGAGCATGGGCAGTTTCTTCCGATCCAATTAAGTGGCCTTTCCCCTGGAGGCCATAGAACAATTGCAGTGTCATCAGTTCAAGAACAAGGAGGGACTGAACCTGTTGCTTGTCCGCATTTGATCTTTCATCCTAAGAAAATTAAAAAACTATAAGAAAAAGCGAGAACTTGAAGCGCAACAATCGATTAAAGTTCATTGCTTAGCTGAATACGGGGTGGTTGCAGTTCAAAAACCGAAGTTTATGAACACTGGCTAGAGAATACCAGAATTTCTTCAGTCGAAATAAGCATTAAATGACGGAAACAAAGAAGGTAATAACGACAAAAAAGATGGTAACAATAACAAAGGGAAGGGGATTGACAGAGAGAGAACCCTGCGCTATTTATGTCACCATGTCCTTGAAGCTGCTTTTGCCACTGAACCTCGCTTGTAATCGTTTTAGAAGTGAAAACGAGGACCAGTACAATCAAATATTACAGGAAAAATACAATGGAAATTATGTAAACAATAATTGGTGCGTTAAGTAAGTCCTTTGTTTAAAGAAGCCTTCCTTGTGATCACTGATCGTGTCCCAGCTACGATTAAGATCTATCCCAGCAAATACGATTAATCGCAACGAAAGTGTTAAGACAAACCTTCAATGGTCCATCAAAATGCTTTCCAGGTAATCCGCGTCTGTTTGCGATTTCATGTTTCAAAGATTGTATAAATTTCTCATAATCGTTTTTCTGAACATTCCATTCCAATTCTGGAGAGGAAAAAACTAATGATGAACTTCCTGTAAGCAATCGGGTATAGACAGCAACTGAGGGCATTGCTTTTGAATTCATGTCTCGTTCCTTCATTCTTCGTAAAAATCCATAACTGAAATACATTGTGTTGCAGCTTCAACAGAAAGCAGTGCAACTTCTCTTTATCAACTAATAAATCACCCCAAAACCATTAAATGTCATTTTCTTTTTGAAACATTTTACATGCCTCAATTTTTATATGTTACAGCAAAGTTCCTAACAAAAACAACAACAATAAAAAGCACAGTTTTAATGACGTCATCCAAAGCCCCATCTTTCTTTTTGTCCCAGGCCCCTGGAGAGCTCTCGGCGGGCCTACTCCTGATGCTGATGCTCATGATGATGGATTTCGCCTGAAGATTGATTTCGACCGATGATTAGTGATTAGTGATTATGATTATGATTATGACAACTGCGTAAAGCAGTCTTTGTGTAAAGCAGTCTTTGCGGAAAGTCCTTCTGGATAATGAAAACTCAATGTTACAAAAAACATTATTCCTTTAACCTAACTACTTTCCAAGACAAAGTTTCCGAAGCTGAAAAATTCAATTAATGACATCGATGAGAGAAATAAGCTTGATAAAGCATGATCATGTAAACTGGCGCTCGGCCATGGAATCAGATAATGAAATACCTGCACCTTTGTTTTTCAGATCAACAAAATTACTTTGATGTCTTTATAAAACGCAAAATGACCATAGATTCTAGGTCTTGGAGCACTGAATTATGAAAATAACAAGCTTTCACTCAAGCCAAATAACAAATTATAGAAGAACAACAAAATCCAATCGCGTTGAAGCTCAAGAAGCAAAAATCAGATCAAAAATTGATAAACGATGTACAATTTTGTTTGATCCGTTTATCAAACGTGATATAACATGACATTGCGTGTGTCGATGTTTATCTCCAAAACAAAGGCCTGTTTCTCAATGAACAAGGATCGGCAAAAAATACAGGTTGGTCTATCAATGTCCTGGCGCCTTGCATTGTAGCTCGTTTAAGAAAATACCAGAACATCAAAAAGACTGCAGAATCAATCTCGTACTTAAAAATTCTTTGATATGTCATTTCTTGAGGCAAAAAACGTAAACTTTAGACCGCTTTGATTACCAATAGATATTTTTTGGTCTATTTACAAAACCAAAAGAAATAATAATTTGACAATTACTTCATAAGTTGAAAGCGATTTAAAGTTTCGCAAACTTTTGTTTACAATATTTGTACAATTGCAATATAGATTTCACTAGATATCAATGGCAATTTGTACTTGTCCAGTCTGGTGACAATAAGCTCAAAACAAGAGACATATACTTACCCAGATTTTCAAGCTTTGCAGCAAGGCATTCTGCGAGCTTCTTGTAGTCAACCTGCAAAGAAAACATGCTCGTTAATCTGCATTCTGTATTTTTCACAACAAGCTCTGCCCAGCTTTTGTCCTTGTGAGGAGTGAGCATGCATTAGATTCTACCTGCTTCTTGACATTTTAATTGCAATTAAAACGAGAAATACCAGGATCATACCGAAAATGTTTGCGAGAAAGCAAATGCGATCTTCTGCTTGAAGTTACGAAACATCGTGAAGCAGTCGCAACGTTCCAGTCGAGCTTAAAACGGCAATTTTATCATGGTCGTTTCCCTGAATTTGCAAACCAAATGAACTTGGAAATTCAATTCAAGATCACTGGCAATTTTCAACATGTGCGAATTAAAGGTTATTCAAAATGACGACCCAGATTGATATCGATCCTGAACTGCTGCTTTGTATAAAGAAAAAAGGCTGAAACAATGGGAAGATCAATTTGAAAGGTCAAAAATGAGAACAGGTGCGTCGAAGTATTGGTTAAAGCCGCACTCTCTGTATCAATTTGTCGTTGCCCTGCTTAATTCAGAATCTGTTTTATTGGATCAACTTTTGGGACCGTTTGTTCAGGTATTCAAATTCGCAGGATAGCAAGGAGCAAAGAAAACATCCTTGTCAATGATAGTGAACTAGCCACCTTTCTAAATACGCATAAAAATTTCTGTTATACTGGTCTGTAATAAGTTCTCCTTGCCATTTAGGCTTTACACCCTTTTGTGCATAGAACAGAACGTTTCTGATTTGAAACTCCGAGTTTCACGGTTAACGGGATAATCAAAACAGAAAACAGTTGCATGATGGTCACATTACGTATCAAACTCGGACCTGCAACTTAGAACTGTTCTCTTCTAAAACCGAATATACAGAAATGTCTTAGTAGACTGTTTTCTTCTCAGAAAAACACAAAATTTCAGCATTTTGAAGGAAAAAGCATGTTGACATTCAAGTTTGGCAGTTTCGAGAAGTTCTAAGCAGCAAATATTTAGGTTCAAGAAGCATAAAATCACAGTGGGTAGTGGCAAAAACAAGGATAAGCTGTCCGAAACACGTGAAAACTGGACAGAAAAAACAGAGCATAGCTTCAAATCGCATCAGTAGAAATCGCTTTTGAAATTGCGTACTGCTGCGTGGAAACAAAACAACACTGCGGGGCGCCCAAGCCCAATTACGTATATATAAATAATGCACGAAGCCAATGGCAGCAAAGTAATGTATTCATCCGGTTTTCTTAATGAAGACGACTGAGCTCTACTTCAGAGGAAAATAATATTGAAAAATTGGATCTTGCCACAGTATTGCCAATCTCGTCAGTGAACAAATAATAAGATAGAATATATTAAGTATTAAGTAACACAAAAAATCGAGCAGCTTCTGGACATTCGTTATGTCTAGCTGATACTTAACTTACAAAGTGCTCATGGTCGATTAGAATGACAAATCACTGACACCTATTCTTACGTCACAACTGTACAAAACGCAGGAAGTACGACACCAATGAAGAAGATTTATCAAACACAAGAAGTAAGCCACCCACCTCATAGTTAACATGTGCTGTCACTTGCACCTTCATGGCCCTGGATCCAAAGTTGAGACTGCATTTGGTTTCATGCACATCTTTGGCAGTTGGTGCTACACACACCTAAAGTCAAGTCATAATAGCTTTTCAACTGGCAAAATAGCTTTTCAATTGCAAAAATTCTAGTTGCCATCCTGCAACACTCCACTTTAAAGAAGCTCAAAGGAACGATTTCCGGGCATATGAAAGCTACATTATAAGCACAACGAGTCTGAGAAAAATATAATCTCTTTAACTTTCAAGATACAATATGCTAAATATTGTAACAAATGCCAACAAAATTATTTCAATCAGCTATTTCTATAACGATTCTAAATGAAGAAAATAAATTTTGCCCTTTTGACATAACTATTACCTGGTATGATCATGAATCGTGCATAATGATGAAAAAAGAAATAATAAGAGTCAAACTTTTATCAGCATATAGGAAATGACAGTTTGGAAAACAAATGTGAAGATCAACAAAACTGTGTCTACAAAAATTTTCTGCGAAAACTTTTAAAATTCCCAGCATGGTGCATAGCAGGAAGGTTCTGATTATAGAAAGAATGAAAAGTAAAGACCACCTAACTTTCCTTTTGAAATAAAGATACACACAGCGCAAAGTCAATATAATTAGATGAAGACTTTGATTACTATTCACGCTAAGCCCTGTGTAAAACCTGTGCCCAATCTCTAAGTGGAGCCAAAAAATGAAAATAAAAACACCTAAACAAAGCCACGTACAACAAGGCGAGTTTTGCAGTTTCCTGACAATCCTTCCTGCAGCAATCTTGTCAAGGTCGAATTCCTGAAGGGTACATGAGATCTGTGGCCTTCTGCCAGTGCTTGGATGACATTTCTAGAAAACCAAAACAACTTCCAGTTACTTAGAGGTCTCTTGAATAAGTTACAGTGCATCTTAACGAATATTTCAAGCCACAAACTGTTATTACAGGCGGAACGAACTTGCCACAGGATCAACATTTCAACGCAGATATTCAACTAGGGTAGTAATTGTTTCTTCTAATGAAACATAATGAAAGATTTTATACAACCTACTTTCCCTGTATATGAAAAAAAACATTTTACCGAGTTAGTTACAGTATGTGAAACCTATGTAAGCTACAAGAAATGTGTTGAAAGATAAAATAGAAATATGATGGAGATAACAATAAGACTTGAGTGTATAGTACAGTGCTAAAATTCAGTAAAAAAAGGCACTTCAGTGATCGCTATAGAGAAGCCTTGAGTCTATTATGAGTAGTGGGAAGCAAATCGTGATAGATTAAGAAATGCAAAAGAGCATTCATGGCATTGATTATCAGTTAGGCAGTCAAATGCAACAGGGTGCAATAGAAATACTTTATTTTGATCCTAACAGGCCTACTAAGCCATGGTCTTTGAAAGCGATTATAAAGACTTGCAACCTGCATGCGAATCAAAGCACAAAACAACCTTTTTACTGTCTTAAGACCCTGCTGAAAGAAGGCGGTACACTAAGGCTTGTAAGGAGAGAAGCCCTTACCCGAGTTCTAAAAGTGAAGAATTGATATGCTGTGCCTCCTGCAATCGCTCGCCAGAGGCTTTGGTTCTTTTAATTCTTTCACTGCCAGCGAGATCACAGCTGCAAAGGAACATAAAACCCATGGTTAAAGAATGACGTCAAACGAAGAAAATCTGTTGATTTGCTGCTTATATCATTGATTAGTAAAATGCTTCAGAGTCACATGAGCTGCCCTGTTGATACACAAGTCTCAGGCAGTAGCCTTGAAATTCTTAAACATTTTTGTTGACATGCTGTGAAAGTAGTAAGCACGCAGTTCCTTTAGAATGCATTACAAAATCTGGTTTAAAAATACATTTATTCACTTGGTAAGTACACGATCTAGATCTCATTCGTGACCCATACTATATAGGGGTTCGAGTTTCAGTCTTTATTTTTGTTACAAACTTCGAACATGTCTCTCGAGATATGAATCCAACAATTGAATCCAACAACAATTAATACGGATACATTGAAACAATAATTTCAAAAACAAAAGGTTTATTTACAGAGAGAATTTGAAGGCGAATGAAAAATACGCCATTTAGATTTGTCACGCATTTTCATCCCTTACACATCATGATAGACCTTGCCAACGCTACTGACAAATAAACTATAGACGTACATATAAATCTTTCCTCGGACTGACGTAACACTGTCATCCAAATCTGTTAAGCCATCGACAAACTCTTCGTCGTCCTGAAACAGCAAATGAAATTAGTAAAAACATCAATTTCAATGTTACCATCGACCTATATGCAAGACTCACAGCCTCAGTGAACTTATAACGGCTTCGAGAGAAAGTGCGCACATGCTAGCTAAAAATCACTTCAATTACTCTAACCAAAAAAGAACAACAAATTAAAAAACAATCATTATACAAAGCTGATCGGTTACAGCGCATTGTAATTGACTTGGTGTTTAATTTACAGAAAATCTTGTGCTAAATATTATGTCCCGTTCCAAAAAAAGCTATTTTATAAACCATGTCTTTTGGTGTAATTTCCTGTCTTCAAACAAAGTAATGTCACTATCTTAATCTTCATTGTCGTAAATAACACTCGCGACAAATTTTATCTATAACAGTGCATACCAAAGACATAAATTGCAAAATATCTTTTGCTAAAGATACTCTATCGAATCAATGCAGAAATTGCTACCTCATTTTCCATCATATCAATGGATGTTCTACTAATATTCTGAAATAAAGATAAAAAAGTTTTGATAAATTTTTCAATAAAGATAAAATTGAATTTTTCAATAAAAAAACGTAGAATAAAAACAAAGTATTTAAACCCTTTCCAATGGGCCTATCTGCCTACCCCTCTTCCTTCAAATTTGCCTCAAACACAATTACATAGCTAAAAATGATTTTTACTATTTGTCAAATTTTTTTCACTTCTTTCAAATTTTCTTACCATTAGATACATGTAAGCATTTTTAGAAAATTGACTTTACAAAATGCTATCATTAAAACAAAGATAATCAATAAATTATAATGACATTAAAATACTTCTTATTACTATGTGTTCCATTGATGACTTGATTGCAGTTCAACTCAGCCTGAGAAATTGGTTGGTCTAACCGCCATTTTTTAACCTTGAATCACTAGTTTCATACAAAATTACTTGAGGTAATAACTGGCCCATCATATACAAGTGTTATGCTTGAGCCCCACTGAGCTATCTGCATATTCACTATCGTGTTTGAAAAAAGGCGGTACCATTATCAATAGCAGTAATACAAACCATGCTTTCCCCGAACATATCTTCTTCCCCATAATCATCATCAGCCATCATATCTGCACTCCATGAAGAACTAAGATCGGCTTCGTGCATATGCATTTCATTAAAGCTGGGCGTCTGGCTTCTGCTCCCTTCTAAGATTCAAAAGAGATCCTTCGTCAGTGAGAAAGTAAATGTCTTTATAATAAATCTATATATAGCTCTATCAATTGTTTCTGTGTTGACAAACTAATAACCAATTTTATATTGATTTGTCGTATTTTATGGAGTTGATCATGAGCCACGTTTGATGTAAAAGCTACTGAAATATTGAAGAAAGAATCATTGAATAACAGCTGAATCTTAAAACAACACTCAAGTGATGGTAGGAACTACACTCCTGGGGAGAGAGAGAGCTGTTGAAACCAACGCCTTCTTATATGAGAGGGGGCAAGCAGAAGTACTAAAACCCGCACTCGACCCCACTCCAGTCAAAAAACTGGAAAAATTACAACATCAAAGATACCTAGAGTGAACTGGGGAAGGAGTGAATACAGAATTCCACAATCGCCTATCCAGGACAGTAGGTTTAACAGAGAATAGTGCTATGTAGGCAAATTTCACAGTAATACAAAGCTCTGAAATAAGCATACTCAAAGCCTACGAAGCAGTGGGGTTTAAAATAATGAAAACCTTACCTAGATTATCCTTTGCACGTTCTTTTAATATTCGTAATTCACATATTGCATGCGACCTGTCAGAGAAAATTGATAGATAGCGAATCATATTAAGCATGCACCATTTAGCTAGTCCTTACTAGCCTCGGTATGCATCCGAGGATAACGGAAGTGAATAGAGCAGAGAAAGAATCGATTCAATGTCAATTTAAAGTTGAAAAGTTAGAAACATTTTGGATGCAACAAATGTAAAAATGTCTAAAAAATAGCAGATAGAACAGAACAGAACATCTGCCCGACACTCACTTGTAGAAATCTCTTAACTCTCTATTCAGTGCATCAGCATTCTTTCAAGTCCGTTATAGCAATTTTACGAATATTTATTTATTCATTTATTGCTAATTCTCATTTTACTAATGAGTCAAACACACAAACAGAAGAAAGCCTTTTTCTTTGGGAAGTTTCAAGTTTCTTTATTCGGTAAAAGTTCAAGGTATTCCTTTGCAACAACCCGGCAGCAAACAGCTTTACCAAGGCCCGCCTTAACTGATCACCTTAAAATCTCATTAGCTAAAAGCCGACCAGTCTTCTTACCTGCTTGAAGCACGGTTCATTTGTGTCTCTGCAAAAACCAATCGCCGCCTACCGACTTTAAGAAGATTCAACACTTCTTTTGGAGAGTGGACAACGTATTCTGTCAAATTTTCAACATATACACCTGGATATGACAAAAATCTAATTTTAGAATTTTTGAATTTTTTCCCATTACCTGAAAGAGCATCTTGAAATACCTCTAAATCTGGAAAATCAGTTAAAGGTATTACGAATTGGCTGATTTTGCATATATGGGTTAGCTTTATGATGTTCTTTCATGTTATGTGGTCAAAATTCTAAAATTCTAAAAATAGTTTTCTTGTGATCCTCTATAAATGCTTGCATCTGCATAGTTGGAAGAAAACATCAATACAATGTTTGAATTAGATCTAACTGTGGTTTTAAAAACAAAACAACCTTTCAAAAACATTTTAATTAATTAAAAGAACTAGCTAAAGTGGTTCTTAAAGAGACTGCTGACCTTAGCTTTCTATAAGTTGTTGTTTCTGACTAGTCTCAACGGAATTACATGGAAATGGCAAGTTTTTCAAGAGGTATAAGGGTACATGAGAGCAGCGGAGGTACATTTGGATAGAGACAATATTTGGGATTTAGCTTTATGCAAGAGAAGTAGAATTAGACATATGTATTGTTTTCCTATGAACGATTAGAAAAGCAACGGATTCACACAAATGCATTAAACAATATTTTCTACCAAAAAAGCTGTTTTTATTAAAGCAAGATTGCAGACTTACCCCTTTTAGGATGCTCTCGTAAAGACAGATCAACAGTTCTTGTCGCGTTTAACAGGTCGTAAATTTTGTCTTGGTAAATTTGTAAATAAGAGCACGTAACCTATGAAGATAATGCAAACAACGTTTTAAAGCCAAACAATACAATAACATGGGCTAGTAGATTCAATTAGTAGGCAAAAATCCTGTTCTGAATACTATTCAAACAACTTCTTCGTGGTACAAAATTTAAAAAGGCTATTAAGATATACAAAAGCTTTTCATCTGGCACTCTTCAGAGCATAAAGCATCAGGACGATGATCAAAAAACTTAGTCTATGAAATATATGTATAGATGTAGTTTTGAATCGCAACAGGCAAATATGAAAAGTTGGTTCGCGTTCTCCTGTTTCGAATATTTTTAGACCATGAACAAATGTGAGGTCCTATATATTGAGCAATTTGTCTTAAAATCCGTAAACTCTTTTCATAATATGATTCCAGATCTAACTCCCTTGTTTTCCTGTGTCTAAGTACCTTTTGCATGTTTGCCTTAGAATTCCACTATTTTTCCTCCAACCAGCTATTTTCATATTATCATTTGAGAACTCCTATCACAATTATCTTAGAACAAAGATTCATTAAAAATACAGCTTGTAAAAGGTGCGAGAAAAATTTAGAGCCACAAGACTTGTAATGTTAAACATCCTGCCTCATTCTTTTAAGCAGCCAATGCGTAAAAAGAAGAGATTTGTGCTTTTTAACTAAATATATAAGCAATGTATAATACAACTGTCAAATTTTCTACAGTGCTTCTCCATTTTGCCAAACGACATCATGTCTGGCTGAAACAATCACAGAATCTGTGACAGAAACTGCCAAATTATAACGTTTACTTTCAACATTCTGTCTCACATTAACGGGAACAGCTGACCCTGAATTTTCTTTATAAGAAAATTTCAAGATGTATCCGAAATCTTTAATCGAAGAGATCAACATGTTGATGACATTCAGTATAATTCAACAAAAAAATTATTTTTCAACTTACAGTGTATTTGTGCTTTTTATCTTTGTTTATGACTCTAAAACATTTACATATCACCCTCACTGTCATTCCATCATTTGACATCAAAGTGTAGGTTTTGCCTGCAAAATGTCTCAGTGTTATGGTTTTGCCTGAATGCAGAAAACTAAATTACGAAACATTAAATGTGATATTTTTTCATAAAACAGGTCTTTCAGTGAATGTTACTCCCACCCACATTATTTCAATTAAAAATTCATTATCAATTCACTACGAAAGTCTAATATCACATAGATATTTGTTACCAGCCCTTTGTTTCTCGTGGAACTCTCTAACGATCAATTTGATCATCAGCACCGCCAAGAATGAGCCGTGAAGAAATTTTGTATATTCAGTCTTACTTATTTATACTGTTTTCGAGGAACAGAGAAAAAAATTTGCAACGTAGATTAGAAATCTCATGAAATGCTGACTACGCTATTTCTTTGTACAATAAAGGAAATCATTATCTCCAATTTTCACTCGAGTCATATTTTACCTGTTCCTGTTTGTCCATAGCACATCAGAATACCATTGAATCCACTCAAAGCCGACCTCAAGAGGGGCTGGGCGACTTCTTTAAAAACCTGCGAATGGGAAACAACATAGTCTGGTTAAAGTAGTAAAGGGTTACAACTTAAAAGGTGAGCTTTGACAATCTCAGGTAAAAAAATTCGGAGGCGGCGCTCTTTAACTTTATTTGTCTCAAATGCGGCGCTTATTCGGGGGCGGCGTTCATACGCGGGTGGCGCTCACTCGAGAAAATACGGTATCTATATAAACGTTTCCAGGTGCGAATACTGGCTCCTCTGTCCCTAAATGGCAAATAAAGGCAGGTGGCATAAAGGCAACGGGCATAAACGAAGCGGGAAAGCAGTATTGTTCCATACCCCACTTGCTACATCAAACCCTTGCAAAGAGGTGCTATCTTTATCTTTGATAATTCAAAGATCTACGGCATAAACATTCTCTTGAAAATATAAACTCCATGGCTCCTATCAAGTGTTGGTTAAGAAAATAGGCATGTAGGTGATCTAGGGTGAAAAGGGGAAAATTACCTCTCTGTTTGTAGCAACTTCCGGGAGTACGCCATCGAACTGGTAAAATCTCTCATTCTTCCCGTCGAGAACTTTCAACTAGAAATGCAAACAAATTTTACACAAATTAAAAAATTCATTTCACATTTATACAGAGATAAGATTCAATTATGAAATTTAATTGCAGATTACAATTTAAATAAACTACATACAAAATAAAATTTCCAAATAATTTTGCTTCTTTATATTCTTTATTGTTGCAAATACAAGTAATGTGCCATCAGAAGAACTTTCTCAATTCTGCCAATCAACAGTATTACCGCAATAAAGCTACAGAAAATAGAAATTTTTTCATTAATGGTCTACCTGTGTCATCTGTTGATCTTCGATTGAGACACCCATTGGGTCCCCTCTTGCTTCCTCGTCATCATTTCGAGGTCGTATACGGACGAATACTTGAACGCGACCAGGGTCTAGGTAGAAAGGATATCGAATTCTCAGTGATGGATTAAGGCTCAATACTATGGTCAACTTAATTAAATTAAATTGATGTTCACTGGCTCTGTGAGATTCAGGTCCTAAGCCGCGAAGCTAAGAAGGGCAGGCACTCCCGTGTAAATGGCTACACGAAGGCTCTATAGTCTAACCACTTTACCAGAATTTTTCCTAGACTAATATCCGGCAAGGAACATGATACAATGGTAAAAGAAAAAAAAATGATAGAAACATAAGGAGTTAATAGCAAAAAAGGGTGGTTCATGTTTGGGAGTATATAAAACAACAGTCAATTGGTGTGAATGCCAAAGACGCTGACATACGTCATACGTATGATAAAAACACAGCAGCATTTATGCATAGTTGTCTACACACAGGGCAGATTTATTCTAACTAGCAACGCTAGTTGGCATTGGAAAAAATCACAAGGATTGACGCGTTTCAGATGGATTGCAACGCGTTGTGAAATAGTCTGAGAATGCTAAAGAAACCCTGCGAACGCAGTGAACAAATCTGAGTGAAAAATTTTGCCGAAATCTGACGACATTCCTAAAAAATCCTTCCATGCAAGCAAACAGCAAACATCACCTGTGCGTACTCGCTTTATCCTGAGAAAATGTTTATTTGTAACTTGATAAAGGTTTTTGAGCATGCTACATATATATATTGAGTAACTGAAACCAATCGTTGGAAAAAAGACTGTAAAAAATTTCAAATAGAGGTTCTTTTTTGATCAAAATTAGAACTGCATACTGTAAAAACTAATCGGGAACTCAGAAAGAAGACGGATAAAGATATTGAGTCGGAAAATATGATGGTATTACATGCAAATAATCGAAGAAGAGAGAGATTAAGAAAGCCATTCCAACTTGCTAACTCTACGCAAAGAACGATTTCCGGATAATTCATACGAGAAGATATTATTGTCTCGCAAATACAGCTTTTGAAGATATATAGATGATCCAATAACATGATTAATCCCACTGGAGATCCACGAAGATTATATGACAGTGGTCACCCGTGCCTTTTGGACTATAATTAAAACAGAGAGCATTAGGACTAATTGCTATCAAAATCCCCGCTTCTGGTTGAAAATAGAAACACTTTTCCTGGTTACTGGGTGGCGATTGATCAGAGACATTGTTTGGGCTGAGGAGTCATCTGAATGTTCGGGTTTAAGACACTGGCGGTGGCTATCTACAATAAATATACCCTTCAAAATAAAGTCGCGAGACTGACATGATGATCGCGCAATTTTCTGATTTTTATCATTTCTCCAACTATATACCTTCCAATCATGTTGCAAAAAGGCTTCAAAACGAATAACGGCCCTTCGCGTTCGCAACGACGTCTTACTTGTTAAAGGATTAGCAAGGGTACTACAGGATTAGAATTTTGATTGGTGCTCAAGTAGAGCGAATATTCTCCATTTTACGTGGGAATGAGTCATCGCTTTTTATGTTATTGAAATGGAAATTCGTGCAATTACAGAAAGGGCATCTAGTATTTCCTTTAGTTTAGGACTACACTGGCCTTCAAAGACGTGAATCAACAAGCAGTAGGTTTCCTTTATAAACGCTCTTCAATCCATATTTATTTTCCATTAGAATGTGCACGAAAACTTATGCCCTGAGAAGGCACGTATTTGTTGATGCTGCCAGTTCTGTTGTTGCTAGTGTTTCTGTTACTATCGTTGCTGTAGTTGTTACTTTTTCCATTGCTAACGTTATTTGTCATATGTTCTTCTGTTGCTCCAGTTGTTCCTGATTCTGATTTTGTTGTCATTGTTGTCTCTACTGATCTTATAGTTGAAACTCCTCGTTCTCATACACTTCAACAGCATCCAACCCTTTTAACCTAACGGCTTTTAACCGTCTTCCTAGTTGTAAAAAAGTTTCCTATTTCCGAGTTACACCCACTTGAACGTTAAGCAGTGATTGGCTCTCTAATACTGACTAGGCCTATGGCATAATTGAGTAATTCAGGTGGGGTTGAATTGGATGTGGGTCAAGTTTGTCTCATGAACCAGTAGCTTGCTGGAACCAACTCGAAAACCTAGCGGATGCCTTCATGGGTATATATAACCGGAATACAGAAATAAAGAAATGTAAATGAATTTTTTTTCGAAATGTTAAGCTTTAGAAAATTTGCACATAGCATGTATGTTACAAGTTATTAGAAATCATGGGTTGTCATCATGAATTTTTAGCTGAAAATATAATCACTGTGAAATTAATTTTCAGTTTGTTTGGAGATTTCCAGGTAGGAAGTTGGAAAGACCTGTGACATTGAAGAACAGAGTTGAATTGAATAAAGCAGGGCTTTGACCTATGAAGCTTACAGAAACAGAATTAATATCACCTGCGGATTGCAATCAATATTCAAGTAAAATTGCGCAATAATAAGTTAAAAATCCAGGGTCAAGGGATAATAGATCCAAACAGAAAGATTCTTTGCACAGAACAATCTGAGCTGGATAACACAGAATATATTTTCATAGGATCTACTGGTCAATAGATCCTTTTCAAAGCATTGTTAAAACAAATAGTAATATCGCTGCCAAAGTGAGTGGTTGGTTAAAATGATGACGTCAGAGTAATGATGATCAGAAACATGTTTGTGCAATGCTTATATAGCTTTAGTTGATGAAATTCAAAGTTGCAGTAGAAGATATCGTTGCAGCGCTGTTGTTATCTTGAAATGGCATAGGACAGAATCAATATCCAGATATCTCTTTATTCCCCTACAACTGAGGCTAGCAATAGATGAATGCCAGGCTTTTAGCTTTAAGTATAAAAAGGTCATTAGCAGCACGATACTTTGGAATTCGGAGTGTAAAATCAATTTGCCCTTTTGATAATTGCTAGATTTGAAATATTTAGTGATATTTGAGTTGATTTGTCACTAGCAGAAAGCCATTATCATCTTATCAATCAACTGAATCGAACGAAAAACAGCTGATAAAAAATCAATCCACCGGATTGCGGTTCGAAATAAAGAGCAGTAATATCTTACATAAAACACCCCTTCGTTTAGTGATGTTATTAGAAATTCCATAAATGCCTAAGAATGCACCAAAACGGCTCCGGCTTGACATTTCAAGGATGTTGATCGAGTGGATCCCACTTACCTGAAGCCTCTTTGGGATTATCCCTCCTGTTTGGACAAACAGAACATTCATCGCACAATTGCGAATCGCATTTACAACTTTCGCTGAATTTTTCTTTCATTTCAATTGAGCCCAAAATAACCTCTTACAGTCACAACCAGTGCTCAGTAGCTGGTAACCAACTTCTGCTACCTTTCCCTGCCCAAACTGAAGCGAAATCACCAATCAAAAACACAAAAGCAGAGTCCAATTTTAGCGCCTACTGAAGCACGGTAATTGCTTTCTCAAACCAGCAACCTTTCAACGTCGATCTGCCTGCTTAAGAGTCAGCTAAGTCGAGCTTTGCCAATCCCAAAAGCCAAAATCCATCGCTAAATTGGGATAGGCTTCCAACCGAACTGAAACATATGGTCTTATCATGCACATGATTGGGCCACAGAGATGATCGCTTTCCTTGTCACCTTGGATTCAATCCGACAATCCAGCGACAGAGATCAGGTCCTTCAGTAGCATATAGCTGAAGATTTCTAGAAAATGATGTTTTGTCACAGCTCGATAGCAAACAATCTAGGCAAGACGGAGTCTCTTCGCTTCGACTTCGTACAGCTAGCAAGTATGAAAGTGTCGCTAGGATGAACAAATCTGCACTCGAACGATCAAGCGGCTTATCTTTGCTTCTCTTGCTATTAATTATTAAAAGACGGTTGATCAACAAAGCCTCTTGGTAAGGTGACGACTTCTTCGATTCATTTATTTGCGCACAAATTTCTCGCCATGAAAATTAATTAAGTATTTCAAGAAAAAGTTCCACTGAATTGTGATTTTAGTTACAGTTTCATATCAAGAAACTTCTCATACGACTGCAATCGTGTTAATAAATTATGAACCAAGCTTCTTTCAATGCCAGCTTCAATGAGAATCTTGCCACACGCCGCAATGTTACTTGTCGTTGAAGTAACCTTGGCTGAATTAAAATTGACGATGAATTCTGCAGATATTTGTGGATGACATTACGAGGAAGAAAAAACCCAACCCTATGCTCCACTAATACAAATATCAATTTGATAAATAACCTTTTACGTCACGAACAAAATTACCCAGACAGTGAACTACCAGTTGTCAATGATCAAGAAAGGATAAAATGCTGTTTAGAAAAAGACTTGAGAGCCCGATGCACTTTAAAAATAGTTTTAAGCTCGTTGTCAATTTCCACCGCAAAAATATATAGAATTATTTTCAGGCAATGGTGGGAAAACCGCAAATTGAGAATAAATAACAAACGAGATTGCCTGCCTCGTATTCAGACTGCCACTATCAAAATCAGCTGCGTGTGACGATACTGGTTTTTCATCATGTTGAAACAAAGCGGTTGAAACCTAGTGCTTTAATCTTCCATATGCATTGAAAGCTGGCTGAAATGGCAGAAAATTAATCAACAAAGCCTAAGAAGGATGAATTGGGATTTATTAATTATTAAGCGACCAGGCTATATTTCATATCTAGTGCTCCTTCGTTACACTTAAACTATCTACGCCTCTTTGAAGTCGCATTCAAAACATTTTCATTTCTGATTCTCTCGCATTGAACAATCCGTTCAGCATTGACCGTATAGCTTTAAACCTAGTAGTGGTTGCAATGAAAACCAAATACACTAGATTCCGGCCTCTATCACAAAGCAACTCAACAAAACCAGAAATTTATCGATTCTGCCCATCTTCAACACCTTTTTGCACATTTCAATATCATCTTTCACAGTTCGAAAACTGATATATTTAGTATTTTTACAGACAGACAAGCGAATTTGGACACTCAACTCAACTGTCACTTAGTTATGGGCAAAATACACCAGATTGGTCACAGATGTACGACTTGAGTTGTAGCACCATGGCTTGCTTGTCATTATTTGACTGCCAAAAGCATGCATGACCTTTACCAGGCCCAGCGTCACCAAGGGAGTTCAAGTTCCACATACGGTTGTAGCTACTTCGACAAATACTTTAAACAAGACTAAGGAAATCGACGTGAAGATAGTCGGTGCAACAATACGAGAAACGCCTACGGTGGCAGACGAAATTGACCAAGGGCGAACAAGGAAATCCATAACAGGAAACATTTATAGCAAATAGTTTGCAACTTGCAGTGCAACCAGGCTAAAATCAAGGGAATGATGTAGAAAACGCCCTGTGCTTAAAACGTCAATCATAACAATCAATTGTACTCGGTCACAGGGTAGATCAAACAGAGTTTTTGTCTACAGAAAAGAAGTCTTTCAATTATTCGACAAAATTCAGTATTGCATGTGAAACATCTGCCTGCAGAAATAACCAAGCACAGAGAAGAAATTTTACAGCAGGTTGCCGTTCCATGAGTTTTGCATCAATGAACATATGTTGGCGTATCCACCACCACAGCTTACATAGAACATCCAATTCACCTAACCAAGTAGTATTTTAACGCCACAAAAAGACACTGCGAAAATATCTTAATCACTATGAGCACATTGTTCTCTCGCCATAAGACGCAACGTGACAAAAAGACGGCACATCACAATACGATGTCTTAGTAAGCCGAGCTTCTTCTTGCACTAGCAGTCAAATATCTAGGTCAAGTCTTTTTTTAGAACTCTTAAAACGCGCACAATATACAACCATATTTCTAGGGTTTAGCTCCAAAAACATTGGCGATCGAAATTCCACAACCCGTCTTATCTTCAATATTAAACAAACAAAAGGGCGCAATGAGATGAAGGCACTAAGCTCAAAACAGGATTGAAAATGAATTTTGCATGCATGACTGGTAAAGTCGTTCGTCAGAATGTTGTTGCCTGTTGTGAAATCTAACTACAGTTTGGTTTATAGTGAATGCTCGCCATTAAACTGAGAAATTGAAATATTGGCCTAATTCACTACCTTTGGAAGTGACTGGGGGTGAGGGGCTGGTTCATAAGGCTTTAGCTGAAGACCTTCTAAAACACAGTGTGATTCTAATGCGTTTTCTGCTACAGGTTTTCACATCTTTCTACAGATACTTGAGAATTAAAAACAGGCTTTCTACCGATACTTCAGAATTAAAAACATATATTTAGCTAGACAAGGGCCAAACGCTATAAAACCAAATCGAAATTTCTAATATCAGCTGTTTTATGGATCCGTTACTGCAAGTGTGGCAACAAAACTAGAAAAAAATTCGCCATCTTTTTCTGAGCCCCAAAAGCCTTACACGGATGAGGCTTTACATCTCGTTTTAACCCTGCCGACAGAAAGTATGAGCCTGAGAAAACTGAAAGAGGAACAGCCGTTTGATCAATTATGACCGCCTGTAACAAAGGTTCTGAAAGCTACCAATTTGAAAGCTGGATTTGCCCTACCCCCTTCCCCGCATATCAGGTGACCAATGATAATGATATAGGAAAATAAGCAAGAGACATACCTGATACTGGGGCAGTCCTGATTTGCGGGTTGAAGCTGATAACGCCTTCCTTTTTAGCTGCATCCTGGTCGATAGCTAACGAAGATCCCCGCCTTGAACTGCTTCGGCTTGAGTCAAGCAACCCACCAAAGCCAGATGCATGCAGCGAAGAAAACAGAGATGCACCATTACCACTATCTGACAGACTAGGCCGCCTGCTTGAAGATCTGGAAACACCTCTATCTCCCCTCTCGCTTCCTCGGTCGCTTACACTAAATGCAGGGATACTGCTGCGCCTCGACTCAGCATATAGGTCGTTGGCAGAAAGACGCTTTTTCGAGAGTCGGCTAGTAAAGAAGAAATTTTCACATCGTTAAATCGCCATTTTCGGCTTATTTGGTAACCTTTAAGAGGCAAGATACCAAAAACGCTATAATTATCATTACAAAAATGAGAAATCTACTATCAAGCCTCTTACTGACAACTCAAGATTAAGGAAAAGTCTACATTAATTTGCTATCCCTGAAACATGTCTTGGTATGCTACGCAAAACTTAAGCACAACTTCAAAAACACTACACTCTCTCCCACCGAACAATACTGAGCTTATTCCACCGGAATCTTTTAGTTTGATCCAATCGATTCCTTTAAGAAAGGTATGTTATTCGACTCTACAACGTTAAATGATATTCAAAGGTCTTTGCTACCGAAAACTGCTATTTTTTTCTCAAAACAACACTCAAGCAACAAGGCGTCCAAAGACTGAGATTGTAGATTTTACTTCGCTAAATCTTGTTAACTCACCAACTGAGGGAATCGAAAAGCCTTTCATTTGTTATATTCATCATATGTTAAGTTTACTCAAACGTCATACTTCACGTTAATACTTTCTTTCTAAAATAATCATGTTTGGCTGACACTTCTCAATATTAATCTCATACAAGCTCTTACTTTGAAACAGAAGGCCATCAAAGTATTAGAGAATAAAAGAGCTTGCCCAGCCGTGACTTTCTTGGTTCACCAAAAAACAAAGACGCGTCAAGATGCTAGTGAAACCATGCCCAGTTGGAGCTATATAACAAACTCTGCGCTTATTTTGGATCAGTGATTCTCCTTACAAAAACCCAGTGATACCACATTGTAATCTTGTAATCATTATTACTCAAAAATGGGGAAAACATTTCTGCGAACCAATGTGCTTCTGACCAAATAACGATTTTTCTTAATCACCGTATTTGAAACGTCTTTGAATGGAAACAACTTCAATTTATCATTTAAGAGGTTTATTGTAATTTTTCATTAGTTTTAGAGGGTTGACAGAAAGTTCTTATATCTGATAATGATGTATAGCATTCACAAGAGTGTAAATAGATAAAGTGATCATGAATCCCAACGAAATTTGACCTAAAGTGGCAATGTTTGCTTTGGAGTAAAGGCAGCTGTTTCTTAAGTTCTCTGGCTTTCTTCACCAAAGGCACAGCAAAATATTTATCAAGGTATTATCAAAATTTATACAAGGAATTTATGCAAGAAAATCATACATAAGAAAAAAGCTTCTTGCTTAAGCATTAGGTATCAAAGGATTAAAAACGAGACTAAGAAGACAGCAGGAGTAGGTTCTTTGGTCCTTATTGCTTTTAATTGCACAAAAAAGCTGCCAAAATGTGCAATGTAGCAGGATCTGAGCACATTTATAATATACCTCTTCTTTTAATATGAAATGAGCTTGGTTAAACTTGAAGTGCTTAAACAAGGTTGGATATAAAGAGGAATAACTTTTTTTTTAAATGTCAATATATTAGATTACAAACAAAATTTCAAGTACTTGTATCTTTCATGGTTTTTTATTTTATTTCTTGGTGTCATTAGGCATAAATTCGGAAACTGACCATTTCATATTACAATATTTTTTGTAGCCAAAGAATATATATAAATTCAAAATTATGTTTTTGTAAAACTCTGGTATTTTCTTTACATATCATCAAAAAGTTACTTTCTCCTTTTTATCAAACAGAAATATATTTACTGTTTCAGTTTACTAATACATTCAGCCAAAAACATTTTAAGTCTATATTGCCAATCCGCGAAAGGCTAACATGTGCAGATTTTTGTTCGTATCATAACAAAAAAGCATGGTTTCTAAATTTTGCTTATCTTTACTAGCATTTGCAACTTTTCCAGATTGTTTCTTGCTCTCACCAGATGTAAAGTTTTGATCAAATCTGATAAAAAACATAAAATATGATAGAGTGGTCAATGAAAAAGTCCAACACATACCCATTGTTGGGGCTGATTCTGTCTGGACCAGGTGACTGGACAATCCCTGCAGATGAGTTTAAACTGGCCTGGCTGTTGGCCCTGCCTGGGGACTCTTGTTCTAGCCCAGGAGTTGAAGAAAGTCGCCTATTGAAACGTGGAATTCGTGACAGTTGTGGAGATGGTGGTGACTCTTTTGGAGTGCTAGGCAAGGATGCTTTTGCACCTGCAAATGAAATTTAAAATATCATCAAAATCAATTTCTTTAATGTACAACATATAAGATTTTATTTAAAGCGTTGAATACCATGGATATTTCTTTCAATGGAACTTGTTTTCTGACTATTTACACAGATCAGTATACCTACAACATTAGAGAACAACCAACTTGCAATTATAGCAATTTTCCTTGTTTCCTGTGATCATTTGCCAAAAACAAGAATGCAGAGAAATTAATTATCTGTTTCAACTAATATAAAGTTATATATAACATATAAATTAATATATAGATCTTTGGAAGGATTTATTACTGTTCATGATAGCTAAATAGCTTTATGATATAGCCTAGCATATCATCAAAAGCTAATAACTTGAAGAATAAGGGAAAGACTACAGTCAAACAGAAAAAAAATTTGCAAGACATTAAGAGTGAATTAAGAATATCAGTCAAGACTTGGTTTAACATAACTTGCACAGCCGTTGCCAGATTTGTTGGAAAACAAGTTGGATAGTAAGTCAAACAAGATTAGAAGAAAATGAGGACCTATATTCTCCTTTAATTTTAATACTTGTTCAACACAGCTCTTAAGTGAACACATATGACATGACAAGTTCTGATAGTTGCTGTGGACCTGTGCCTTATGTCCCAAGATTTATTATCTTTAACAGATAACTTTAACATAATTGATGGACATAGATAGTTTCATTTTTTCATTTATTGATAAAGTTCTACTGCTTGAATGAAAGATTAATTGCAGATTGATCTTCATAAAACTTCCATTACTCTGAAAAAGAAACTTTTGCATGGAGAAACGTTTGTGTTTGTTATACTCTTTGCCTAAAATAACACAAGCTTGATCCATGAAACTCCCTGAAATTAAAATTCTCATAAACAATCCAGAGAATTTTCCTACTGACCCTTCTTGGAAATGTTGATGATGGATCATTGTTTCTAACAAATCTTAAAATTGTTTTCCCTGTTTTCTTGGCATTAAGTGAATTGAAAATAGAAAGAAACCTCAGTTGAATAGCAAGGTTTTTCATGTGAATTTCGTGATTTTTACCAAAACACAAAAGTATATTTTTATGAAAGATCCTATTTCACTCCTCTTGCAAAGAGAATTCTAAAAGTTTCTTGCTTTTCACATTTAAAAAACTTTTTTCCCACAAAACTTTCTACCAATGAGTTCTTCATTCCACTCTCTTATACCAAAAAAGACTAAGCTGGCAATACTTGTATCAGTTGGGCAAAAGTTAGTATTGCCCTTTTACAAAGAATTGCCCTAAATATTTTAAGTGATAGGTAAGACAGAACAACTCTTCAGTTACAAATGCAACTTTCCAGAATTAGGGATATGTATTACTGCATCTTGAAGAGGTGCAAAGATAAAGTAAAGCAAAAAATCATCCTAAGATTTGAGTTTGTTTGATTAGATGACAAGGACAGGAACTGGCTGTGGTTCAACACAAACTTTGCATGATTGTCAATGCATGCTGAGACCACGCAAAATACTCGGGTCATATCCGGAAAAAAATTATTTTTAAGCAGTGGTTCTTATCAGAATACCTCAATAAAAAGTTTGAATATGTTCATGGTTTGTCAAATAAATACACAGAAATTTATAAAGTTCTATAGTGCCAAATGAAAAACTAGAACTTTGCTCCACATCAATTTGCTTAACCACTTTGTTTGTTTTTCCTTTTTCAAGACTACCCATTCGGGACCCTAAAAAATTTCCGTTCAATCGATTCTTTGTTCACAATGTTCCACCAAACTCTTAATTTATGAATGGGCAAAGCATAATTCAACAGAAACAACCTGCATGGTCAAAAGCCGGCTAAATTATAATCCACAAAAACAGCTGTCGCCAATCACTCTTAGTTTACGTGTGTAACTTCATCTACGACAAGTTTTCCGGACACAAAACAGGTCCTTCTATGTTTACCTGTAAGTTTTATTCCCCTGACTTTGTTCAAAGTTGCACAGAAGTTGAAATTGTAGAAGACTTTTGTTTCGTATTGCCCGACATCTTTTAAAGAAGAAGCAATAGGGTGCCAACACAAAATTATCCTTCGATGTTGCTCTGTTTAGGCCACAATAAGCGTTTCCACAACACTGGTCTTCACACTTTGTTTATCTTTATATCGAAATGATGCTGTTTCATAGTGCTGTCAGGAGCATCCTTCATAATCTCACACAGATTCACTTATTGCTATGTTTCCATAAACGACTCTTCACTACTCTGTTTTCTCTGGCTTCATAGCAGCCCTTCAGTACCCCCCGTAAATTAGTGAGATTTTTGCCATTATGCCCGCGGGATTACCTCGAAAGATTTCGAGAAACAAGTATCTGCAGCAACACGCAAAAGAGTCGCGATTACGAATTGGAAAGAAGTCGTGCAAATACCACCAGAGACAGGAACATTAAAATCAAATTTTCCTCTGTGCTCCTTTCTTCACTACTAAAAGTATGTAGAAAACAATTGATATAAATGACAGGGCCTGCTCTACCGATTCCCAATTGGAGGGGGGAGAGGGCAGCAAAGTAAAAAAAAATATCCTTTTACCCCTTCAATTTCTAAATTTCATGGCCCCTTTGAAAAACCATTTGTGTATTCTAATAAATCTACAGGTGTTCATACATATTAATGTTTAGGCCCATTTAAATCATTTATCTAGGAAAATAATTGGGGCATGGCCTCTCGGACTACAGACTATGGAATCGGACTACGAAAATATTCATGGGGTGCCAGATTTGCTTTCAAGGATGCAATTAATGTGTTCTAAATTTTTGTAACGACAGATCGATGATATGTTTTACTCTTGCTTTCGTCCAATATTTTTGGTCCTATACTCAAAGTATTTCGTCCAGTATTTTGCCCAAGTATCATATAAAAGTTACGGCATCAAATATAATGTTGAAAAGCTGCCATAAAAAGTAAAAAACTTGACAAGAGCGATCCCCCTCCCATCCCCTAAGATCAATATTTGCTACAGTCCTGTCTAGACCTAATGAAAACGAGATAATAGTCCAAAAGATCACGTTATTGCGGCTATAACCAGGCCCTCAAACCACTTGCCCATATACAGTGGCGGACTGGCCCACAGGCCCATCGGCCCGTGGCCGGTGGGCCCCCTCTAAAATTTAGCAAGAAGGGCCCCATCTTGGCAGAAAAGGGCCCCATTTTAGGAATGTGAGGCCTTACGATATCCCATTACAAATGATAAACGTCGTGGATTACATCAAAACTAAGTTTGAATATAGCGTCATTGCATGTGGTTGTAAATAGGATTGGGTCAAAATTAAAAAAAGTATGATTTGTGTAAGTTATGGGAGGTAAATAGGGAACTTTTAATATGATGGAAATTTCTGGAATTTTGAATTTTCATGGACACAGGTTCAGTTTATATGCACAACATTAGTTGTAGAGTTCACCTTAATTTTTGCCAGTGACGAAGGTCGAAGCTAGCAACAAAGAAAACAGTTGTGATTCAGTAGTTAACTTTAAAAAAAACTCAGCGTTAATTATTTATTTTCTCAAGCCATGTCATTAAGATATTGCAATGCGAATGATACTTCAACGGGGACTGCTGCATCTTCTTAAAGATTCTTTTTCCGAATAATCTAGTTTTTGCTTGCACTTGACTGTTTGGTGTTAAACATTAACGGGTAAAGGTATTGCCTCATGGAATTGAAAATTGACATAAAAAAGATGTCAAGAGAATGACAAGAACTTGCCAAATTGCACATAATGGACGAATAAACTTTGAGTAGCAAGTGGTTTTCAGAAAAGAAGTCAATGTTGTTGCAAAAAAGGGACAGGACTGATCACTGGTTTCTTGGAATGCAAAGGAAAGAAATGCAACTTTTGATAGCATTTGATTGAAAAATTTGGTTTCAGAAATATTTGTAGTGTTTTGTTGTTTCTTTTGAGAACTTTGGCTTCATTTGTCTCTAAACAAGTCTTTTCCACTTTTTGGTATTTGATAGAAAGTTGGACAATCCAAAAGGCGTTCAATGTATTCCTCATGGGAGCCACACGCTCTGCAAAGCGAATCAGTGTACTTTCCTTTGTAGTTTGCTATTAGGTCTGACATCTTTAGTTTAAGCTTCAGTAGGGACGAGGCTTCCTCACACCTCAGATATTCTTTCATTTTAAACTAACAATCCTTTGAGGTTAGTTGTCTTATTATTTTTAATTTTGTTTTCTACGAGAAGGTATCTTGCGCAAGAATTACTGAAATCCAAATCAGACCGAATTTTCATTATTTAATGTTAAATTTCAATTAGATTACTCTGCACCCATTTGTCATCAACAGCTCAACTTTGCTATTAGTGCTACATATGTTATGTTGCATAGAAATTGAATGATTTTGATAAAGTGTTCACTTGACCACGCCCCAATTTTCAGACCACACCCACCTGGGCCCCCCTCAGTGTTTCATGGCCGATTAAAAATTTTGAGCCAGTCCGCCACTGCCCATATATAGCCATGTTTAAATGCTTCTCAATGAAATGCGTGAATGTCCGAAACAGACGGCGATGTCATAAAAAAAGAATGTACGTGTTTGTAGCTTAATACAAAAAACTATTCTTCTTCAAAAGCAGCTGTTTTTTACTAAAGAATCGATCATGGAGTTTGGCTTAAATAATACATGTGGAGCACTCTCATTACAAATAGATTTTTCAGATAACCAAACGACCTGTTGTGCAATTCATGCGACGATTGTCGAGATAATGAGTAAGACGATGCTCACCTGCGCAATCAAATACGCTAATGCATTGTCGTTTAAAGCTTTGGGTTTAGAGAGTTACTATTTCAAAGTTTGGTGGTTTACTTCTTTCTTGCAAAGAACCTCTCCGAAGAAAAGTGCAATTTAATTCATCAGTGTATTCTCGATTTGATTGAATCTTTGATTAAGAGATACTTTTTTGCAAATTTGTTTACTTCCCTAAGGTCCCAACATTCCAATTCTAAATAAAATCAATTAACTAGTGCAAGAGTT